AGAGAGAGAGAGAGAGAGAGAGAGAGAGAGAGAGAGAGAGAATAGTTCATTAACTAACTGCAAAAGAAGATACTGGGATTTCAGCTTGCTTAACCAGATACAGAATTCCAGCAGTGAAAAGGCTGATTCTTTCATGGCAGAAGGCACTCTGCACATGATCTGGGGTGCTCTTGTCCCTCTTCAACACACGTTTCCAGACTTGTCCTCAGCATTGGAAACAGGTTCAAGGGTGCCAGTCAAGCCCTTCACCACCCCCTCTGCACCCTGCTCCAAAAAAAGAGAGAGGGTTCCCCCCCCCCGAGTGTGAAAAGGGATCTTTGGGGGTGAGCGGGCAGAAATCTGCTACGGATGCCTCACCCGGCTCCTGGGAAACGGCGGCTGTGGGAACCCTTGAGGAATGTGGCAGGCAGCTGTCCCAGGCTGGGCTGCCATGGTTTCATAATCTCTCGGCTACATTTCGCATCGGACGTGCTCGCCGCTGGTGCGAGGGCATCTGACGGCGCTGTGGCTTCACAACGGAGGGGCCTGACCCTGGCGGTCCTGGCAGCAGCGCACTCCCCACGGCAGCGCAAGCGGCAGGATGTGCGTGTACGCACATACTCGCCTGGATCGTCTAGTGGATTAGGCCTCATGCTTTCCCCTGGCGAGCGGGGACTGTGCCACGCACATCGCGGCCATCAAGAATGCGCCAAGGTGTACTTACTTCGTGCTTTTTCAAAAAAAAAAAAAAGTTTCTTTTTGGGTATTCGGATGATCCATTGAACTCTCAATCCAAAGTGTCAGGGAGCACTTCGAAAAACAAACTCCTAAGTTCCTTTCGGCTTTCAAAGCCTACTTTCCTTCAGCTCGTGGTTTCTAATCAAGAAATCAAAGCCATGTCTTTCCTTAGTTCAGGTGCAGGGACTGCTCCAAAACACTTATGAATTTCCGACACAGACATCTCTTGGCCTGTAGTTCTTGGCCTTCAACAGAAATCCAAGCCCTGCTTTTTAATATTGGACTGAGCATTTTGTTTGCTCTCTTCTGTTCTGACGCTTTCCTCCCCCCCTGCCCTCCAGCCCCCTGGATCAAAATAACCGTAAAGGGAAACGAAGAAAATGAACGATCCAACTGTTGCACCAATATCACTGTACCAAGTTAATCTTGCGATATGTGATAATCATAACATTCAGTGGATTCAGACAACAACAACAAAAACACCATTTGCATACTGACCATAGCCAAAACTCTCTGGACGATGTACACCAATAATCACGACCTCAAGTCACCCTCCATATTCTAACCAGGCCTATTTAGCTTCCAAGATTAGGCAGGATCAGGCACTTCCGCCCATATAGAAGCTTATGGGTTAAGTAGGGGTAGTCAGAAACCATGGGTTGTTGTTGAAATGTAGCTCATTGCATAGCCAAGATAGCAAAGCACACCGAACAACCCGCAGTTCCTAACCCTACAACGTGCCACCAGTTCTCTTCATGGCTTGCTCTTGGTTAATAAGCTGCAGCTTGCTAGTGCAGTTGGGTTCAGAGAGCACAACAAGCCACAATTCCACCTTATTTCCAAGGTTCGCAAGACCTCTGGTTTCCTGGGAGCTCGAGATCAGTGTTATAGTGGCACAAGGCTCACAGGGCTGAAGCACCGGGATGTTCTGATTAGCAGGGGCCCTAAGCCCATCTGCCTCTCCCCTTAGCCGCAACCAGACAGTAGCCAGGTCAGAAAAGGAACTTCCCAGCTCTCGGTTTTGTGTCTCCCTCTCACACACACCACACACAGTCTTCGGAAACAGCTGCGGTCCTACAACTCGATGCTACTCTGCAAATAGCTGAACTCTTCGGTGGGGAAGGATGTTACCAGTCTCCCGGCAGCAGCTGCCTAGCGGGCCCCTATCCAGCTGCTTCATGCATTCCAACCTCCCTAGCTTTGGACACGCGGAGGAAAAGATTAGCTGGCCTTCTCCATGGCTCAGCAGCCCAGGGGTACATCGGGGGGAAATTCGGTGGACTGGGTGAGGAGGAGGAATGCCCTTTAGGGAGGTATCCTAAATCCATTCTGCTTGCATTTTATGGGTTGTCTAGAGCCTCTCCTTCCATTTTCGGCAGAACTGGATTTTGTGGGGATGCATTTGTACACCTTTATGCAAACCTGCACTTCCAAAACCTTACATGTGTGCAGACTTAAGTCTGTGGGGGGAAATGTGCATTTCCAGTCCCTGGTTTGGGAATTGGGGGCTTTATTTTTTATTTTATTTTATTTTATTTTATTTTTTGCAGATAAGTGTGCACAAAGTTACAGAAAGTGGGAGTGGGGAAGACCTTCAAACTCATTTGGCTCTGCGGTGGACTTCTCTGACATCACTAATTCCCCTTAATTAAAAACAACAGCACTCCAGCTCAGCCTTCGGAAGCTGCCTATCCAGAGTCAGACTTTCCCAGTATGAGCAACACGGGCTGGCAGGGTGACAGGCAGGAGTGATTCTCGCTTTATTTGGAGGTGCCGGGCCTGATCCTGGGACCCCCTGGCCCAAAGCATCTCAAGGGGACCATGCTGGGGCTACCTTAGCTTTTCCTCACTTAAGAAATAGAGCACGGCCTGGCTTCCTGCAAAGATGCGCAGGGAAGATGCAAGCACCACCTTGTGGGCATACCACACCATGAACGTCGCCAGTCTATTAAAGACAACAAGATCCCTGGCACGGTGTTCCTGGCTACTCTTCAGAGAGCCTCCCGGGCGTGAACACAACAATTTCTCTTTTTTTGGTGACTCCCCACGTAGTCACCCTGGGTCAGTGACTTGCGTTAGCCCACGTAGTGAATTACCACAGAGGCGAGCTTCAAAGTGGGGACTTTCCGATTTGTAACTCAGCCTTTTAGCATGAGGTTATAGGAGCAGCAGTGGCCCCTCTGAAATAGCAGGGATGAAAAACTCCGGCCTACCTTGCAGGGCTGCTTACTATCAGCAACTAGGCTGCTGGTTTGGCGTGATCTGTCTTTGGGGCAGTTTCTTTCTGGTTTTCAGTGGTTTGCCATTGGGAGTTGGACGGGGCATGTGGTCGTGAAAAGTATTGTCACTTTTTTCCACATTGCAGAAGAAGGAAAGGCATCGCAAGGCAATAGGGAAAATCCACAAAAACAAAATCAGAAGCGATGGCTCGTGACAGAGGAGATAAGGGACACTTTCTTGAACCAACAGCCAGTGGAGGAGGCATTCCTGAGAGACTTGAGCAAGGAGGAGTTACAAGTGTGTTTTGCTGCTTCTGCAAGCTGGCATTTCAACGGCACAACTTTTGTCTGTGCCGTTGTTTATTTCTCACCTCGTTTGGATGGCAGCAAACGATGCTGCCAAAGTGTCCCCCAAATCCTCTCTTGGCTTGCCTTTTCTGCCACACCACCTCTTGTGGGCTTCGGTCACAGGAATGTGATGATCTTAGTATTTTTATCAGCCTTATTATGAATCACTATTAGCACTATTAACCACAAGCATAGTTACAAACAGTTATTAGTGTAAGTAACCATTAAGATAGCTATGAACCCATTAATCGTTAGCATAATTATAGGGCAATTGATCATTAGCATAATTATTAAGAGCATTATCATAATTATGAGCAATTAGGAATCTTAAGCATAAGTATTAACAAGTTTATCATAACGCATATCTAGCATTAATCATGAGCTTGAATATGAACAATTATGAACGCGTAGCATGATTAATAATTATGATCAATTAGTATTAATCACCCATGTAATTCTGAATAGTTATTCGCATTATTAATCCTTAGCACAATACTGAATAATTATTAGCACTGTGAATCACTGACATAGTTGTGAATAATTATTAGCATTATTAAGCTTTAGCATGGAAATTAAAAATTAATTCTTATTACCGCAGTTATTAATTAAAGGTAATTCTTATTACCTTTAGTATTTGATCGAGCAAGAAAAAGTCATAGAAAAAAAAGATGTGAAAGTTGCACATACAAACTTACTTTAGGGACGCGATGAAAGCCGCCTCTGGAAGCGCGTTTCACAATATGCCGAGCACTCGCCGTCGCGCCCCTCTACCCTTTAGTATCTCTACGTTGCAGCCACCCTTCCGGCCAGGGCTGGAAAGCGCGAGAAACAAATGAGGCCTAAACTTCCGGTCTGCGTGGCGTGATTCGCTTTTCGGGGGCGGGGTGGCCTGGAAGTGGCACGGCTCGGTGGGGAAAGCCCGGCCGCTCCGGGCCCGAAATTGGGCGGCGTTTGCCCGGGCGCCCGCCCCTGCAGTGAGAGATACAGAAAGAACCCAGCGCCTCCCCGCGGCGGAGAGCCGCAGAGCCCTGAAAATGGCCGAGAAGGGCGCGAGTGGCGCCGCTTCCGGTTTGCGCGAGGAATGCTTTCTCTTTCCTCCCTCCCGCTTGCCGCTCCCGTTGTCATGGCGAGACGCACAGGAGGCGCGTTCGGGCGCTGCCATGGCGACGCGGCGACGCGGGGAGGCGGGGCTTCCCGGAGCCGGCGGCGGCGGCGGAGATGGTGAGAGCGGGAGCCCAAAGGGTCCCGGGGCTCAGGCGCTGCCCGGGCGGGAGGGGGAGCCTTTCGATCTCCCACCGTGGTGGGGCGTCATGGGAAGGGAAGGCTAGAGTCAGGGCCGGGGCAAGCCAAAGGCACTCTGCCCATCCTCAGAGGCTCATGTTCCTAAATGGCTTGCCTCCCATCGAGCGATGACCCAGCGAAGCAGGGCAGCCATTCTGCCGCTTGGAAAGATCTCTTTGCCGGCTACTGCAAGTCGCACTGAACCTTTGTGATTGGCTGGCATCCAAATGATATTTGTTTAAGATCAAATAGTGTTACTCTGTAATACATGCATAACCAAAATAAGACATTGAAGTCATCCTCATTGATAAGCATCTGTTATTGCATCCTTTAAATATGCATGAAAACTTATATCCCCTCTTTCAAGGAGACCAAGGCTGTTTGCATGGACTTCCTGCTCATCTCTGTCTCTAAAAGCAACCCAGTGCACTTACCAGTGTTAATAGTAGTATAGCTTTTTATCCCAAAATAGTAACTATCTATAACAACAAATATACTATATTCACAGGTGTGTTGGTGGCCTTCCAGAGATCCAGAACAGGGCATAATAAAACGCATGCTTCATGTGCTTCTTGCGCTCCCTGAGTTTCTGGGAAGGGTGAGCTTAGGAGCACCAAACCCTAGTGCCGATCGTTCGTAACGTAGCACTTCCTTTCTCCTTCCCTGCAGCGGGGCAGCGTGTACTCGCTGGGCGCGTCCTCAAACGTCTCTTCTGCCCGCTCCCGCTCCCATTCTCACGCCCGCTACAGAACCAGGGCCGCCAACTCAGAAGTGGACGAGAGCCTCTTTGGGATGGTCAAGGTGAGCGTGAGAACAGAGGGGGCCTCTTGGCAAAGGCTGATTAACAAGAATAAAATGCTAAGGGCGTTCTAGCTTCCGTTGGCCAGTCAGCTTTGGCTGGGTTCCTGACACCACCAGGAGAAGCGAGACAGGTCAGGAGAGATCTTAATCTGTGGCTTGTTTAGGGTGATGGCAGAACCAAGAACTCTCCTTACAAGCCAGAGTTTAAGTCAAGAACAATCCCTGGGTTATATGACGCCGACGTGTTAGGAGAAGGACCAGAGATCCTCGTTCACATGTAGCACTAAACAAACCACAGCTGGAAGTCCCTCGGCTTGTTGCATCTGGCAGGAGGAGGCAGGCAGGAGGATCTGTGCAATATGCCCGCTCAAAAAAATAAAAATAAAATCCAGCTTGCTATGATGTCCAAATGTGGCAAGTATCTTTTAATAGCACTTGTGCATTTTAAACTTTTCCATCCTCGCTTCATCCCTGTGGCAGCGTGCCTTGGCCGGGCCCCGATCGCAACATGCATCCATCCTAAAAATACGCTCGAGTTTCTATATATGTACTTCTTTAAAACATTTCCATCTTGGAGGCAGCCCACAGCAGCCAGTCCCCTTCAGCAACTCAGGACTGACATAAAACAACGGGATTGCTAAAATGGGGCAACTGCTTGCAGATTCTCCCCTGCCCCCTCGCAAGTGGTCGGATTTGCCCCAGGGTTCTCTCTATGGGGCAAGGTGAGCTGTAATACATCTCACCTCAACAAGAAGACTGTAGCCAGGCGGGTACCTGCCTATCTAGGAGGTGCCACCTGCAGATGGACAGCACCAAGGCCCATGTTGCACTCACTTGTTAAGATTCTTTATCCTAAGGGGCTTTTCTGCATGGTGGGTTTGTTGCTATTTCCTTTTACGTTGTGGGAGGGAAAACATCCTGGGCTTTGTATTCCGCTGCCTTCCTGTATATTCCATTAACCAAGCATAAAATGGAGCGGCAGTAAAACAGATTTGTAACCATTCACAATTTTCCCAGTTTGTCACAATTTGAAATGTAATACCAGCTTTTCCTCCCTTGGGGGGGGGGGAATCCACAAAAAAGGCTGGAAAATAAGAGAGAGGCCCTGGAGGACGATGAGGATATGGAAAAGCCCCACAGATTTCTATGAGGACTCAATAAGCACCTCATGGAGAGAGGCCCTCAGTCTGAACAGCCCTTCAGACAAGGACTGCCCTCTGTCAATTAGATCAATGGCCACCCTTGACTTAAACCGCCCCCAAGCAGCACAGTCCAATATAAACGCTTCTTGCTCTTGGCTCGCTGATGTTCGTGTGAACAAACAGATTGCTCAGCCCTGTGTCTGCAGCCCTCCCATGGGGAAGGACCCCTCTGCCACGCGTCTTGCTGAATGCCACAACAAAGGCATTCAGGACCGCATGTCCTGTTTAGGTCCCGGCCAGAGGGAGACCAACATTGCCCCATCCATCAGCCAGAGAAGAACAGCCTCAACTTTCCTTCTTAGAAAGAACCCCTTGTAAGAACTTTGAAACTAAAAAAGGGTGTTGAGTTTTCGCGTTTATTTTTCTCCTCTCCTCTCTCGCAATTTCTTTCCCTTTTATGTCCTTTCTTTTAAGCTGTAAGCATTTGAGGCATGGGCAATCTTATTATTCATCTTTGTAATCCACTTTGGGATGCTTCCTTTGGCAAAAGTGTGGGGGAAAATACTGCAGATAAGTAAGTACATTGTCCTTTCAAGTTGAAAGGCTTGAAATCGTGCTTATTTTCCCCTCCCTGCCCACCCCCCATACACAGCCAGCCTCAGTCCAGCCAGAACAGGGTGGATGTACCAGCAGAAGGACCCCAAGGGGACAGGCCAGTACACAGTAGCCATCCCAGAGTTCCTTGCAGCCCTTCTCACCTCTGACCTTTCTTGCAGAACGTCCACCTCCCGCGCTCGGGCAGCCCCATCGTGGTCCTTCAGGATGCCAAGCTGGCCATGGGGAAGTCGCTTGGCTGGGGCCACAAGCCTGAAACCATCCGCCTCATCACGAGAGACCTCATCCGGGATCTTGTGTATGTTCGCTGTCCTTCTGCTATCCCCCACGTCCTCCTTGAGGCCATTCTCTGGGGCCCCTGTGCGCCATCTCTGTGCACTGGGAAGAGCTTAACAAACAGCTTGCTTGGGGTGGAGCTAGGAATTGAATTCATTGCTTGGACAACAGCTAAGCCTGTCAGTCGGCAGGTAAATTTAACAGGTAGGCACGTGTATTCTCTGCTAGAAGTACGTATGATGCTGATTTATTGTTGTTTAACCAGTTGGCGAGGTGGGTTACTCAGTTTGGAGTATGAAAGCAGGTGGAATTTAAAACTGACTTCCTGTTGTGCATCTTCCCCTGGGTAAAGAGTTCCTTTACTGAGGCACCTTCTTCTATGAAATTCCAAAGATTAGGCCCTTAAAAATTGGCTACCAACCCACCGGAAGGCTGAAGCTATTGGGCAATACAGAAATGGAATTAATAATAGTAGAAATAAAAATAGTGATCAAGCACTGTGATTTTGATTCCTCTTCTTTGTGACTGGCAGAAAGCACTGCTTCACCCGCCGTGGTTCCCCCACCAGGTCACCACTTCTCCCCAGCCCAGCCGTGAAATAAAACTCAGCCTTCCAGTGTCAAATGACACGCCATCTCGTTCGGCCCTAAGAGTTGTGGACCTGCTGCTACTTCTTGCCCCTCTTCTGTGCGATCCCAGCTTGGCCCGCCTCCATCTTCCACCAGAGAAGCAATAGGCATGGAGAGTCCGCACCTTTTGCAGGGAGGGGAGCAGGGGGAGGGAAGACCAACCTGGCCCATCCATCACCCCGAGAAGGCAAGTCCAGAAGGCTTGCTTCGCCTTTCCTTCCTTGCCAGAACGAACACCTGTAAGAAACCTGGAGCTAAAAGCGGGCACCTGAGGTTTGGCTATCCCTCCCTTCCAGCCCCTTTTTCTCTTACGGTGCCTCTTTTTATCTCCTTCTCCATACCCAGCGTGCCCAAAGTGGACCCGTCAGGGGAATCCCTGATCATAAGCCCTCAGGACTACGCACGCATCAAGGACGCGTCCCAGGTGCTGACGAAGGAGGAGCGCGAAGCTCAACAAGCCGTCCTCAGGGCGGAGCGAGAAGCCATCATGGTGCGTGTGTTTGCTTACCATTTCCGTCTTGTCTGCATTTACATCCCACCTTTTCTCCCAGGGGCTCAGGAAGGGTGTCCAGCGTTCAGTCTGCTTGTTTTTATTTTACTTTCCAAGGGCACAGGCGTCATCCACAAGGCCTCCCGGGGCATCGGCGTGTCCTGAACACCCAAAAAAAACCAGACAATAAAGCCGTCACATTACAAAGTAATTGGCCTGAGCTAAACAACCACCAAACAAACAAATGAACCCGTTAAAAGAAGAGCTAACTATCGGCTTTCACTCGCAGCCCACAAAGTACCAAACTAACGTGCCTGCCGCCTCAAGTCACTCATGCTAACCCTGCCCAAAGAGGGTACATTTATTATTTATTTATTATTATTTATTAAAACATTTTTATGCCGCCCCATTCGCCGACGCCTCAGGGTGGCTTACAACAAAGTTAGGCATGAGCGTGTCTGCATGGGAAACGTACATTGGGCAGGAGTGCAGTACTTGGTCTCACGTTCCCGAGCCGTCTCCGGGGGTGGCTCCAGAGAGGGCCTGTTACAGTAGTCTAGTCTGGAAGCCTCTCATACGCCACATCTCTGTTTCCCAGTAGTGGGCGCATCAGCCAATACAGACCTGTTGGCGCAGGGCCGGGACTCGGGAGTCCCTGCTCAGCCACGAAGCTGACTGGGTGTCTCTGGGCCAGCCAGACTCTCAGCCTCACCTACCTCACAGGGTTGTTGTGTGGATGAGATGGAGAAGAGGATCCTGTTAGCACGGTCTCGCAGAGCAAGTCCTTATCGACCCTCCTCTGGGTGGACCTGCCGTTTGGGCGGAGTGGGGGAGCCGGAGGAGAGCGTCTCCTCGGCAGGGGTGCTCTTTTGAGAGATGCTCGCCCGGCTCTCTGACACTTGCTGTCTCCCCTCCTCCAATTTATTTACAGATTGGTAGCCAGTGAGGTCCAAGGTTTTTAAAACTCTAAATTTCACTGCATCATTTTGTGTTGCTTCCTGCAATCTTTGTGTTTGAGTATGTTGCATTGATTGACTGTTTATTCATTCATTTGTAAGCCACCTTGGACATATTTCACCAAAGGGTGGCATATAAATATTTTCATTATTTATTTATTAAAGTGTTGGGTTTTTTTTTTTTTAATCTACTCTTCCCTCAGCACGTTGCTCTTGGCTTTAAAACGAATCGAATCAATTTTGCGTCCTGTTACGGATTTTCCAACCCAGGACAAGAAAACGCTACTAACTGGTTTCTCACTCTCGCTTTTCTGCCCCAGGTTGCAGTGAACGAGCGGAAGAAATCCATGAAGCTGAAGGAGATCTTGCGGAAGAAGAACGAGAAACTCAACGACCTGGAACAGGAGGCCAAGGAGCGGGCGCAGTACCTGCTGGAGCGGGCCGCCAACCTGCGCATAGAACAGGAGGATGAGATCAAGAAGCTTGGCGAGGTGGGGGTGAAGGCGGCGAGGAACAGGATCCCTGCGGGAAGCCCTGTATTTAACAAAAACTTGCCCTAGGTGACCGAGACTTCCGTGTGGGCCAGACCTTTCCTTCCTCTACCAATCTGCTTGGTTTCTGTGCTCGCCACAGGGAAAGGGACATGTCATGGAAACTTTTAAAGTGGGCCGGCTGAGGCCATCGGGTCGCTCTGTCCATCAGGTAGACTTGATGGAAGGTCACTTACGTTAGTGCTGAGAAACAGAAGTCCGGTTGATTTTAATGAAGCTACCCTGTCACAGCTCTGGGTTGGACCCTGGTTTAAACCTCCAGCTTCTGGAAGTGCGTTTAACTCTAGAGGTGGTTTCAGGAGTACATTCTGGGGCAGAAAGCTTTCATGAGAAACGCTGGGGCCAAACCCCAGCTTCCAGTGAAGCTGCACATGCATTTCACCCCACAGCTCAGCTACCCTTGTTGCACTCGGGCATCTTACTCACGGAGGGGAAGCCAGTGGGACTCTGGCAGGGTCAGAGCTGAGCAACGAGACAGAACAATCAAGTCAGGGTAGCGAGATTGTGTCCAGTAAGCCAAATCCCACTGTAGTAGGAACAGTCAGCTGAGCAAAGACCACTGACCCAGGAGCATGGAAAGTTCATGTTGAGCATCACCGGGAGACCTCTTCCCCTGCTAAAGCCATAGGAAGACGTCATCTCAGTTGTGAGCAGAAGCCCACTGACCTCACATAGGCAGCCGCACAGTCTCGCTTGATCAGCTCTGCTCCTTCTGGAGTCGCTGGCCAGACCCTTAAACAGCCCTCACCTGATTTTGGAACTTCAGGCTTTGCGAGGCCAGGAGGGCGGTGGTTCTGCGGGGCGCTTGCATGTGCTGGCAACAACATGTTTTCTGGATGACTCTGAGGTTGCCTGGCCTCCTCTTGCAAGAGTTGTCTGACATCCCTTTAGGGGGGTGTCTTCTCCTGCACCCTGAAAAGTCCTGGGACCCATGCCACCCCTGTGCGCCTTGCAGATCATCCTGGAGGCCAAATGCCACGCCATCCGTGATGCGCAGATCCTGGAGAAGAAGCAGATTGAGAAGGAGCTGTCCGAGGAGGAGATGCGGCTGGACCACATGATGGAGGCGGAGAGGCAGAAAGCCAACAAGATGCAGGACGAGCTGGAGCGAAAGAGGAAGGAGGAGCTTTTCCGGTGAGGCCACCCTGCCGCCTTCAGCAGGACTTCGGGCTGCCGGTCCAGCCAGGCTGAAATTACACACAGGCAACGACAAAATCGCTCGCCTCCCATTTTTTCCTCCCACCAATAGAACATGTGGCAGGCTTCTGTATGATTTCGGGAGCCTCTTTGACCAGAGCCAGAGCCAGGAAAAAAATAAGCGCTCCTGCTCACGGTCCACCGTGCAGACGCCACGGAAGAGGCTGAGCCGAGAGCCAGAAGGCTCCTCATTCCAGTCTTAGCTTAGGCAGCTCAGGGGTTCGGTGTGGGCAGGCCCCGGTCACCACTAAGGGCCGTTTTCTGCCACCTGCTTTGCAGGGGGAGGCGCCACATCATCGAGCAGATAGAGAAGAACGAGGAGTTGCGGGCTATGAAGGCCGAGCAGCGGGACCAGGAGGCACAGGAGATGCTGGACTACCTGGAGCGGCTGCAGTTTGAAGACGAGCGGGTAAAGCGTGGCACCAAGGCCTTGATGCTTGCCACCAGCCTCCCTGCAGGCCAAGGCCTCCGAAACCAAACACAAATTCCAGCTCTGGAAGCCGCGTGGAGGCAAGCCGGGTCTCCCTCAAGCGAGGCGGCTGGCTTCAAGCGGGAGGGCAGCTTCACGAGGCAGCCTCGTTCTTCGTTCCCCTCTCCAGGAAATGGAGCGCCGGAGGCTGGAGCAGCTGAAGATCCAGGCCGAGATACGGCACATCAATGACGAGAATCAGAAGCGCAAGGAAGAGAAGCAGCAGCAGGAGAAGCAGGCCGACCTGCGGGTGCTGGAGTACCAGCGGCAGAAGATGGTGTGTGGCCGGGCCGGGCCTGATTCTGGGCTGGGATCACCTCCAGAGGTCCCGTTGCGTGTCCGACCACCGCACACGGCCCGGGGGTGGAGATGCGAGGCACAAAGGTTTCAGCAAGCAGAAAAGGCTTTTCTTCTCTCCTCAGTTTGCGCCGGTTCAGTTCATAGCAACTGCCTGGGAGAACAAGAGCACCGTTAGGACCAAGGGCATAAAATGAAGTTGTACGTTTCAATGGGCACTTGTCTGGCAGCTCCCAGCATGCCCTTGTGCATGGATGGCTGGGGCATGCTGGGAGGTGTCGGACTATTTCCTGTTGAGCATGCATTGGCTTGCACCCTGAATAAGAGAGAAGGGCCCCAGAGCCACAGCGGAAAACCGTTCCAGAGGGAGGTTTGGCTGTGCAAGTGCCCCAGCCCTCCCTTGGCCACGGCTGCGAGGTCTTCCAAGCTGAGCCCTGGCAGCCGCTTAGCAAAGAAAAGACGGGGATTGGCTGCTGAAAAATTCAGCATATGTGGAACTTGGGACGTGCTGCGGATCCCCCCAAATGCCCTACTGAAGCTCGGAAACAGCACGTGAAGCGAGAATCTTTTGCACCTTCTTACAGCCCATCCCTCTCCTTGGCCGTTCGTTTAAAAGTATTTTTATCCCCCTCCCCAAAGCGACTTAGTGCAGTCACGAAAACAAGAGCACTGAATGGGAAGGGGGTGTGGGAGGGAAGACAGGGAAGCATGAAGCCGGCCCTGCTTCCCTTTGCATCTTGCCCCATTCCCGGCCAGAGTGGCGACGTCGATCCGCTCGCCCGGCATCCCCGGTTGCGGGGTGCCGCAGAACCCCAAGGGCGGCTCGCTCTGACCCACCGGCTCCTCGCCTTGCTCCGACACAGGCCCGGGAGGCTGAATTTGAGGCCGAGCAGGAGAAGATCCGCCGAGAGAAGGAGATGGAGACGGCCCGCCTGCGGGCCTTGCAGGAGAAGGCTCAGGACCACCAGGCAGAGCAGGTACCCGCCCCCCCCCCCCCCGGCAGCGAGAGCCTGTGGGGCGGCCTCCCCGCAACACACAGCCGCCCTGTGGAGTTGGGCAGGGGATGCTGGGAGGCGTGGGGCATCTTCCTGTCGAATACCTGTGCAGGTATTTGGGGGGGGGGAAGTATTCCCGGTGAGCAAGCAGCGTTCTGCTCCGAGATCAGAGCTGGGACTGGGAAAAATCTGGCGGCCCTCTCGGGGCTGCAGGGTCCCCCCGCAGTCATCGGCCCCCAAACATTCTGCTTGTCACGGCAGAGAGAAACCCCCCATCCCGGTTTCCGGCAGAGGCCACGTGCCCCCGGGTGTCCCCAGCCCTCCTCCTGCACTGCCAGTGAGGGGCCTCCCTCGGCCTGGTCCCCCCCGGAGGCGCCCAAGGCTCCCAGTGGCATGTGAGCTGCTGGTGGGGGAACCCTGGCCCACACCCCATGCATGTCTGCAGCCCCGCTTGGGGCTTCACTGAGGCACCCCCCTCTTGGCAGGATGGGCCGGGATGCCCCCCATGGGCCCGCAGGGCACCCCGCCACCCCCCCGCGCCTGCCCTTTCTCCCCCCGCCCTTCGCAGGACGCGCTGCGGGCCAAGCGCAACCAGGAGGCGGCCGAGCGGGAGTGGCGCCGGAAGGAGAAGGACGCCGCGCAGAAGAAGGCGCAGACGGAGGCCATGCTGAAGCAGAGCCGGCTGGAGCAGGTGGCCCACAAGGAGCACAGCCTGGCCGTGCAGGTCCAGCGGGAGCGGGCCGAGTTCGAGCGGATCGTGCGGTGAGGGCTTGCGCGGGCCCCGCGGGCGGGAATCCCGCCTGGGCCAGCTGCTGCGTTGGGAGTCGTGCGGAAACGCTTTCGCCTGGGGCGGCAGAGGGGCTGGGGCCAGAGGGCTTCCCTGGCTTCCAGCCACGGTTCCCCTCCCAGCCGGCCGCGGCTGGCGGTGCTGCAGCACGGCCGGGACTGGGCCAGCAGGAGGAGGGCCCACGGGCTGCCTGCACCACCGGAGCGCTGCCGGGCCGGCCAGCTGCTGCTCCCCCAGAGAGCCATTTGCCCTCCCAGCAAGCTGCCACTGGGCAAGCGGGACAAAGCGCCCGGGCCCACGGGGACAGCCATGGGAAGGGCGGCTTGGCGGCTTTCTGAGACCCGGTGCCCAACCAGCCGTGGGACGCCTTTGCCTCTTCCTCGGGTGGCCTCAGCCCTCTCTGTTTCTCCCCCAAATCCCACAATCCCGATAGAGCCCCTCCTTCCCCTTGCTGCCTAGTGAGGCCAACGCCCTCGGGTCTCTGGGGGAGAGAACGACAGCTCCCTCGGGGGCCACGGGGTGCGCACGGGACTTAAGGCCCCCAAGCCCCAGGGGCCCTGGGGCCATCCGGTGCAGGCCCCCGCTCGAGGCCTCGGCACAGCGCCCGCGTGTCCTCTCCCCGCCGCCAGGATCCAGCGCGAGCAGATCGAGAAGGAGCGGCGGGAGCACGCGCGGCGGGTGGCCCTCCAGCAGGCGCATGCCGACGAGATCCGGCGCCAGGTGCGCGAGCACCAGCAGAAGCAGGTCCAGGAGCGCGTCGCCCTCTTCGAGGAGGGCAAGCGGCTGAAGGAGGAGGCGCGGCGGCGCAGCGAGCGCCTCAACGAGATGAAGCGCAAGAAGCTGGACGAGCTCCGGTGAGAAATCAGCAGCAGGGGAACGTTCCCTCGCGGCTCTGGGATCGCTCAGGCCCGGCATCAGAAGGGCTCTGCCGGGATTCTTTTGTGTGGAAGGGGATTCGGGCACGTAATTTTTCTGGCCGTGGCAAAAGCAGCACAAGGCAGGCCTGTGTTTCACATCTGTGTGAGAAATAGCCGGGAATGTACGAGAATTCCCATTTGCTGGCCAATCACACGTGCAAGTTCAGCACTCTGGATGTGAAGGTTTGCCTGCCAAAAAAATTCCACATCTCCTCCCCAAATCCTGGCACGACTTGCACAAGCGTCCTCCATGCATGGAATCCGCTCCACTTCGGACCATGGAGGAATGTTGCCCAGGTGAGGGAAGCCTGTGCCACCGTCCCAGTTGATCGTGTGGCAAGTTCCCTGTTCCTGCCGAGCGCAGAGGGGAAGCTGGGCGGAGAGAGACTGTTTGGGGAAGCCTTGCCATCCCAGCCATCGGCCTTTCACCCAGCCCAGTAAGTCGGCTGCCCCGGGACGGCCGCAGGCACTCCGGCAAGCAGCCTCGTCTTGATTTTTCTCTCCTCGTTTGCAGAGCTGCCGGCCTCCCTGAGAAGTACTGCGCCGAGGTGGAGCGCAAGGCGTACATGCAGTCGGCCCCGGTGCACTGAGTGGGAAAGACGCTTCCGGCCACACGCCGCAGCCCTGCCGACTCTCCACGGAGCACCCAGATGTTCTATTTATTATCCCAAGGGTTTTATGCGTAGAGGTATTACTGCATGTATCTGATTTTTTTTCTTTAGGGTCACGACACAGACATTCAAGAAGATATTATCTCTGTACTTTGCAGAGCCCCTGCTGGCTCCAGCCAGCATTGTAAATAAACGTTAAGCAGCTATTATGGTGCCTTCTCTCTTCTTTTCTGGTTGGCCTGCTAAATGCTGGCCATGGACGAGGGGCCCCCACGACCTCCAGCCTGCACTCCCGAACTCTTAACAGGCTGATAAAATGCTCTCTACTTAGCAGGCTGGCAGAAGAAAATTGGTAGAAGACCGCCTCGGTTTGCCAACCTGCTCGGTGCCCCGCGGGCACTTTCTGGCTGCCAGAGGGCCAAGGTGGTGCTCAGAGCACAGGACTGGGACTCAGGTGATCCGGGTTCGAGTCCCCGCTCAGCCATGGAGCCAGCTGGGTGACTTTGGGCCGGTCACAGCCTCTCAGTCCAACAACTCACAGGTTGTTGTGAGGAGAATTATGTAAGCCACCTTGAGTTTCTTGCAAGAAAAACGGTGGGATATACAGTAAATATAGCAAAGAAATAAATGCAGACGATGGCATTTGGAAATGGAAGGCTGGATCCTTCCGCGCCGTGACCAGGGTGAGATGCATTGCACCGTTTTGCTGGAGCCGGTGTTTTGTCAGTTGCCAAATTCCTGCTGACAAGAAAATTGGCTTTTGGCTTAAATTAAAAAGAAGGTGGAAAGAGTCATGTGGGGTTGCAGAGACAAGTGTGTAAAACTCCTGGGTTTGTCTGGCTGTTTTTCGGAAGCCAGTGCTTCAGGGGCAAACAGTATCCACCCATCAAGAGCTGGGTTGGACTTTTCTGTCCTTTGAGAGGTACCGATCAGCTTGGCTTATGTAGATTACGCCTGATTCACAGAGTCTTAAAGGAGGGCTGGTCTAACCGCCTAGCAGGAGCCTCTGGGTTTTGAGCCGGTCCCTGGGTTGCTTTGTCGGCCCGTCTTTCTCGACCAACTGGTCAAAAAGATCCCCTGACATCCCTTGGGCTTATGCACAAAAGCTGAAAAGCGCTGAAGGAAAGCTCGTCAGGAGCTTGGACTCTCACCATTGGGAAATCTTCGTGGCATGTGCAGCGCAGGGAAGGAGAGAAGACCAGATGCCCAAAGGGGGAGAAGGAAACCAGTGGAAGAGCCATTAAATAAGCAACCATCAGCTCGAAAGGGACACGCCTTCCCTGGGCGGCAGTGACTGAACATGACTGAGGAGAAGGGCGTGAGCCGGGCAGAGATGGCGCGTGCTAAAGGAAGTCGGTCGGAAGCCCTTGGACGAGGCATCGTGGGCGGGCAGAGCCGGCGTGCCGGTTGCTGTGTCGGGCCCTGCCCTTCTTTTCGAGGGTGGCCAACGGCCCGAGGGGCGGCCGCAGCTGGGCTCCTTTGGGGGAAGGCCTCCTCATGCGGCACAGGGGCAAAGCGCAAGATCCACCACCGCAGATGCAACTTGGATGGCTTTCGAAAGAGTCGGCAACGCTCCCGTAGGACAAGCTTATCTGTGACTGCCAGCCACGATGCCGCCCTGTTCCCTCCAGTATCGAAGGCCACATGCCTCCTATCCCAGAAGCGGATGGGCGCTATCCGCTTCCCATCTTCCCCGTGGGCTTCCAGTTGGAACAGCTGTCTGGCCCCCAACCGCTGCCCTGGGAGGGCCTTTGCTTTGATCCGGCCCGGCCCGGCGTCTATTCTTAGTCGCGAGATCCCACTTCCTCCATGATGTGATAAACCAGCCCAGATGTGAATTTGGAAGTATCGATTGCAATGTACATAGAAGCCCTTCAGAGGAACGTGCAGACAAGCGCTGGCTCCCTCGGCCAGGAAACGGAGAGGAGCACCGCCCCCTAGAGTCAGGCATGACTGGACTTAACGTCAAGGGGAAACCTTTACCTTTACTGCAATGTAAATAGAAGCCTTTCAGAGGAATGTGCTGTTCTCAGTGGAATAGGATGCATGGCCCTTCAAACAGCTGGAATCAGAAAGCTGGAGGGGACCGGCCCCCGGTCTAATCCTGCATGGCCCTTGCACTGGTCCTCGGGAGAGCCAGGGTGCCCGCATCCAGGCACAACAATCCACAACCCACGAGCCTTAATTGCCAAATGACACCTCTGTCTCCAGGGGCAGCCATCTCCTGGTGCGTCCAGAGAGGGCAAACAACTGCGGAAGTCCGTCTCCTCCCTTCCCTCCTTTGGGAGCTTCCCGGGGGCAGACCAGTGCCCAGGTAAATGAAACTTGGCCTTCCTCTACCGAAGGCCATAATTAAGCTCTTATGACTTCAGTCTGGCAAACAGCGTTACCAATTTCTGCCACTCAGTTGCGGATGCCACACCCAGGAGAGCACCAAAGCCACAAGCCAAATGTGTTGATTTTGCTCAGCGTATGAGCCTCTGTGTGGGATTTTCCCCCAGCCGGGCTGTTTTGACACACAACAACCGCTGCATTTTTACACACCTGTGCTAATGCTAAGTCCATTCCTCCCTCTTGCCTTTCCCAAGCTGCCAGCGTCGGAGAAAGGGACTGGGTGATTTTGGGAGGTTAGGGTCGGATCTGCAGGAATTTCTTTGCAAAAAGAGAGGTCGCTTCACCAGGAAAACACTGGGAAGCGCTCAACCAGACTTGGCGTTCTCTGACCTGCTTACTTCCAAACTCTAATTAGAGGCAGGGTTAATTAACCCTAACCAAATTAGGCTGCCCTTGGCTTTGCAATAGGTCCCTGCCGGCCCATCCTAGCACTGCTCAAAACAATGGAATGCTGACTTCCTGGAAAGCCAGCCGGAAGGAAGAACCGGACTGGCGCTCGATTGCAGCGTTTCGTCTGTGCAGCTGTATGTACAGCCTTGCCCTCGACAACCCCAGAACGGGACGATTGCTAAAAGAATCCCTCATCGCAAATCGGTCAGGTGCTTGCTAGAAGGCCCCGGGAAGCACCTACCTGGAAACCTGTTGATGCCACGGGCAGTTCGAAAGGGAGGAGCCCCTCTGCATTTCCGGTTTAGATCCTGAGCGAGGGAGACGAGAGGATTCGCCAGGTTCTCCACAAGTGGGACAGAAAAGAGCCTGAAATGCAAAACAGACTAACTGCAGCTGGAACGCAAATCGGCCGATAGGAACATGCTAGTCCAGGGCCATGTTTTTAAAGTCCGGATTTGAATCCCCGTGTGGGTCAAGTCCTGTTAGCCTCGCCTCTTTTTCCTGGCAGGGTCTTCACCTTTTATAATAGCCCTATGGCTGGTTGGTATTCCCACACCTAGGAATAGCCAGGCCTGTTTTTGATTTTTGTAAGCTGCCCTGAGATGCTTTTGCATATAGGGCAGGGTATAAATATTTTAAATAATTAACATAACATAACATAACATAACATAACATAACATAACATAACATAATATAATATACTGTGTGCCTTCACCGCTTTGAGTATCTTGCATACACCAAGCGATAACAATGCCCAGTCAGTCCATTTCTGTTCTGGCTTGTAACAAAACATAACATGGACAAATCAAAGGACTGGCAAGATAATATTTCTGTATCCTGACAGTCTCCCCAGCAGATGCAATATCTCTATTTTTTATTATTATTTCATTTCTATACCGCCCATAGCCAAAGCCCTCTGAGAGGTTTACAGCATTTAACTAGGCATTCAGTCCGGATATGCATTAATGAGCACATCTATTTAAGTCCACACTTGCCTGATTGAAGGGAGATTAGGCAGATGTCTGCCACCAGCTCTTAAATGGAGTTTACACAGACAATTTACAGAATTCTGTCAATCACATGCCATTACCTCTGAGCTCTGCTTCTGGGCGTTCCAGAAGCAGCAAATCTGATCAAACCATCAGCTTTGAGATGCACTATCATGACTGTGTGCATTTCTATTCATAGTTGCAGTGTCTAATGCTGAGCCATAGAATTTGGCATGCTGAGATACTCAGCATGTTTCTAGTCCTCAAGAGAGAAAGCACTGACTGCCTCAAATGCTACAGGGAAGCTGCCTTAGCCATTATAGGAGGAACAATTTAGTCTGGCATAACTTTTGTGGACAAAGCCTTTCTATCTATCTATCTATCTATCTATCTATCTATCTATTTAGAGAACTTCTATGCCGCCCCATTCGCCGAAGCTTCGGGGCGGCTCACAATCATAAATAAATAACATAATATAAAACAATATAATTTAACAGTATAATTTAAGTCGCAGACTCTTACTTGCGAAAGCTTACGCCAGCATACATAAACACCTAATAAAATTTCTCAAGCCCAAGGCTGGGCAAGATTTCCAGTAATCCATGCGCAACCTCTTCTGCTCTACCTTCCCGGGCTGTTGTAAGAGATGCTTGTATAATTTCTTCCCATGTACACTGGGAAGTCTGAGGCCCAATAAAGATGCAATTAATGTATATCAAAGAGACACCACAAACTCCAAACCAAGTGACACCTGGTTTTGGTTTTTGTTGCTGCTAGCTGCGAAGTCGCGTCTGACCCATCGCGACCCCATAGACAACACTCCTCCGGACCTTCCTGTCCTCCACCATCCCCTGGAGTCCAGCTAAGCTCACGACTGCCCCAGTGACCCCATCCAGCCCCCTCATCCTCTGCCGCCCCCTTCTTCCTTTGCCATCCATTGTTCCCAGCATCAGGGTCTTCTCCAGGGAGCCCTTCCTTCTCATTAGGTGGCCAAAATATTTGAGTTTCATCTTCAGGATCTGGCACATCCTATTTATAAACCTACAGCTGTTATAGATTTAAACATTTCTCTGTATGTCCCTCTCTCACCCATCAATTTATCTCAACAGATCTGAAAAGGTGAAACATTTCAGTATAAAACTCCCGTTCCGGTCTCGAACCAGACCATGCTACAGCGACAAAACTTATAAACTGGGTACTCATATTTATGCTAAGCCTTTTTCCAAGATGTCTTTCAAAACCAGGGCGGTGCCTCCAAGCCCCATCCGTTTTATAGAGACATTCACAGCACATTCACCAGGTTTGCATCGCTGTTCCATGAAGTGACAGATGTCATGCGAACCTGCGTGACACGTCAACCGTTCACCCAGCCCTGTGAAGGATCCAGGCGCTGCTTCCTTTGCTCCATAAATCTTACTCTCATCCAGTCCGCAGAAAGATCATCCGCCCATTGCCTCCAGGCTGACGAGCTAATTGTGAGTTTGCTGGGTGTTTCTCCTCCCTTGCTGATGCAGAATGATAGAAGAGCCGTCGAGTCCACCCCAAAGAGACACGCCAAACATAAAGACACTCCCTCCTTCCAGCACCCAGACCACAACCATCCCCAGTGAGGTTGTGGAGCAAGGCACCGTTTGGGTGGGTGACCAGGCAGCTGTATAAGTCATCCCTGCACACAGAAATCTACCTTCTCAAGGAAAAGCATTCTTGCTAAATTTCTCTGAGCAGGGAGATATTCATTTGTTCGCTTTCCATGGAGCTGCTTTTGATTATTCGAACATTGTCAGATGGGTTGGAGCCGAGCTGGGTTGGAAACTCACGGGACTGAATGCCTCATTTAAATCCTATTGCTCTCTCTGGGACCGCCGGATCAACCGTCTGTGCTTCCATGTGAAATGGAGTAATCCAGACCTAAACTCATCCCTTTCATGAGAAATAAGCATGGTTCTTAAGCTTAATACTGCCCGCTACACACACACACCAAGAGTCAGTCTCTTTGCTTTTGGATTTTTCTTCTTCTCTCATGTGCATATTTCTGCAGATTTAATGAACCCAAACTGGTAACAATTAATGCACTAAATATTCCATCACCGAGTGCCAGGCCTGGCTTAAGTTTCTTCTGCGACTGATCAACAGAAGTGTCCTTAGCCCCTCTGTGCAAGTAGCTGGACCCAAGTTACTAGTCCATGGGGTAGGGGCTTGAAGAATGGCAAAGGGGCTCTGCGGACATGCTCCAAAGCTCCGCATCCTGCTGCCCACATCAGTCTAGTGTGGACCTTACACAAAACTAAGTTTCCTGCGTCAGTGCTCAATAAAGAGGCGTTCACAAGCCCGGCTCAGCAATTTCTGAGTGGCGAAGCCCCAAACCCCACGCCTGCCATTCCGGAGGAGCACGTACTTCTCTCATTCTGCCCTGAAGCTCATGGCAGGGTACCCTGTCGGAGACCCCAGATAAACCCCGCTTTAGGGCTGCATGTGGGAATGTGCAGAAACTTTTGAAATCTGTCCCATCTACGTTGCATGGATTATAAGTCTTCTTTCCCCCTGTCAGTAGCTCATGGACCGAACTGGGATTTTCCAAGGATGCATGAGAATGTTGCACCAACTGCACCAGTCCAGATTTGGACGAAGAGAATTCACACCAGCAGCCGTACACACGAGTGCACAGAGATATTAGTACTAATGTGTGTTAGTTCAGGTGTGGAATTGTCCAAATCTTGCACACGCAGATGTTGAAGAAACTGGTTCGCAAGCCTGCGTGATCCAGAAAATGTGGAATCCAGTTTTAATTCCTGCACATCCAAACTCACACGAATCCACGGTGGATTCATGTACCACCAGACCCATGCTTCCGACAACCTGAGCCCTCCAAGAAGCCCACCCGTAACTACAGCAGCAATTTGTGGCACATGGGCACGCCAAAGCTGGGACGGGGAAGGGGCGAGCCCCAATTCTTTCCCAACTTGTGAAAGCGTTATGGTCTGGTCACCTGAACTTGTCTTGCGTTATGTTCTCCAGGTCTGCTCCACCGATCCAATCTGAGGAGTCATGACTTTGCCACAGCAGTTCAGTTTCATTGATGTGCCACACGCTCATTAATGAAAACTCTGTGCCCAAAAAAAAAAAAAAGGAAAGGAAGTGCAATAGCATCACTGTTCTTTCTTAGGGATCATCTTGGGAGCGAGCGAGCCGTGACTTTTCATGGAATCAGCCCCTATTTTGCAATCTCCCAGTTTCAAGCCCAGCAATGAAAGCACGCGGCTTCTTTTGCACTTCACAATCAGGACCAGGCCATCCGGATCTTGGCAAAGCAGCAAGAAATTCGGATGCAGAGGAGGATGGGAAGTGTTGCTGCTGTACGCCGTGGCCCTTGATGCGACAGCATTCAACACACACTGAACCTGGGGGGCACAAACTGCCCCCCACCTTGAAACAGCCCTGCACCCCCATGCCGGTTTGGGGGAGCGGGCAGAACGCCAGCCCATCTCTGCTTCCAAGCTGGCCCACAGGAGCCCAGAAATAAATCAAAGTATCCAAAACATCCTCAGTCAAGAATCCTAAAAGTCCCAGCAAACAGCTCAGGGCCTTGCTTTTCTTGCCACACGTGTGTGTGAATTTCAAGTTTGGTTCAAGTAATAAAAAAATGAACCCTTAGAAAACCCCGGAGGGATCCAGCTAAGTTTGCCCCAAACGAGGTCTGTGCATCCGGCACGGGACTTGACTCTCACGCATCCTCTTTGTGTCGTGTGTGGAAATCGCCAAGATGAAAGTGTTGCTTAATTGTTAAGTGTGCAGCAGCTTCAAAGGAAACTGGGATGGGTCCCTGGCTCAGCGTTGCAGTTTGGGGGAAGCGCTGTCACCGGCTGCAACTCAACGCAAAGGAATCTTGACCTCACACGCCAAGCAAACCCAGGAGGGTAAAAATATCGAGGAGGCTGTGATCTTCCTCCAACTCTCCGCCTGTGCGGAGCTGCTTCGGTCCTGCCAGACTCTCTTTGCCATCATCATACGGAAATCCAGCTTTTTGCAGCAATGGCAGTGAGCCAGGCTCTCCGGCTGCTGCTCACCTGTATGATGCTAGGTAAGAGGTTTCATTTGGGATTATCTTGATTGATGCAATTTCTGTGCAAATCTTTCTGATTTCTATCTTGCAAAGGGATGTGGTTTCCAGCTAGAACCAGTTGCTGACAAAAGGTCCGAGACTTAGAATGTAAATTCCAGAAAACTTTCAAGGTTTCAAGGTGAGAAAAGGGGGCTCTTTTGGAAAGGAATAGAGTAATGTAGTAGTTTAAGGGGCTTGGCTAGGGCCCCGTTCAAATTCCCACAATAGGAAACTTAGCTTACCTTACAGGCTGTTGTGAAAATAAACATACATGCCGCGTTGAGAGCAAAAGCAGGATGTATTATATGTAGGTTTTCACATTTTCTCGGTTTACCTAAACATCGGTGTCTGCTTTCTGCCACTTGTTCTTGAAATCTTGTTACAGTTTAATTTTGTTATTGCTCAATTGTTTTTTTAAGCCTGAGTGCCGCTCTTTTATTTAATAAACTATTTGGAGAAGGTAACAAAAGGCAGCATTCCAGCTGAAATGGTAACTAGATTAGAATACAAGAAGGTTAGACCAGATCTGGAAAAAATCAGCAAAGAGGCTTGCTTTATCTCTGCAACTCTCTGACATATTTTCAGAGCACCTGGGTGTTCGAAGTGTTAGGCATGATTCAAATCCAAAGCAGCAAGAAATTCAGAATAAAACATGATGCACCGTAGCAATACAATAGCAGAATAAAACAACAAGCAAGAAACTCAGAATAAAACATGATGCACCATAGCAATACAATAGCAATAGAAGACAGAGCGTCCGGTGCATCTAATCCACATTTTAATTGTTCCAGTTTTTGGAGAAAGAGCAGGCCTGTTGGTTACCCTGGCCAACTGGGCACTGTTTGCACCTAGGAGAGAGAAATTGGCAGGCCGCATGCAGAAATGTCTTCTCCGAGAAAGGGGAAGCTCATCCCACCCACCCCAAAATTACTCCAGGGAAGGCTGTGGATCCCAACGGCCGAAAAGGGGGAACCAGGCTTCGCGGCAGAGAAACAGCGGGGGACGGGGCTGAAACAATGATCGGGAACGCTCTTGCCATAACATTTGGTGGTCTGACTTTTATGATCGCGTCACATCGTCCAAACCAACTTTGTGTATCATAAATAATTGGAATTTGGGAAGTGGGGAAGGGAAAAGCAAGAGGGGAGGAGAGATGAGTTCAGCATGCGTTGCACCCAGTTGCAGGGTGGAGTTAAACAAAAGGAGTGATGAAAAACATGAGCTGAGAAGAGATAAGACCGAGTTTGGGAAGAGATTTCTGGGCCCATGTGAAAGTGACCTACTTCCCCTCCTTCCTTTGTTTATCCTTCTTGTGACAACCCTGTGAGGTAGACCTCTCGTTTACCAAAGTATAATCAAGGTGATTTAAAATCATTAGGAGGAGGATGTTGTTTTTAAATAGATAAATAACAGAGTCTGTCTACCGGCGCTTACTGAATCTAATGCTTAGAAGGGACTCTGGGGGAAATTATTATTTTTCCATTTCGTTACTAGAGTTATAGAACACAAAACTATTTTGGAAATATCTAGACGTCTTCCCAAAATGCATTGCGAAAATGCGCTGGAGAGGTGGCAGTTATTGTGTGTCCCCTTGCCTTTTCTGGTGCCCCCTTAGCAATTGTTCTTTGAGACAAAGGGGGCCAGGAGACCAAGGGAGGGTCCCAAGAGCACTTCCTGGTTGTGTCGCTGCCTCCAAGGTGCAGCGGACACACGACTGCCCACGAAAGGACCCACATTTGATGCCTGGGGGAAAGTGCCTTGTCTGAATCCAGGGGATGGCTGCCAGTCAGACCATAGTATAATAAAGCAGCTTCCCAGGCTCATATTTCGATCCACCTCTTATTTAGAACACAGAGGACTAGAAACTTACTTCCGTTTTAAGGGCTGGCCATGCAGGCCTGTCCTTGCCAATGGGCCCATCCAGTCCTCGGCGTTCTCTAGTCAGGCTTGGAGAAGGCGTCCATCTAGGACACGTGGCAAACCACGATCTAACGGTGCGGAGAAAACGGGCTTGGTTCCACCAGAAGGCTGATTCTGTGGAATCGTAGACATAATAGGAGACATCCAAGACGCATGTGACAAACAAGCCCACCCTGAGCACCGTTGCAGGCCACCCGTACCACCAGGGGGGTGGCCTGCTCGCTGACGGAGCCTTGCTTATGAGCATGCATTACTCACAAGAAGATCCTATTGCTCAGGATGACACTTCCACGTCTGGCAGCCAGCTGTGCCAGAAACGTTAGGCCCCTGAGGACGGGGCCTGCTCGGTGTTGGCCCCCAGATCCAAAGAGCAGGTAACTAGGCCTTGAGGGCAAGGATCACTGTCCATCTCCCCTGAAGGACTGGGTTACCCCCATCCTCCTCTAGGGGGGCAGCCCCTCTGTACCATTCAACTCAGTGTGGGGCTAAGCATCCTCCAATGGGGGGGATCCAGGACCCCAAGGGCTGAACATTCACTGTGGGGCCGCCCCTGCTCTTTCCTCACTGCCCCAGACAGATTGCTCCATGCTGCTGAGGATGCTGCTCACGCACCCGTCACCCCGGCCCTCCTAGGATGCATGCCTTTGATCCGGAGTAAGGCAACACTGCCTTCTGGATCAGGGCCTCCACAGGAGGAATTATTTCCCAGGAATGAGGAACAGAAAACCGGGATTGTCCCTGTAAACAGAGCCTGCTGGAAGGATGCACTGCCATCATTTTAATTATTAGATAGAGTTGCTGAACAGGTTCACAAAGCAATTTCTGCTGATTATTATCCTATCGGACCCAGCAATCTCGGTTTTAGGAGCCGGCCTGACTAAGCACAACAAGCACGAGAGAGAAAAGGTCATATTTCAGTTTTTCCCTAAACTGATTATCCCCATCCACAGTTGTCAACAGGACAGTACACCTGCTCACCCGGAGAAATCGGCCATGGATTCCAGCAAATTTTGATTTACTGAATCCAGCCGGCAAGTTTCTAAAGCAAAACTTTATTCCTACTTTGTGCAAACTTGTAGGCTATTAAAAACAACAACAACTTTCCGGGAAAAATTTGCAAAACTTGCCTTTTGCAAAATTGTGCATCTTGTGTTTGAGCAACTACACCAAATCTTAACCCGGTTCTCATAGTTTGCTTAAAAAGAAAGTGATCTTATTCATGAGCGGGTGATGGGATGAAAGAAAGCTGACCGAGTGCAGAACGCAGACAGATCGGACTAAAGAAAAGTCATACCTCTCTAAAAGTCACCGGCTTCCTTACTGAAATGACAGTCATTCTTTCCAAAGTGGTGTCTAATTTATTGCATTGTATTTATTTATTGTTTTTAAAGTCCTCTGGGTGATGCATTCAATGCACGCAGAGCCTTGTCTAAATTTCAGGTGGGTGTGATCTTTCTAGTAACGTGGGCTCCATCCAGAGAGGGCTTTAACATTTAGGAGACCCAAAAATTGGTATGGGGCCCAGAAACTGCCGATTCTGATGTGTGGGCACTCGAGCTCCGTGGGGTTTTGAGCAGGCGTGTGCAGAAAAAGATGCAGCTGAGCATCTGTAGGAAAAGGTTCCTGCCATCCGGCTGCATGGTGGCCGGGTGGCCTGCTTGATGGAGGACGGTCCTCCAGTTTGAAGACGGCAGGGGCAGCCCCACATGCAAAGGGGTGTCCGGTTTCCAGATCGAGAATCACGAGAAGGGAGGGTAGCCCAGAACCTGCTTAAATCCGAGTCCTCATTCCCCGGCTTACCTCTTTGCCAACAACCGGGCCAGTGTGGTGTAGTTGTCAAGAGGGTGGGACTGGGACTCTGGAGATCCAGGTTCGAGTTCACACTGAGCTCCCCTTGGGCCAGTCATGACTCTCGGCCCAACCTGCCTTGCAGGGCTGCTGTTGTGAAGGTAAGACTGGGAGGAGGAGCAGGAGGATGCAGGTTGCCTTGAAATAAGTAAGATCATTCTGCAGATGCTGCTGCATGTGGGGATCCCTTTCCTTGGGGGCAGGGAAGACTCACCCTGCCGAGCGGGGCCTTCTTTTCCAGCTGGGAGCACCGCCGTCAGGATCAAGGGCGACGGACAGAAGGTCCTGTACCTGCCCAAAGGGGAGTCCGTCAACTTGGGGTGCCCCTTTGCTTCGGACCCGGAAGACAACACTCCGGACAACGACTGGGACATCGAATGGAAGCGGACGGTGCCCGGCCAGCATCCACAGGACAACCCGGTGAGCGTGTGAGGATTTCACCCCCGGTTATGGGGCGGTGACAGAGTGACCCCGGATTTCTGACTCCCATTTTAGAAAGGCTCCGTCAGTGACACAGTGCGTCCCTCCAGGTGTTAGTCTGAACCTGCAAGGAGCGATCCCTTGGACCCAGCCCTCCAAAGATTTGGTTCAGCACCTGGGCAGCTCCGGTTGAAGCTCAGACTGAACTCCGGGGTGGCTACACCTCCCCACTGAGGACAGAGTAGCCAGCCACTGCCGGATCCTTGCCAAAAGAGGGCACCGCAGCCTGACTTACTCACAAGGAACCCCACTGCCTGAGCTCACTGGGGGATTTTCCGAAGCAGGAGACCCCCAGAAGGCAAGCTTTGGCTCCCCACCCCGGAAGGGCTGTAAAACGGCTCTGCCCACCCATGGCAGGGAATGGTTAGGGAGCTCAGGAGCAAGGCCCCCACCCCAGCTGCTGGCACCAAAGTCTCCTGCAATCTTCCCAGTGCAGAAATGAGCACAAGGCCTGGGATTTCGTATCACAAGCATCTCTTCCACCAGCTAATCTGTATTTTTGATCATTCCAACTGTTGGGCCGCCCAAAAGTTGCGCTCTGCCACCCACATAACATAAGGAATGGGGATAAGATGTGCAGATAAGATTGCTTCTTCGGCACGATTCACGCTGCCGTTTTTACTCACAGCCACAACTGCTTCTAGTTCTGCAAAGCCGGTGAGGAACAACCAGCTGCACCATCCCCTGAAATTCCCATGCAGACATTCATGCTGCAGGAAGCATTGCTCACAAGCGCTCCAAATAGCTTTTCACCCATGAGGACTAGGAACCTGGGGGGCCGGAATCTGCCACTGAGACTCTCCCTTCGCTATGCAGCTTTGCCTGTACCTCTGCTCTGTCCAATGCATTTTCCTTCATTCTCTCCTCCTCGCCTTCTTCCCCTTAAGCTCCTGGGCTACCACGACCACCAGGTCATTTACCCCGGGTCGCCTGATCTCCAGCAGCGGGTGGGCTTCACTTCGGCCGACCCCAGCCTGTACGACGCCTCCATGCAACTCCGGGACGTACAGGTCACCGACTCGGCCACGTACGAATGCACGGTGAAGAAAACCACAGAAGCCAAACACAAAGTAACGATCACGGTGCAAGGTAAGGAGCATCCGTTCCTTCTGGCAGAGAGCCGGCCTGGCTGAAATCCATCCCCCCAAGCAGTCTTCCCAACCCGGTGCATTCCAGGAGTTTTGGACAGGAATTCCTGCCAGTCCCCCAAGCCGACACGCAGCCGGGGAGCCAACCGGGTGACTTTGGGCCCATGCCAGACTCGGCCCGGCCTGCCTCACAGGGGTGTTGCGGAGGGGATACGTCTGAGAGCAGCAAGGGGGGAAATGATGGGCGCCGCTTTGCGTTCTTTAGGAGAAAAAGGGAAGAGATAGGATAGAAACCTAACAAGCAAACAAACCATGCCAGGGCAAGTCAGCGGCAGGCGAAAAAGAAGACCAAAGACGAGGCGGGTGGAAGCCGCAGCCTGGATTTAGGAGAGCTGAGCGGGGCTGTCCTGAATAGGGTGTTTTGGGGGTCCCTAATGCATAGAGTCGTCGTAAGTTGGAAACCCCAATACCAACAACAGGCGCAGGCCTTTTGCATGGCTTTCCGGGGGTCATTTGGGACCCAACCACCCCAAAATGCTTTGCATAACAGCAAAGGAGGATTCAGTCCAGGTGCGGTTGTTCTGTGCTCCCATTTTGGGCACCTGGAAGTCCCAATTGTACAGAGCACCGGTGGAGACAAGGGAGATGCGAATCGTGCACTTTGCAACGGAACTAATTCTGGATGTATCTCAAATGTTTTCTCCTCACCCCGTAAGACCATTAAGTTCAGACCACCAACCGGGTTCAGAACATGCCGTAACCAACACTCCAAGTTTGAGGATGGATTGACTGGGGGTTGTCACGGCACCATGACAGGCTATAAAAATGTGGGTTAAGGGTGTCCTCTGAATCCAGCCGAGATGGCAAAGCACAGTGAACCACCCAGCAGCCACCCATGGTTCTCTTCATGGGTTGCTTGTGGTTCCGTAGGGAGACTCGGTTCAGACAACACAGTGACCCATATTTCAAGAACGACCTCTAGTTCAGCGGCGACACACCCTCAACCTGCAGATACAGGATACTGTTTTGTCTGAGCCCAGACGCTGCCTGCAACCTGGTTGTTCTGGCACAGAAAACCCGGAGAGCTGCTACAGGCAAAGCCCCTCCCACTCGGCAGCACGACCCCCAGGTCTGACGCAGGTGCCCCCTCTCTTTCCAGAAAGGCCGGCAGTGCCCCAGTGCACGATCATCGGAGACATAGCCTACGGACAGGACATCACGCTGCGCTGTTTCACCTCCGTCGGCTCCCCGCCCCTCAGCTACCGCTGGTCCATGATGCACGGCGAGCAGTTCCGGGACTGGCTGCCCCCGGGAGGGTCGGCAGGTGAGTACCAGCTCCTTTGGGTTTCCTTTGGGGCCAGAGGTGGTCCGGCAGGAAGCCGGGGAAGGAACTGTGAGCACGGCCAAGGAGAGGGTCACATTGTTCCACCAAGATTTCGGTGATGGGTGCCAATTCCAGCAACCCAGGGGCACGACGACATCAGGCCTGATCAGGACCTTTCGGCACTACAAAGCTTAGTCCTGAAATTATTTGCATCTCCACAATTGCTACGGCAATCTTGCTCACCTGGGAGAAAGCTCTGTGGAACTCAGCCCGGTTTCCTCCGGTCCGAATGAGGTCGCACTTGGGAAGCTTTTGAAAAAATCACCCCTAGCTGAGGTGCCCAGTTTAACTTTTAAGGAGAAATCAAACCGTCTTGCTAAGCGGGTGCTGATCAAAATGGGAATCTGACTCCTGGCATGAAGTCAGATTCCAGGGCTGGCACAGAAGAGGACGTTTCATTGTGAAAGGGGGCCGTGGAGTCCGCCCAGGTCCGGATCTTGCCGGGAGGGAAGGCACCGCTCTTTGGCAGGGGCCCGATCCCGCGGAGGAAGAGTGCGCACGACTCTGCTGGGAAACGACCCAGACGAGGCGCCAGCACTCTGGGGGACCCTCCCAGCTCCGCGGCTCAGTCGTCCCCCTGCGTTTCTGCTCCCGCCGTGCAGGTTCCGTCCCGGGAGACCTGCACATCTACGACCTGTGCGAAGACCACGTGGGCACCTACCAGTGTGCCGTCGGCAACAACGTGGGCGTCTCGTACTGCACCGTGGACGTGTACCTCGGCGGAGGTGAGACGCTCGCGGGGTCGGTGGCACGGGTGGAAGGCTCAAGGCGGGGAGGCACAGGCCGTGGGGTGGGGTGGGTTGGCCCTGAGGGGCTGCCCCATTGAAATACGCTTGTGAGCGTGCTGGTTTCGTCCCTCACGGACTTTCCCCCTTCTAGCCGGCCTTCTTTACAGGGTCGTTGTGGGGGGAAAGGCGCGGAGAACGACGCAGGGAGCTTTTTGGAAGGGAGGCAAGGGAGGGGGTGGAAGGCGAAGGCATCTGAGCGCCTCCTCTCCTCTCCGGACTCTCGCAGGGGTCAGCTACGGCTGGATCATCGGCGGGTCGGTCGTGATCGCCCTCCTCGCCACGGCGCTGATCGTCGGCGGAGTGATCTGGTGCTGCCTGTGCTGCTGTGGGAGGGCCTACTGCTCGGGGTGCTGTGGGGCCGGGCAGTGCCCGGGATGCTACTGCGGGAAGGACCACTGCTGGGACTGCTGCTGCTCCTGCTGCGAGCAGAGGCCAAAACAGGAATGCATCGAGGTCAAGCCCAGCGAGATCTGGTGAGTGTCTCGGCCGGGGGGGCCTGCGTGCGGCCGGGGGGGGGGGTGTCGCTTTCTTGTTTGTTCAGTCTCGGAGTCGCGCCCGACCCTTCACGACCCGTGGACAGCATTCCTCCGGGCCTTCCTGCCCTCCACCATCCCCCGGAGTCCACCCAAGCTCACGCCACCTGCTTCAGTGACCAGCATCGTCTGCCCTCCCCTTCTGCTTTCGCCATAAATTGCTCCCAGCATCAGGCTCTTCTCCAAGGAGTCCTTCCTTGGCCCAGAGTGAACTGCAAGAGAAGCAAGCTCCGAGTCCGTTTTGCTCAAAAATGCACCCGGGGATTTTTTTCCCGCAACCGCTTCTGCAGGGTCGTGTGTGGCGCCGTGTGTCGTTCCTGTTTCTCATTTTAGATTGATAGAATTCTGAATTGCGTTACGATCTCTTGAGAATAACCTCAAAGATCCACCAGCAGAATGCCAGCTTTTGCCCGCTAGGCATCTGGGCAACCAAGCCGGTCCTCAGAGCTCCTTGTTTCAGAGAGACCGCCAACACCGACGGCTCCTGTCCCTGGACCTGAGCAACGTCTTCACTGAGTTTTGGTGTCTCCACAGTTCCCTTGGCCCTTTGCTTGTTGTTGTTGATGCGAAGTCGCGTCCCACCCATCGCGACCCCATGGACAACACTCCTCCGGGCCTTCCTGTCCTCCACCATCCCCCAGAGTCCACTCAAGCTCACGCCGACTGCTTCAGTGACCCCATCCAGCCCCCTCATCCTCTGCCGCCCCCTTCTTCTTTTGCCATCTACTGTTCCCAGCATCAGGCTCTCCTCCAGGGAGTCCTTCCTTCTCATTAGGTGGCCAAAGTATTTGAGTTTCATCTCCAGTATCTGGCCTTCTAAAGAGCAGCCAGGGTTGATCTCCTCTAGGACTGACCGGCTGGATCGGCTTGAGGTCCAAAGGACCTCAGCTCCTCACGAGCTCCAACCCCATGTAGCTTCTGGAAATCTTGGCTTTCCCGTCTCGTTTCTCACTGCAATTTCTCCAGCACTCACGGCTTAAGCTTAAAATAAAGAGGAGCAATTAGGAAGGGAGGCGAGGCAGAATGGGGGTTAAGAAAATTGAATCATTCTTCGCTCATAATAAGCCAGAGGGGAACCAAAGGAGAAAAACATCCAGCGTCGATTCGCCCAAAGGGACAGATGGGAAGCACAAAATGCTCGTGCAGGAAATGCGAGAATATACCCGTGAGTTCTCCTGATGATTAATGCTCATCGGTGGCCCCAAGCATAGGAAGAGCAGGTGCATCATTCCTAAATCAGGTGCAACAGATCATCGCCTCCTTTGCCCAAACCGCGGCACAGAGGGAACCATTAAAAGGCTTAATCTCCTCATGCGGAGGCAGTAATGGGCACTCGGGATGTTTTTGTAACAGATGGAACCAATCTTACGTTTCTTGACAAATGTGCACGGTAAGTTGGCAGACGCCCTCCTGAGACAGGCTGTCCAAAGTTTTCCTCCCCAAAACTGCCACAGCAGCAGCTCAAACAGGGCAGCCAGGTTTTGTCACGCAAGGTGCAGTTCATCCTTGGGACTCGGTGCCACAAGATGTGGCCATGGTCGCCCGTTTGGATGGCAAGCAGGGAGGTGTCTAGCAACAGTCGTGAGAGCGAAACAGAACCTCCATGTTCAGTGGCAGTCTATCCCAGAGCACTAATTGGCCTGCCTGGATATATTTGGCCAGCCAGAGCCATCAAGAGGAAAAGGATCACAAAGGATGACGTGGAATATTGGTCTGGCTCAGGCTGCAAGGTTCTCCGTAAGGTTTTCCTTATGGCTGGTGTTTGTGGGGAAATGGTTCAGCTCACGTGCTAACACAAATTTACTGAATTTTGCACTCTGCCACAGCTGTGCAAGTCAGAACTGACCTACCCTTGAAAATCCACACTATTCTGAATTTTGCAGAATAATGCACCCATTATTAAAACAGTGTTTGAACGGGTGGGAAATGGCTGCCTGTTAGAACTCTCGATGCTCAGGACAAAATGGAGAGACTCTCGAAGTCTGGGAGGCACCTAATTTAAGGCTGACCCAATGTGAAGTGGAAAGAAGTGGGGAGCTTGGTCCCTCCTTAGTTGCAAGGAAGGAGCCTCTGTGACTGAGAGCGTTTCTGATTGATTTTCTGGTCAAATGCAAGTTGCAAGACGATTCCGTGAAGGCTGTGCCCACACAGGCTGGGTGTGAGGCAAATTCCTGGGAGTGGCTCCCCAGCCGCGGAGTGAGTGTCTTCCGCTCTCAGCGGCGTAAAAGGGGTAGAAAGAAGCTCATGCTACGTACCTAAGGGGAAAACGTGAGGGAATTAGAGAGCGGGGTGAGTAACTTGGGGCCCTACAACTCCCATCAGCCCCGCACAGCGTAACTGACGGTTAAGGATCAGGGGAGTTGTAGGGCGAAACCTCAGGAGGGTCACGCGGTGCTCACCTCTGATCTAGACCAAAAGCGAACGGAGGTGTTTTTTTATTTATTTATTTATCTATCGATTTGTATCCTGCCTTTTTCCCACAAAGGGCTCAAGGCAGCTTACATCGTTCTCCTCCTCCGTCTTATCCCCACAACAACAACCCTGTGAGGTAGGCTGGGCTGAGAGTCTGTGACTGGCCCAGAGTCACCCAGTGGGCTCCACGGCTGAGCGGGGACTCGAACCCAGATCGCCTGAGTCCCAGTCCCACGCTCTTAACCACTGCACCACACTGCCTCTCTTAACCACTGCACCACACTGTTGAGATATAATTGCTTGGTGGCCAGAAGAGTTGCTGTGGCATGTCATCCAGTCGCAGAATCGAAGAACAGTGGAGTTGGAAGGGGGCAGAGGGCCGCCGGGTCCAGTCCCCTGCCCAGTACAAGACTCCAAGCCCAACCACCCCTCTCCCAGGGTTGCACCTGGAATGCCTCCAGGGTGGGAGGGCCACCACCTCCCCAGGTCTTGGCCTCCACTGCCGTCCCGCTCTTACAGTAGGGAAGGTCTTCCACATGCTCAGCCAGAACCTGATTCCGTAACCTGTTCCGTGTTCGGCACTCTGGGATGATCAAGGAGAGATCCGGGCCTTGAAAGCCCTCCAGATGGTACAAGTCACAAGAGCCCCGCTCGGCTCTGCGAAGATGAGGACTGCGGCTCCCTTGCTGAAGTCCATCCATCGCATATCTGGTGCTTCTCCTCATCTTTGGCTTTCCCTAGCAAGACGGCCTTGCCCAGAGAGCCTTCTCACGGCGTATCCAAAACAGGATACTTTTGCCCTTTTCACTCCTGGGGAAAATTCTGGCTTGAGGCCAGGAGGGAGCTCCGGAGACACAAGAGGCAGGACCAGGGGAATCCCACGTTCTCCAAGCTTTTGCAGAAGTGGAAAAAGATATTTTGGGAGGAGGGAAATTCCAAAGGGGAGCAAAGGAGGAAGGGCGACGGGTCGTGTGCTGAAATGGGAAGCGGGACGGAACGAAGCCTTCTGGGAAAAGGCAGGGGACACGCTGGGCAGGGTCCTCTCCACGCTTGAGGCAGGTGCCACCCCGTCCTCCCCCACCCCGTGCTCACCGTGGCATTTTTCTCTCCCCATCTCCAGCGTGGACGCCGAAGCTCCCCCGAGCCGGCCGTGCAGCCAGGCCTACAGCCGGGCGAGCAGTCTTCACTCCTTACTGGGATACCAGACACGGAGTGCCCAGTACACGCAAGGCCGCAAGACGGCACCCGCCATCGTCCAGGTCAAGATGACGCCCCCCCCTGACAGCGGCACGGACGTTGCGATCTCCCCCGAGTTCCCCTCTCCGCCCAGCTCGGAGAGCGGCGAAGTTTCCGAGCCTTATTACGGCGCGAAGGGGAGAGGGCTGTACTCCCCCTCCAGCTCCGAGGCCAGATACGTCAAGGGCGAGGACCACGAGGGCTTGTCCGCCCGTCCTCAGGTCTTCCCCGAATCGCCCGGTTACACCACGCCGACGGCGGAGCTGAGCGACATGCAGTGGAAGGGCGGGAACGGCAGGCATTACAAGGGCGGCGTGGTCATGATGCGGTCGTCCAGCAAGGAGGGGCTCCTGATATGAGGCCGGGCCAGGAAAAACCAGCCCTGCGGTGTGGGACGGATCTCGCCGACCAGAAATCTCAGCCACTGGCCCACACAAGAAAAGCCTTCTAGACGGCAACTCCCAGCATCCCCCGTTCAGCCACGCTATGATGGGATTTGTTTTTCCGATTCTAGATATATCCCCTTGTACATTTTTAATTGTGCCTAAAGGGAAGGGTAAGGCTTCTGCCCACCGGGGCCCTTGAACTGTCACGAGGGCAGTGTGAGAATTTTATTGGCACTTGCAAAACAGCCAAACCTGCCCCATTCACAGGCCCCGAAGGCGAGCGCGAGGGGGAAAGCCCGCTCCGAGAATGCTTCGCCCGTCGACATCCTCTGCTCGCATTCAAAACTGTGCAAATTTCAGAGAAAAAGCCCTTCAAAACGAGGTGCCATTGAGGAAAAACTACCATTTCACCCATTTAATTCTGAGTTCAGAGGGTGCTCAGCTTTGAAAAGTGCCTCCTTTCCCCTGTTCCTCTGATTTGGGCAGGTTTGCCCCTTCCACCGATCAACGGAGGATGGCGAGCACTCGTGGAAATCCAAGAAGAGACCAGCGGCCAGAGACTCTGTGCAAATACAAGCGCTGCTTGCGTGTCCGTTGCTTCCTCGCTTCCTGCCAGCCTAGCCATGTTCAGCTTGCTTCTTGTGAACAGCCCGGCCCAGCGGTGGAGAGAATCCAGGGAGAATTCAAGATGGAGACTCACGTCGCGCACCATTTCCAGATCTGCGCATCAAAGCCGGCTAGGCGGAGGCCTGTGCGTTTCCCCGAGGACGTGAGAGCTGCGTTGGGGTCTCCTAGCAGTATATAACGAAGCAGCCCTGTCTTGCTTTACTCCAAAGCCAGCCCCATTGAGTTCAAAGGCACTTCCGCCCAGATCGGTGGTGTGGGATTGCCCCCCACGCCAACGGAGACAGGTGCTGGGGACACCCCCTCCTCTGCTTCAAGCTTTCCAACAAGGGGTCAGTGATGTAGTGGAATCGGGACTCAAAGGGGTGCAGTTTTCAGACAGCAGCTTCCAAACTTCCACCCCAGTGCTTCCTCCTCAACTTAGCTGCAGGGACTGGGGAGAAAACCCACGTTCCCAGCAACCTTCGCTCGCTCCCTCTTGCAATGCAAAGTATTTTGGGATGGCCTGGCCTTGAATGGCCACCCACCCTTCCAGAGTGACCCCTGCCATCCTTCGCATCAAGCCACGCAGGAAGACGGCTGCGAAACGCTTTGATCCGTCAAAGGTGCTGTGCACACGCTAAGCATTTTTAGGAGCAGATGGGATATTTTAGCGGCTTTTTCCCTCCCCGTCTCCCCGTAATTTTCACCCCATTTTGGAATGAGTGTTTCTCAGAAAATAATAGCACAGATGGAAAGTAACAGTATTAGTTAAATTACAGGGAGTGGCTGTTTTTAATGTGTGAAAACTTATCCTAAACATACTTCCCATGGAATAGGGTACATGCTCTGCTCTTTGGCATGTTTTGCTCAAAGGTGTCTTGCATGAAATAGAAAAGGACTTTACCTCTCCCGTTCCCTGCTAACTTCATGGCAAGATCACAGTCCAAGCGCTGCTAGAACTAGTTATACCGGGCATAAAGAGCAGTAGTTAAATCAGACACACGATGGAACAAGTAAATATAGAATCTTATTTAGTGTGCACTCAGTTTAAGAATTTTGGGGTGCAGCCCTGTGTGTGTTTAGACAAGGAAAAAGTCTGGCAATTCCCAGCATTCCCCAAGGCAGCCATGTGGGGAATCCTGGGAGTTGTAGGCCTTAGGTCTATCCAAACATTCCTTGGATTGTGTCCTTACCAACTTTGTTGAGCAAAACAGAGAACAGAGGGCAGCTGTTTGTTTGTAAATTGTTCGATGTCTTAGGCCATTTTAAATCCATTTGAGAGTGAAGGGTTTTTTTTAAGTCCTTGTCAACTGAAGGAAGGGATTTTTATAAATTGCAGTATTAACATCTTTGTATCGTTTTTAAGTGCTGTTTATGCTTTATGCGCTGCCATAGTTTCAATAAAGAGTTGCATTTGCTGCTGAGAGATTCCCCTTGAAATTGGCTGTGCAGCTTCATCTGCCTCTTTTGCTCTTGACTGTTTCAATGCGTCAAATAACCCCCTCCATTTAATCCTCAATAAATCACCTGATTTAAAAGCAACCGAGCGATTCTGCAGCAACAGAAGCAACCAAGAGACCTGGGCCAGTCCGGGACATTCAGCTGTCTAAAATACTACAGCGATCCAAGGCAGATGGTACCCAAAGCCAGCCACTTCCTTGGGATTTTCTTGCTCCGGTACCCACCAGCCACCTCTTCAGAAGAGTAATTATGAAGAGTAAAATGAAATAACTTTCAAGGTGGCATATAAATGCAACATAACAACAACACAATGACCGGGCAGAAATTAATCTGCTGCCCCTTCATGAGACCGAAATCCAAGCCCAGTGGGCAAAGCGAAGGCTGGCCCCATTTCTAGACATTTGGTACCAGCCTGGACATCCCTGGGAAAGGTAGTCCAACATCCAGAGGGCACAAGGTTGGAGAAGGTTGCAGAGCACCTTCAAGTCGGAGGAAAAGGTGCTGCCGACGTCATTTGGATCATTGTCCTATTGGCTTATTAATTACAGTGCAGCCAATAGCTGAAGCTCCCTGGGCCGTTTACAGCAAAGGTATGAAGGTGCCACAACAAGATTACCTGTGACAGGTTAATGCCAGGTATTGCCTGACTGTTTGAGATTTTCAGCTTGCCAGAGGGAAAACCCCCGCGGCCCGAAAATGCCGTGTTTGTCATCTAATCCTACATTTCAGAAACAACCCCAAGCAGTTAAGGCAACCCTGTAAATGAACTTGGCACTTAACCCGGCCTGTCGTGTCCTCATTCTTTAGGAATTAAGCAGCGGTTGACTCAGACGTTTCAATTAGCACCTTGGCTTTTGGGATTAGGTGGCTCTGTGCAGAAAACAACACCGTCAAATGTGTTTTTCCAGAGGGGCGGCCGTATTAGATCTGTCACCACGGATGGCTCGTGACGCCCTAAAGGCCAAATCCAGCATGAAGTCAGGGATCAGGGCTGGGGAAGGTCCTTCGCCGGAGTGGGCCACTTAGGGGCCAAGATGGTTCTGGGGGGGTGGGTGCGGAAGGGGGCACCAAGGAGCTCTGTGAGAAGCAAACACTGGAAGAAAGTCATCAGGCCTTCCTACAGGCTGAAAACCTGGTTGTGGGTGCCATAGTTCAAGAACAAAGAAACAGAGCGAGTCAGAAGGGGCCTCCAGGGCCATCTAGTCTCACCCCGGGCTCCAGCTGGCTCCGCTCACAACATGCCCACCATGTGCATGTCCTTGAACATCAGTGTGTGCTTCTTAACAAGAGCCAGGGGGGCTGTACTGGCTGGACTGGGACTCGGGAAATCGGGGTTCTGGTTCCCACTCGGTGAGGAAGGGCAGCTGGTGTGTGGAGGTGAGACAGATTGCCATGACCCCACTGAAATGCAGCGGCAAAAGGTATTTTTATTCACATCACAGTGAGCCTTCCTGAATTTGCGTGGATGCGCGCGTGCATGAGTCCAAAAATGCTGTGCAAATCGTCTTTTGGGGGCGACAGGTTTCCTTTCCGTGGGCAAGGAATTTGCGGCCGGACACACGTGTGCAAGACACACGGTGCGCTGGTGTGCGAGAACTTGGCCGTCTCCACGCTGCTGCCAGTGGCCGTGGGGCAGATCTGCATTGCGCCATCCGCAGGCCTCCGTTGATGGCTGTGGGGGCGGCCAGAACGCGAGAGCTCTGTGCACAACGAGTCGGCTTCCTCACCCTCCTCGTCACCAGCTGCCCTTCCTCACCCTCCTCTTCCTCGGCCATGGAAGAATCTATCCCCCCCCCCCACAAATTTGCCTGGGCTGGGAAAAGGAGGCGAACGAGAGATCTTCTGGGGGCTCTTTCCCCCACAGCCCAGATCACAAACCGGCACCGAGCAGCTGGGCTGAGCCACTCTTGTCCCACAATGCCCCTCAGTTAGCAGCCCCCTGAGGAATGCTGGGAAATGAGAAAGGCAGACAGACAAGCCCTGTCTGTGCTCGAAGTTCATTTCTGTTCACTTTTGACCAGAACTGATCCAGTGTGAATGCAACCTGAGAAATTAATTTTGGAGCTTGTAGTTCACGGAACCCCCCTTTCCAAGAAAGATGCTTTCAGAAAAGTGCACACATTGGAAAAATGTTCAAGAACAGATCCAGTTTTGGGGCGGGGGGCGAGTGCACAGCAATGTCTTGACCAATGGGAGAAAGCAAACGAGGTGGGTGGGCACCTGTGGGATATTTGTGTGAAGATGCACATAAAAGTTCATGCAGAAAGAAGAAAGCTGCAGCCTGCGAAGGACACAAGTTGGAACGAACTTTAAATTCATGCATCCACAGCTAGACTCAGCAGCCCAGGGAAGCCCCAGAAGGCTTGGGGCCAGGTTTTCTGAAGGAACCTGTATGCTCCCACCTGGACCTTAAGGTCATTCTCTGAGGTCCTTTTCAAGGAGAACCCCCCCCCCCCCCGCCGCCATTAAGTAAGAGGGGCGAAGACTCGGAGAAGGGCCTTTCTCATGTGTGGCACCCCATCTTTGGAGTAAACTCCCCAGAGAAGTTTGCCTGGCCCCTACTCTCATTCTACTTTTAGCACCAGGTGAAACCCTTTTTTTAAATTTTCCAGGCATTTCAATAGTTAAAATGGTAGTTTTAATCAGGGTTTATCAGATGTAGCTGCTTGTACCGGAGTATCAATTCCACAAGTTGCCTTGTGTTTATTTTTATTATGGTTGTTGTGAGATTGCTATTTTTTAAATCTTTTCTTACACGTTTTAACTCTGTAAACTGCCCAGAGAGCCCCCCGGCTAGGGAATGGTGTACAAATGTGTACAAATAAATAAATAAACATTGGCATGTGCACAGACTTAAGACACATCAGACACACGATCCAGACTTAAGACACACAATCCACTAATTTCAAGTGGATCGTGTAACTATAAGCGCCGCACGTCTCACCTTCCTGGGGGAGATTGTGAACGTGAGGGCCGGCAAGTCTGTCGGTCGATCCGCTCGTCGCCCCTCGCGGCTCGGCAGCTCCGAGGCCTCTCCTCTGCTCCTCCCCTTACTTTCTTCTTGGAGCACTTCAGCTGGAAACACCTTCAGAGAAAGGCCTGCCCTTGGCCAGCTCTGCAAAACAAAGGACTGTCTTCAGTGAATGGGTCACCCTAACCCTAACCCAACTCAGACACCCCCCGGAGGAGGAGCCGCACGAGCTGGGCAATCGCCTCTCTCAGTCCGTTTTGCGGGCGCCGATGCTCGGGAACGGCAAAGACGGCGGAAGAGGGAGCTTGATGAGCACGAGGGAAGGAAAGCCGTGTTTCTCCGTGTATGTGTGCGAGGTTTGCACAATCACACTGTGCATACACAGGCCTTCCCTGACTCCAGCTGAGCATAAGTCCCTAAAGCACCGGGAGAACCAAACCCAAATCCTCCCACCCCGTTACTGGGCCCCAAAGGCCGCCGGGCGTTGCAAGTGAGGCCGCTGAAGTAGCGTTTTTCACTTTGTGTTCTGGCACGGTATCAAAAATATAAAGATCGCTTTCGGATTTGGGAGTGAAAATTAGGAAAGCTGGGTGTATTGTGTGGAAGTGCGGCAGGACACGGAAAATATGAAACCGCCTCCAGCCCGTTCCCCAAGGCCGTGTTCTTGGGGCTGCGTTTCAACGGAGTGGCCAAAATATTGTCGCCGAACGCTCATCCTGTGGCTCGGCCTTGGAAGAGGCATTCCCTGTCTTTTAGAAAGGGGGACACACGCACAGAGAAGCCAGGAAGCCAGCGAAGGATTCCACCAAAGGATTCCTCCGAAGGATCTCCTGTCAGTTTGAACACAGGTTGAAATTCTGAACAGACAATTCAGGAAAAAAAAGATGGGCTCCATGGGGACCCTCTCTCCCTCCCCCCCCTTCTTCACAGGAGTGACCCCAGGTACCCCAAAGAGCCCAGAAGACATGGGGGGAAACGGGCCAATTTGCACTGATTCCCTGCCTATCCTACTCCACAGGGTTGTTGTGAGGACAAAGTAAATGGTAGCTTGTTCAGGCCATGGGAGCGGGGAAAGAGGCTTGCAGACTTTAAGACATACCTTGATTTGCCCGTTTTTTAAAATCGCAAATGACCGTTTTGCACATAAGCACCCCAAAACCGGGTGGCCGAATGGCCCGGTTTGCACAAAATGGCAAATTGGGCAAATTTATTTATTTTTATTTATTAAAACATTTTTATGCCACCCCATTCGCCGAAGCCTCGGGGCGGCTTACAATTCTGATCTCAGCAAACCATCCAATGAATTCCCGCCCCCACTGAGCACGATCATCGGATCGGAAGCAGGCGGAGAACCTGCCGAGCAAAAGCGAGGCAGATTTCCCTGTTTTGGGACACCCCTATTTTTGCAAGACGAGACGGATCCCATCGGTGCACTGAATCAGCTCAGGTCTTCATTGCTTTTCACCCCATTCAAAGGCCCATTTTAAAAGCAGCTGTTCTGTGGTTTTATTTAAAAGTTTATTGGTCTATCAAGAGAATCTCTAACCCCCCTTTCTTCTGAAGAGGAGGCCCGAAGGAAACGGAATACATTCATTCGCATCAAAACACATAAAAGCGACTTAACGCATCAACTGCGCGTGTACAATGAAATCAGCAGCAAATGGCACCAGGCTTCCAGCACCACAAAACAGCCCAGAGGCTCGGAAAGGACTTTGTGGTTGTTCCAAAACTCCTGTGAGAGATTTGAATCCGGTGGGTGTCTTTCAGGAGTACCGCAAGCACGGCAAGATGGGAAAGGAACGGCTAGGAAGTTCCTCGAGGGGCAGTCAGCAGGCAAAAGGGGAAGTGAAGTCCGTTCTTCTATCTGGAGAGGTTTCCTGTTGCAGCACCGACGGAGCTGTTCGTTAACGCAAAGTATTTACATTCAGTGGCTTCCTCAACATCCTCGCAAGCTCTGCTTGTTCATGATAATGTCCGTCTCCAGGAGAGGGTGGAATGCGAGACCTGCAGGGGCTCATATGACCAGGCCTTCTCTGCTCCTGGTTGGCTCCTTGAAATGGACGCCTCCATAATCTTTTGGCCGGCACCCCTTGGCCGGGGCGGCCTCTTGACCAGCTGTGGAAGAGCCAGCAGGGGATGGCGCAGGAGAATTCATCCAGGGCCCGGCTTGTGCGGGGGCACAGGAAGGTCCCGCCGGAGTGTGGTGAACCCTGGCCTCGGTGGTGCCCACAGAGGGGGAGCCGCCATCCCGGCCTTTGCTCTCCGTCCCGGAGCTCAGACCTGCGTCCTGCAGGGCCGGCGGGAGCCCCTTGGCACAGCCCCGCTCCGTGGGGGACTCGTCCTTGCGGCAGGGTGAGTACCCCACGGCTGCTCTCAGGCTGCCGCTGCCGCTCCCGGATCTGGCCTTCGGAGGAGCCGTGTCCACCCTGCAAAGGGGGGAACGGTGTGAAGAGCGCTCCACTGCACGGTTCCTTCACTGCCGGGCTGCAATCGCAGCCTTCCTTCACCGATACGACGGAGCGCTACAATTCCTTTCTCCCACTACGTTAATGTGGAATTGGTTTTAACTTTGCGAGTTTATGGTGAATTGCTGGATGCTGTGCCATCTTGATCGGTGCTTCTTGCAAACCGTCCCGAGGCACTAGGAGTGGGACGGTCTGCAAAAGCTTTATATCGCCATGTCTGGCACGCTCATCGGCCGTGGCCGGCCGGGCACCGACCTTGCGCGCTTCCCCTCTTTTGCACCTCCGTGACGGTGGCCCCCAAGCCAGGGCCCCTTCTGCACAGACCCCACTGCCCCCCGGTGCTTGGCCTCACCTGATCTGATTGGACGGCTCCGTGCACCGCTTCCTCCTGCAGCAGTAAACCAGCCCTGCGATGAGGCCCGCGAGGAGGAGCAGGAGAAGCAGCGAGCCGAGGACGGCTCCCACGATGATGCTCGCTCGGTCGGAACCTGCCGGACGGGAGAAGGCGGTCGCTCGGTGGCTTTGGACGGCTGCCGGCACCCAGAGGCACCCGCACCGTTCGCAGCCGAGCAAATGGGTTCGTTCTCCGCATTTGGACCAACCAGAAAAGCGATTTGCTTACCTTCTGGGAAGGAGAGATCCAGAACGCACTGGGCGGATCCGACCCTGTTCGCTACACTGCACTGGTAAACTCCGGCGTGATTCTGCGAGAGATTCTGGATTACCAAGTCCCCGGGCTCTGGACCTTCAGAGGAGAGAAATGCCAAGCAACACCCGTGAGGATCTGCTCTACTGAATCTGCACCGTAGTTCTTCAGTAACAGCGCCGAGATCAACAGGACGAGCTTGGCAAGATGGGCAGAAGCTCTGCATTTACCCGCGGGTTTTGTTTCCAGTCCGACTAATTGCTTTCCGTGCAACAGAGGTGCAGAAGCTCAGGGCCAAGGACAAACCTGGCCGGTGTGGGGTCCCAATCCGGCCCTTTCCAGCTATGACTGCCCCCACTGCGTTCGTCTTGCTTTGGCGTACCTTTAATGGTGGGTGGAAGGAGGCCGTTCCCAAGGGGCCGCTCCATCACTTTGGCCCACTTGTACACGAGGGGGCTGGTGCCCGACTGAGAGCCACATCGCAGTGTGACCTTGCGGCCCATGGCTACTTTGCCTTCAATCGAACATCGCGGGATAGACGGCCTCTCTGATAGAAAGGAGAAAAAAATGTAAGTTATTAGGCAGAAGGTTCACGTTTCTAGATGGGGATTTGTTGTGCGTTCGTCATTGCCCACTCATGACTTTCGACAAGGTCATTCCCGTCCAGTTTTCCTTCCGGCTCTTAGAAGCGGCTGCGTGAAGGATGTGTTTACAGTGGGGCAAAATCCAGTGTTGTTTGAGAAAGCGAGATATCGCACTAAGTGCACTAGCATAATTGCACTATACCACAGTGCCACCTAGAGGCTATGCAGGGGAAAGCACAGAGAGGCAGGAAAAAGACTTAATGCAGGCAGAGTTCTGATCTTGATATTGCGATGAAACTGGAAAGAGGGACAAAGGCTTCAGCAGCCTTGCCTAGGAAAACGGAGCATCGCTTGTGTCGTCCGCCAGTTGTGCATTCCTACTGCAAGCTCCCTGTTTACATGGACACAGATAGTTTGCCTTGCTGATTTGGATCCAAAGGCTGCATTTCACTTCTGAGGGACGCTTTGTTTTCCTTCTTTAAAGCTCAGCGTGTTTTGCAAGTTAGACCTAATGAGGCCAGAAGGTAAATACCCCTGAATTCCACAGAATTTTTCCCCAGCTAAGTAGGCATAGAAGTGTAGTCATTTTGAGTCTAAGTATATTGATATAGTATTATGCATTATATTTCTTTTTTCCGTAAAGAAGAACATACATCATTGACCGCAGAGCAGCAAGAACAATTCCCAAAGTGGACCGGTCTTAATGCCGTCAGTTCATCATGGTGCCTTCTCAGTTCAGTGTTTCCCTTGCTATATTTTCCAATCAAACTCGTATTCTAGACAACCGGGACCGAGAAGCAACTCTGAAAACTTAATTGCTTGTATTCCAAGAATCACAGAGCTAAACATCCTCTGTTGTAATTCAACCCACCCATATCTTCTGCTTAAATATATGAGATATGACACATGCTTTCGCTATGCTACATATTCTTGAGTTTTTCAGCACTTCAGAGATGGCATTTCCTGTTTTCTACAATGGATTGCTGCTCTTAGCTCTGTGTGTGTGTGTGTGTGTGTGTACAAAGTCAGGATACACTGCTGCACTTCAGCATTTATCACAGCACAGGATTGGCCCAAGATATTTAGCTGCTTGAGTGAAAGGCAAGGCAACATTTCTTCCCTTTTCATGTGCAAAAGCTGGATGGACCAGCCGCTGGATTTCCCTTGGATTCTGGCAGCGGGACGGGATTCTTCACCATGTCCAAAGGCAGCAGTCCAGTTTCAGAGGTGCTGAAGAGCTCTCCTCCCCTCTCCAGCATCTCCACATCATCTCCTCCTCCATCCCACTCTCCGCTCTCTACGGGCCTTGGTTGCTGCCTCCCAGCACCTGCTGCCTGACGCGACCACCTTATTCTGCCTCATGGAAGGGGTGCCCCTACCCCGGAGCAACCTACCCATGGGGGAGAGGCCCCACTGGGACCTTTCCGCCTGCTTCCCCTTCAGCCCTGTCTTCCTGCGCGCGAAACACGCTCTCGTCTCTCTCCTCGCCACAGCGGGACTCACCCAGGACGGTCACAGTCACCTTGCGCGTGGCCACGGTGGTCTTTTTCACCTTGCATTCGTAGGTCGCCGTGTCCGAGAGCTCCACGTTCTGCAGGTTGATGGAGGCGTCGTATCGGCTCGGGTCGGGGAGGGCGAAGGCCACGCGCTGCCGCAGGCTGGGGCAGCAGCCCCCGGCCCCCACGTGCTGCGGCCAGCCGGGGTGGCCCACCCGGTGCTGATCCCGCTCGGCAGAGCCCCTGTTCCAAACCAAGGGGTGGTAGCCGGGGAAGTTCACCTGCTGGCCGTGGTAGCTTAGGATCTGGTGGAACAGAGAACCGAACGACTGAATCGACAAGGAATGGCTGATCCGATGGGGCCGGGGGCTAACTAGAGCAGGGGACGCGACGATCCGCGAGAACAGCCAGGATTCCCACCCAAAATATCCGTGCTCCATCCCTGCCGAATCAGCGGAATGGCTTCAGCTGCATCGCAGACCGCCCAGAGAGTCGCCTTGACTAACGGGCAGTGTGGGAATTAAATCAATAACAGCAACAAGTAGGGAAAAGATGCCCATTTGCAGAAGAGTCGCAAATGCAATTCATCGCTACAGATACAGGCTTAAGGAGAAGAATGGTGATTCAGAGTGCATTTTGTAGGAGGCGGGGAGAGGGGGCTGTCCAGACTTCGCCCGCATCTGGTGCTCAGTGGTAGGCCTTTAACCTGCAGCGAATGCTGTGGATTTAAGGATTTCAGGCATTAAGGATTTCTGCCACCCCATTCTCCGAAAGCTGGGCAGCATCTCTGTGCTGAGCACAGCGAGTCCTCACTGGGTTCGTTTTGGGGTTTTCCCTTCCCCCTTTCGTGGGGGGAATGCCCTAAACGCCCTTGTTGTGAGCCGCCCCGAGGCTTTGTTGCGATGGGGGCGGCATAAAAATGTTTTAAATAAATAAAATAAATAAACCTTTCCTGTACTTCTTGCAGAGCCTGGGCTTCACCCACGCTGGCTGTTGCCTCTCTCCAGTCTGTGTGTTTTGGCAGGACCAGCCTGCACGTCGGAAGAGCCAAAGCATCTGTCCGATGCTTTGGAAGCAAAGTTAGCGGCCGCATGGCTCACCACATTATCCAGGTTTGTGGGATCAGAGTTCATCTGCGTCCATTCAATGTCCAGGTCATCCAGATCCTGGTCGTGTGGTTCCAACTCATACGGGCAGCCCAGCTTGACCGAATCGCCCTTGGCCAGGTAGATCACCTCCCGGCCCTTGGCGTTGATCTTGACAGCAGGCAGGAGAGCTGGTGGGTAAAGCCAAGAGAGAATCTAGTGGCACCATCAGGACTAGTGGATTGATTCTGTCAAAAGCTTAGAGCTCTTCAAGGACTAGTGTTCGTGTTGTGGACTGTATGTGTACATAAAACAAACAGATGAATAGCTATATGTAATGGACCCAGAAGAGAAAATATACACATATAAAGCCCAAGATCTAGTCTCACAACCCAAATGCCTTCTCGCTGGGGCCAATGGGAGTTGTAGTCCAACCCCTCTGGAGGGTACCAGGGCCAAGCAAGGGTGGAATTTAAAAATAAGCACATGGGCTTCACAGCAGCAATAATCGGCTTCTTAATAAATGCTTTTCTCGCATTGACGTCTGGGAGTGGGGGGGATGCTGTGACTCTGACGGGGTCCAAAGCAGACAGAATCCAAACCACACAGCAAATTACAGGTCGTGGATTCGGATTCTGCGGTAGCTTTTGTCCTGATAAGCTACATCGTATAGGACGGGGAGTTCTTTTTTTGTGAGCGGGGATCCCAATTCTCGCCACACCTCCTGCAGTCCAGAATAAGCACAAGGTAATGACAACAACAGTTTACACACCTTCTTACATAGCATGAAAACACGCAACCTTTCAAACAGCTGCGCAATCACCTGTTAAAGTTGTTTCAGAGCGAGAAAACATCTTTCCCATCTGGAAAGAGAACTGAGATGATCGTGATGATGGGAGACCAACGCATGTCCGAAAAACCTTGCTCTGTAATTTACCTCATCCTTTCTTCTATCACACCTCCAGCTTCTGATATTTCACCACCCACACCTCACAGACCTTCCAGCTATACTTTCAGCAATGAAGGCTAGAAACGTGGCTGCTGTTTTCTTCCAAGCTATGCTGTGTTGTAGACCCAACCACGCAGGTTTTCACCTCCAGCAATATTTTAATAAGTTTTAATATTGCCTTTTCTATGTTTTCAACTGCAGCCAGTGTGGGTCGGGAATTTATTTACGTTATATTTTATGTTGCAAGCCGTCCTGAGGCTTTTTGCGACCGGATGGCATCTAAATATTTTAAATAAACAAATAAATAAAATATCACCAACAGCAAAAGGTGTGCATGCAACAGAAACAGCCCTTCCAACACACTTCTTTAAAATATATACGTTTATATACCAAATGCAGCAATGCCTATGATTTTCTATACGTCCCCGCACAGCACGCCTTACCTGGTGTCAGGCACAAAAGGAAGAGCTGCAAACCACAGGTCCCAGCCATGGTCGCAAGGTGCGTTTTCTTCCAGCCCAGCGGCTCAAGGCGAGTCTGCCTTTAGGGCTGGCTTGGTCTTGGCAAGGGAAGCTACAAGAAGGAGCCCTGGGGAGCCGGTGCCTTTTAACCCTCCGGTCCGGCCCTTCCCTCCTGCTGCAGATGCCTTTGGGGTGAACCGGGAGGCCAACGAGCGACTCCCAAAATGAACTGGCACAGCCTCCGCCCGTGTCCCTCGCCGTCATGCTCTTACTCAGCCGAGTGACAGCTTTTCACCTCTGCCAAATTGTTTATTTAATTATTTATTTAGGGAATTTCTATGCTGCCCCATTCGCCGAAGCCTCGGGGCGGCTCACAAAAAATTAATCCCAGGCGACTCTGAATCTGGATAATCGTGGTCTCTCTGAGGCCATCCTTTGCCTGTTCGGGCCTGGGAAGGTCGAGAATTTGGGGGTTATCTTCTCACCTGCCCCTTAGGGGATGTTTGGGATATCCTCTTTGGAAAACTGGCTGCACGCCCATCCTCTTTTGGCTTCCCCCCAATTCTGAATCCCAGCTGCCAAGCTTCCTCTGAAATTTCACTGAATCCATCGGGAATCGCTTCACACGCAATTCCCCAAACATTTTCACGGTATTTCCTTCCTTCCAAACGTCCAGTGAGCGACTGCTACATTTGTCTGAAATTATTGAAATTTTGATGGTGGCAGATTTTTATTTATTTCTATTACATCTGTATTCTTCCCAGTAGCCAAAACTCTTCTTATGGTGTGAATATGGATGGCCAAACAGATGAGCTTTGATTTCCCTCGCATTCTGTTAAAAAATAAAAATAAAAACTCAAGTTGTTTCTTTCCTGAGCATGAGGATTATTGTGAATTTTTGTTCATGCTTATGAAAATGAACTGAAGCTAAACTGTCATGCATCAGCCAAATTCCATAGGTTCACCCATTCCTAGAACAAAGAAGTTTCTTTAAATGAAGCTACTTAAAAGAAGGTGCCTATTTAAAAAGGAGAGTTGGCCCCCTTAATTCAGAATATCACACTCAAATACAGAAGAACAACTTTGAAGAGCGACGTGTCCAAAGCCCTGGTCTTTAATCCAATTATTTGTCCATTTTCTTAGTATCTTTTTTAAAATCTCATGTTCTTCTTGTCCCAGATACGGAGAAGTCGGGGCAGCAAATTCTGGTCAATTTTTTCACCCCTTCCTCGATGGGATGGCACCGGATACCCCAAAATTGCGGGGGGTGGGGGTTAAAAACATCTTGGGATAGCCAGTGATTTTTTTAAACTTCTGCATAGCTTCCCATGGTCTTCCGAAAGCTCTGCGTGAGTGAGACCATTCCAGCTGCAGAGGGAGCTCCCGCCATTGGCTGAATTTATGATCCTCAGAATGATGGGTATTAGGACACTATCTCTGTTCACAGACAGGAGCGGGAGATCCAGGTTTAAATCTCGACTGCCCAAGAGCATCCTATGGAGGGAAAAGCATTTCCCCATTGCTACCACAGAACGGAATGGGGAAACAATTCCTATGCACATGTGTCTTAGGCCCAAGCGTGGGAATGTATTAAAGTGTGCCTGCATTTCGCCAGTCTGTGGAGCTGTTTTTAAAATATCCCCCTAGAGAACTTGCAGTGAGGATGGAGAACATGATGCAAATGTGCATGTGTGTGTTGGGGGGGGGGGAGTGCAGAGAGGTAAGGCAATATTAACCCTTTCTTCCCCTATTGCAAGCCCCGTACAAGAGATCTTCCCCTCAAATTGCAGCTTCTGTCTCGGAAGAAATGAACGCACTATTGGATAAAGCATGATTTTCCCCAGGACTGAAAAGGGAAACTGTGCATAAGGAAGGGTGAAATCCTTTCCTTCCCCGTTCCTGATCCAGGTTGGGGCTGCTGTTTCAAGCAAACACAACACAGACACGTTCCTTGACATCAAGCCACACATCTTTCTAGTTTGGCTGCAGCAGCTGCGTAAAAACAGGAGAAAAGAGGGCCGAGGAGGAGGAGGAGGAGGAGGAGGAGCTGCTGGGAATGAGCTGGAGGCACCGACCGTTCCCGTTCCCACTTTCGGTTTGGGTCAGCCTTGGATCATCCTAGCTCCAAAACCGAGCGCGTGACCACATGAGCTGGCCGAGTGAAGCAGAGAGAGGAAGTGACTCTCGTTGAGTGTCAGGGAACGGGCAGGAAGCGCAACGGCGAGTCAGCACGACATCAGGCCCTTCTTTCCCCGGCTGAGGAGTGAGCCAGCGAAACACCCTCGGAGTTTCAGTTGGGGCTGGGATAGGAGAGCAAGGGCAGCGGTTTTCTGCCAAGAGCCGTGCCCTCCCTCGCTCCCGTTGCGCTGGCACACGTGGCCTGCAGCTCTGGTGCACGGCAGTGTGGGTGTTGCGGTGTTCAGGCGCGAGGTGGGTGGAAATGGTCCTTCCCATTTCCTGGAGGATGTCGAGAAACGTGGCTTTTTGAGGGGAGCCGGAGGACAACCGTAACAGCTTCTCTGCTGGCCACCCAAACGACCATCCGCAAAAGTTCTCTCTCCCACCAGCCTGCCTGGTCACGAAAATCTTCAACTTGCACATTTCTTCTGGTCCACATGGATCTATGACCTGATCGGAGGCAACTCCGAGCAGAGTCTTCTATGTGGTGGCCCCATTTCTGTGCAAATCCCATGTCAGGGGGGCTCCAACATGACATTGCATTCAACACCTCCTAAAAACATGTTTCAGGAACTCTTCCTGGACTAACCAGCCACGGTTTCCCTGATTCTGTGCTACTGTTTTACTCTTATCTGTATTACCTTTACTTATTGCCACTCCATGATTTCCACCACAGACTATGGAGCTAGAGAAGTGTAAGGAATCCAGTTTGGAACTGGGTAATCCATTGGATTCCCTGGATTCTAGATTGCTTTAGCACAGCTCTGAGCGCTCAGCATTCGTGGGGCGATCTCAAGGAATCAACGCTCTTTCACTGCACAAACAGCCTCCGTCTTGCATAGCACAAAGCTTTGTTTCTGCCACTGCACCTGATGTGGAAGAAGCTTGCAGACTCATTTTATTCATTCATTTAAAACATTTTTATGCCACCGAGTGTGCCACAGGTTCGGGGACTTCCTCTCGACATGGCGGGCTTTTCAAGGCTGGGCCAAGCACCAACGCTGGAGAGTTGGATTCTGCCAGTTTCATCCCAACTCTTTAGGAAACCCTATATAAGTCTTTTTTCAATTTCCCTGGGCTCCAAGATCACCGCAGACGGGGACTGCAGCCGAGAAATTAAAAGATGCTTGCTACTGGGGAGGAAAGCTATGGGAAATCTAGGCAGCATACTAAAAAGCAGACTCATCACCCTGCCAACAAAAGTGCGTATAGTCAAGGCTGTGGTTTTCCCGGTTGCAATGTGTGGCTGTGAGAGCTAGACCATAAGGAAGGCTGAGCACTGAAGAACTGAGGCCTTTGAATTGTGGTGCTGGAGGAGACTCCTGCGAGTGCCTTGGACCGCAAGGCGATCCAACCGGTCAGTCCTAGAGGAGATCAACCCTGGCTGCTCTTTACAAGGCCAGATACTGAAGATGAAACTCAAATACTTGGGCCACCGAATGAGAAGGAAGGACTCCCTGGAGAAGAGCCTAATGCTGGGAACAGTAGATGGCAAAAGAAGAAGGGGGCGGCAGAGGATGAGGGGGCTGGATGGGGTCCCTGAAGCAGTCGGCGTGAGCTTGAGTGGACTCCGGGGGATGGTGGAGGGCAGGAAGGCCTGGAGGAGTGTTGTCCATGGGGTCGCGATGGGTCGGACACGACTTCGCGACCAACAACAACAAAATATAAGTCTTGCAACAGCACAGTCCAAGATGGCCATAACTTAAATGTGTCCGTGTTTGTTGTTTGCAGAATTGAAATATCTTGTCTTTTTGTTCTTGATATTTCTGATCGGGTAGCTGCCCAGCACCAACCAGATGGAGAACCTCTTAGGCGGCACGCTAAAGCATCTGGGCATCTACTGCCCATTTCAGATGACATTACCTGTCCTTAAACGTAGGGTGACTGCAGAGTGTATGTTTTTAGAGGTGTCCTTTGAAGACATCTATATAATTCCATATATGACTACACATCATATTCTCAATTCTGGTGTCACAGACTGAAAGTCATGTGAAGAAGAAACCTTGGGATCTCTCCAAACTTCTTTTAGAACTTAACAACACTTCAGAAAGTGAAAACTTCTTTGTCAGAAGGATGCGATCAGCAAAGTGTTGTGGTTTGGACCTCTTCTGCAAAGATGGCCCTGCACTTCTGCTTTCCATGCCTAGTCGCTTGGGATTCCCCACGCCCACTTGAGTGATGGAAAGGGGATTTCCTGTGGGCAAACGGGAGTCTTGTCCATCCTGGCTATCCATAAGAACTTTCTCCGCCTCTGCTTTCATTTTATTCTCCTGCTGTGGTCCGAAGCAGCACAGTCATGTTTTGGATCTTGGTGGCTTTGACGCTGTACGCAGGTAAGGTGCTTTCTCTTTCTTCTCCCGTGTGGCAATTTGTGCGCATCAAGTGATGGGGGAAAACGTCCTGGTAGAACAGCTCTGCCTACAGGTCCTGGTTTCAGCTCCCAGCACCGTTGCTTAAAAGGGGGAGCTGATGAGAAAGATACCCTCCTTCGCCTAGTTCTGGAAAGCCATTATGTCAGCATCATGCCAGAGAGTCACACAGGCTGACCAGCTTCCTGGGCTGAATTTCTGCCGGAAGAGACTGCAGCTTGATAGAAGAGGGCCATGTCCAGAAAAAGAAATTCCCTGGTTCGATCCTGGGATAAAGTTTGGGTGGGCAGGTGTGCAGGGAGCTGAAATTTCTTTCCCTATTTCATGGGGAAGGGCAGAAGCAAGGGGATTGGGCAGATTCCTGGAGGAGAAGGGTATCTCAGGCTACCAGTCCTCATGGCTAGGTGCTGCTTCCACCAGCAGAGGTAGAATGGCTCTGGACACCAGTTGCTGGGGAACATGGGTGGGGCAGTGCTGTGCCATGCATGCCCTCCTTGTGGGTTTGCTCTGGGCAGCTAGTTAGCCATCGTGTGGCGAGCTGGACCCTTGGTCCAATCCACACGGTTTTCCAGCTCTTGGGAATACATCTCCTTGCGTTTAAAGGGATTTACTCCCAGGTAACCGTGATCAGCATCTTCCCCACAACTGCTGTCATTCAGGTGTCGTGGATTGCAGCTCTGTCCATGCCCCCATCCACAAAGCTCCTTAATCTCAGAATCCAAATTTCCAGGTCTGGGTTTACTGAAAACTGTTGCAACTTCCAAGTCAATCACTTTCTTAAGAAACCATAATGAAAAATGTGTGTCTTATTTCCTGGGGATGGACTGTATTTATTGCATTTTGGAATTTCAAGAGTTTGTAGCCCAGTTTTTCACTGTTTTGTGGTGTTCAAAGATAGGCTGGATGTCCACATGGTGGGCATGTCGTGAGCGGAGCCGACTGGAGCCGGGGGTCAGACTAGATGGCCCAGGAGGCCCCTTCGGAGTTGCTCTGTTGCTTTGTTTCTATGTTTCTATTTTTGGGTCAATGGACACTTTTTTTTAAGAGTGCCATGGGCACTCTCACAAAACGGCCGCCATGGGCTTGGGCCTGCCGGTTTGTAAAATAGCCGTGGGGAGCGAGGCGGGTTAAAGCACACGCTTTTCCCAGAAAGCAAACTGGCAAGATCAAAAGCAAAGTAACTTGTCCAAGAACCAAACAGCACCTTAGAAGGGAGCCTGAAGCTCCAGAAATAGGTGGAGAAGGTGCTGGAGCCCAGCCTCCAGCAAAAAAAGAAAATAAAACTATATTAAGAAACAAAACAAAAATCAGGAGAGACAAGGAACCTGGTGGAGGAGTGTCTCTGGCCCCCAGTACTAATGGACTCTGCTGGAGTTTCTAGTTGTTCAAGTCATGATAAGTGTATATTCCTATAAACTGCCGCCTCTAAAGGAATCCAAGACATTGCATAAGACTAGCTTTACTTCTCCTCTTCCTTCTTCGAAAGTACATCCTGTTTCTGCAATTTGTTTTGATCATCAGCTAACCAGTTCTGAAACCCAACTTTTGTATATTTGCCGTTCGATTTGTAACACTTGCAAGTTCTTCAAGAATTGTGCTCATTAGCAAGTAATCAAGTCTACTAGTTTTGCTAAATAAATATAGCTGTTTGCTTTAAGTTTTGCCTTTTTAGATTCTTAAACATATTGAACTAAAAATAATCACTTCAAGCAGAACTCGAAAAAGCCGAACTGTCATACTGCAACAGTTCTAGGAATTAAAAAAACTCATTTCCTTCAGAAGAAATGGATCGTATCTACCTGTTGCCAATTTCTCTGCCATCTCTAATACATAACCAATCTCTAAGCAAAGTGCTCCGAAGGGGAAGTGAGTCCAGGAATAATGCAGTGAGGAAGACACGTAATAATGGCCACTATTTGGTGGTCTGGCCTGAAAATCAGCAGGGGACGGGGTAGGGGGACAGGAAGCCCCGTGGCCCAGTGTGGAGGGACTCGCGGTGCCAGAGAGACCTCGTCCAGACCCCCTTTCCACTTTCCTTTCCAGAACTACTGGCCTCTCCGGCCTCCAGTCCAGCACAGGTGTCTGGACTTTTGGGGGACTCGGTGCAGCTGAGGGCCACTATCCCTCCCAACTTCTACGTGCGGGAAGCCTTCTGGAAGGTCGTGATCCCCGTGCACGAGATGGTGGCTTCCTCCTTCAAGGGGACATCCTCTACCCTCTACCAGTCCCGCTTCTACGGAAGGTGCCGGCTGTACAGTAACTTCACCTTGGAGGTCGGCCCGCTGGGCCTGGAGGACGCGGGGACCTTCTTGGTGCTGCTGGTCAACGCGACGGGCGAGATGAAGGAGCAGGTCTTCCACCTGGCGGTTCACGGTACGGGCGGCCGGAGGAAGAGGGGTGCGACGGGTTGGCCGTTTCCTTAGCTCTGGTTTTAAGCGAGGGGCCATCTTTGCCCCCCCCACACACCCTCTAGGGTCGCTCTGGTGGACAGAACCGCCATGGGGAACCTCTGAGCTGCCACCTAGCCTCTCCATCACTTGAGAAGGCCGGGGGGGAAGGGACATCTCCATCCAAAGCCAAGGTCCCCATCACCTTGAGCACCGGAGGAGAGGGAGGGAGGCCCGTTCCAATTTTCAGGGCTCCACGTCATGCGCATAAATCGCTTGGAGAGCATCCCTCACACACGGGCAGGTGGGGGGGGGTGAGGATGAGGAAGGGGACAGAGAAGGGCGAAGCTAGCGTGTGTCCCCTTACCTGCTCATTGTTCGGACCACCAGAAGGACAAGCAGGTGAGACAGAAGGAGGGAGAACGAAGGAAAGCGAGGGAAAGAAGTCAGGAGAATAGGTGCAGGTGTTTGAGTGAGAGGTGGAGACGGGAGGAGAGAGGAGATGGTGTGAGAGAACGGGAAAGGAAGAGGGGAGAGGGAGGGAATGAAAAAGGCAGGGAGAGGGAGAGACGGGGGATCGCGTGGGCAGTGAGAAGGCGCCAAGGGGGGAGAGGAAGGGGGCTAGGCGGACCTGCGACATGGGAAAGGGGAGGCCGCCTTGGCCACAGCCACGTGCTGCTTTCGGCCACACCTCCCTCCCGCCAGCATGAAACTCCCAGAAGACGGAAGTGGAACGCAGCCCGTGGCTGAAACCGAGGCCCCTCCTGGCTCAGGGAGGCGTGTCCACCAAAACACTGTCACCCTGGTTGCAAAGCCGTGCAAGCGTCCCGACCCCACCCTGCAGTCCAGGAACGCGGTGAAGCAAAGTCCCGAGAAAGCTCGGGGGTTTCGACATCCTTGTTTACGGTCATTCCCATGGCTCTCTGAGGCACACGCCATGCCAAGCAAGCTTCAACCCGTCTGGTTGGCGTGCTTGCCTTCTACAAGATCTATCATGTGCACAAGGTCATCCGGAGTTTTCTCCACTTTGCTTTCTTGGGAATGCAAGCTTCTAGTCCTCATGGAGGCAGGGGAACCTCTGAAAGCAGAGAAGGTGGCTTCTCGTATCTCCTGCAAGACTTCCTGTGATTTCCAAGGATGCTCTTGGTGACTCCTGCAATGCAGCTGACCGGTTTACTTTATTTCGAGGCTGCAGCCTAGTTGGAAATGGTTCTGCAGGGGCAGGACAGCAGACATGGGGGTGAACTCTGGCCTTACGCAGGCCAAGCACAACCCTCCCAGGCTGCCCGGAGGAGCGTGCGCCCTCCTTCTGTCGCCCTTCTTTTCCTCCACCACGTCCACTTGTGTTCATGACGATCCCAATTCTAAGAAGCACCTCCAAAGCTAGTCCCCGGCAGGAGGGGCTGTAACCTGAAAAATGCTGCGGGGCCGGTATTTTGGGCATGAACCCTTTGCCTTTTAGCCCCGCATGTGCCGAATGCAGCCCTTGAAAGCTTTTCCAAGTGGAATTTGGCCCGCGGGCCGGACGGGCTTCTGCACCTCTGGTGCGGGGATGGGCGTATGACCTACCCTCCCGTTCTTCCGGTTTCTGTCCTGATGTCTCTCCTGCACTTTCCAGAAGCGGCTTCCGTGCCAGCCATCCAGGTGTTTGCGGAAGAGAGAGGCCCGAATGTTTCTGCCGGCTCTTGCATGCTCTTCCTGACCTGCAGCGTATCCGGCGGCTCCAACATCAGCTACAGCTGGACAAGGCCGGGGGGCAAAGACCCGGCCAGGAAGGAGCACGTGCTCTTTCAAAACGGCCAAGTGTTGTGGCTGACAGTGGATGTCCAAGAAGAGAAGCAAGAACTGTATACCTGCACGGCCGCCAACGCCGTTAGCAAAGAATCGGCTACTGTAGACGTGCAGAAATTCTGCTCGAAACGGCCAGGTACGTGACCAGTGGGGAAAAGTCAGGGGACACGATGAATTAAAGAGGAGGGGAAGCGATTTTGGGGAGGTTAAGGTGGTTCCAAAGCCTCGATCTGGCTCAGAACCGAAGCGGAGAGGCCATGCATGCACAGGCACCCTCCACCCATGTTCCCCAGCAGTCAGGGTACAGAAGCATGGATCCAAGATGAAATGGCTTTGTATGGGAAAGACTGAATTCCGCAAGCAGCTCGGCTACTGAGCATCTCAAAAGCCTGTGCAAAATAAGTGTTAATAACATGCCTATTATTAACTGAGGAGGGCATGAGCCAGGCCACTGAAATACGTGGGCCAGGGTAGCTGTGGCTGATGGGCGTCCCACTGCTTGCGGCAGGGATGGCTCTAAGCAGGACTAAGCCCAGCACCTTTGAAAGAGAAGCAGGACATACACCCTGCCTTCCTCCGTCATCCTCAAGGGGGCCAAGCCAACCACACTCATTAGAGAACACGCTCCCCGTCTGGGAACCCAAGAGACCCCCTCTTTTCCCCACCCCGTTTCTTGTCCCCGACGGGGAGCATCTGGGTGATTTTTCAACCAGCAACCTATCCATATGAGCACGCACTTGAAAACAATGTTTCCACATACTGGATTTTCACTGGGGTTTGTGGGGGGAGGGGGGATCCCGCCAGTGCACATGCGAAGAGAGCCTCTGAGCATGTGCAAAGCTTCCTCCTAACACCGAGTGGCAGGCTGTGGCTATCCGATTCAGGGGCAGGGTGCCCTAGGTAGTTACGGAGCGCCTTGCGTTGTCGCACCTGGGCTGTGCTGAAGCTTCCCGGGTGCACGACTGGAGCCCCTGACCGGTGCCGTTCTGTCTTTTGCAGCCAACAAGGGATTCCCGTACGATTACAGGGACGCCCTGCTCATTATTGTCCCCTTCACCTCGCTCTTCATCGCAGGAATGTGTGTGTTCTTATGCTCCAGACGGTCTTCGGGTAAGTACCTCTGCCCGCCTGTGTGAGCCCCGGCACTCTCTCCAACCTCGGGGACCGACCCTGCCCTCAAAGACCTGCCCCTCCGATTACACCAGGCGCGCACACGAACCACCTTTCTCGGAACTGGTCCTTCTGGGTCGGCCGACTTGGCCACGGCTATCCGTGCGTCTCGGCTGCTCCTTCGTTAGACTACCGCAGAGCAGTGGAGGTGGGACCCCCCCCTTGAAGGGGTCTCCCTGATGCAACACGAAGCAGCCAATCAGGCCCATCTTGCACCTGTCCTGACAGTCTGGCAAGCAGTTGCCGGGCTGCTTTCTGGGCTCAGTTCAAGGTGTGCCTTTTAACGCCCTCAAGGGCAAACTAAGGGGCTGGTGGTCTCATTAGAAATAATGAGATGATGAGGATGCTATTTATGTATTTAAAGCTTTTATAGACCGCCCCTCTACTGGCATCTCAGGGCAGTTTACAACGAGCAACAGGTAAACACGGCACAGCCATCTAGAAGAATGTAATAATATTTATAACAGCTACTATAATTTATTATGTAATTATTATATTGGAAATTATATCCAAAACAAAAAAAGAGTTACGAACCTGCCCAGTTATTAAGGTTTGCGGGAGAAGCCCGTCTTGCGGGACGCACGACGATCCCCCTTCCCTGTACTGTTCCCCCGTTCTCCCTCGGTTGCTCACCTGTGGCCGTCGTTCTTCGAGAGCAAACCTGTGCATTCACACATGTGCATCCTCGATTTGGGAAGGTTCTCCAAGCCCCGCCCCCTTTGCTCCGAGAATCGACAGGTGGGGCCCCACCCTCGGTCGGTTCGCTTTCGGCCCCCGCTTTGCTGAACCTCAGGTGTTCAGCAAAAGTTCAGCAGGGGGAACTTTTACCCCAGTTCTCAATTTTGCCAATATCTATACCTTTTTTACCCCTTGTCTACCCTTATTCCATCCTTACGTTCAATTCCCCCCACAAAAAAGCCCCCAAAACATCCATTGTCACTTCTATACCTCAGACCTGGCCCCAAATGTCTCCCTCTTCTGCTCGAGGGTGCAGAAACCAGCCCCCAAAATGGGTTGTGGTGATAAAATCCCGCTGACGGGCGGGCGCTCGCTCTGCCGGCTGTGTCTGGGCGAGGAGCACCGTGGCAACACGTGCCCTAAAACATGTCTCTAAATCTTTAAATCTAAAGATGGAGTCATGGGGGGCTACATGGGCCGTTGTGGGGCACGAAGCCAGCCAGCCAGCCAGCCGCCCGCCCACCTGCGGAGCGGCCTCTCCCAAAGCACCCTTTCCATGGCTGCAGCCGCCTCGAAACCCTCACCATCGGCTCCCAAGCAGGCCTCCTCCAAACGAGCACAAGGGGCTGAGGAACCAGCCTGTGCCAAGCGCAGGCGCCGTTCGCCGATCGCTTCCGAGCATCGCACAAGCGCAGTAGTGCCAGCCCCACTTCCACCCCGGGCCTCTCCGGCAGCATCCCTCCCGAACGCTCCTTCTCACCTCCTCACGAGCCCCGGCTGTCCTCCGGGCTGTCGGCAAGGGGCTGAGGACATCCCCGCTCCATCGAGCCCTTCCTGCAGTGCAAAGCCTTCGTGTTATTCCACATTCCTGGGGTGAACATGTTATGATTCTTCTTTGTTCTTTATGGGTTGTGCGTCGCCTGGACGGACTTCTATAAGCAAATAGGGTGGTAGACAAACAATGATGCTAAAGCGATGAATGACGGTTCGCTACCAAGTCTGCGGTGATGGGACGTCTCTCCCCTCAGCCAGCGCTATTTACCAAAACCCTCCTGGAGCAGCAGGGGATATGTTCTCTTACAGCTTGCATGTGTTTGCCAGTGTCTAAATCTGCTTGTTTCCTTCCCCGCTTGCACAGGAAAAAATACATCTTACGCCATCTCCGAAGGCGAGCCAGTCCCTGTTTAGCCGGTTCTTTCCGTGGACCGAAAGAGGAGAGAGGGGCTTCTCCAGATATTTGTTTTCCTCATTTTGCTGTCACTACAGAAGACTCGGAAGCCCTACAGACTTTGTTCTATGGGAACAAACGCGTTGCCTTTCCCTTCACCAGTGGAGCTTTTAGGAGTGTTAGAACTCAGTCCAGTTTGGAGTGGAAAAGGAGCTGTTTCGATTTGGAACGAGCTGCCTTGAAGAAAAAGAAAAGTACGAAGACTTTCGACAGCCCTGGAGTCTCAGCCCACAGAGGAACGGCTTGCAAGGAGCTGTGGGTGGCCGGTTCTAGCCTATGACCGACTGATAAGGCAAGTGAGGGCCAGGCCTTAGACTTCCTGCGTCCCAGGACTCTCGCCCCTTAGGGGCCACCTGGAGAGCAGAGGGTAATGGGGCTGCAGCGCTCAGACGAGGGACAACAGAGAACCCATCGAAATCGGCAGCGAATTCAAGCAAGCTGGGATCTCTACGCAAACGGCCCGCAAATTCCACCACCGACCAGCTTTTCCTGAGCCACCCGGATTCTACAGCCTCACAAAGCATTTTTCCCCCTTTCCGGAAGCAGCAAGGACTGACCCCTAGTGCAAGTGAGCGTTCGTGCGGCTGGAGTGCGAATGAGAATTTGCACAAGCAAAATGAAGGTCTGGGTTTAGAAATTCCGATTCCATCGCGGGAACAAAACAAACCTGGGAGCCCTCAAGGCAAGAGACGGATCCTGAGCTGAAACCGCTCGTGGCAGTGCCCAGCCTTCCTGGAGGATTAGGAGCAGTCCAACGGACGTGGTTACAGATTGCTATTTTTTATTTATATTTTATACCTATAATTGTGTTCTACCAAAAGGGTGTTTATTTCCAAATCAATGGGTTTAACAGCAGGGCCAAGAATCCAAGAATCCATCTTTGAGCAGGGCTGGCAAATCAGTTTTGCCAGAGACGAGCCGTAATGGACGGGACAGAAATATCCTAATAAATACATAAATAAAAATAAGGGTTTTTTTGCTCTCGTGTGGTTTTTTGCTCTTACACAACCTCCCACCACCCAGTGCCTTCTGCAGATGGGAGCTACAACTGCCATTATCCCTGCCCCCTGGCCATGCACCTGGGGCTGATGGGGGCTGTAGTCCAAAATGTCCAGAGAGTACCACTGGGTGAAACTGGTGAAGGTAGTTCCAACACAGCAGGAATGTAGAAACAGTGGGAAATGTGGACTGTTTCCAAATTCCCTTGGAGAGCTCCACCTGCTCTGTGCCCATTTTCGGACTGACCCCAGCGAAGACAAGCAGTGCCCAAGCTAATTTACAGAACATTTGGCACGGGCTAATCGATATGCAGAGGTGCCCATTCAGAAATCCCTGAACAGAAAGGGATTCCATTGTGTGGAAAGAGGGGACCGGCTTGCCTCGCCCAGGTAGTTGAGGGGCAGCCTCAAGGCCCAGCAACTCCCTCTGGTGTGCATCCCGGAACAACTTGGCTGGGACAGCCCTTCAAGCATGCAGCACCTTCAGAACAGGGCAGCCCTTAAAAAGCAACTGTAAAAGAGGACACAGCCCACCTGCCAGATAAAATGCGCATGTTACAAACCCTTCATGCCTCTAGTCCTTCCTCCTTTGAAGGGGATGAGAGCTCTCCAAAAGCAGCCCTGCTCAAACTCCCACTTGTGCCATGGATTTCATGAAACAGCACGCTTTCAAATTTATTTCTGGGCTCTGAAATTTTGCAGAAGTCGTGTTTCTGTAAAATCCTTCTCAGCGTTTCACTTGAACAGGGAAAAAGGGAAGTAGAACTGCAGGGTAAGGCTTTCAGGACGTTCTCCAGAAAAATTAGGAGAAACGTGGCATCCAATGAAGCGGTGGGATGCCATTCCTTGTTACTCGCTCTCGTGTTTCAGTTCTGCCATTTTTTTCTCCTATTCCACCAAGCAAACCAGTTTTACGGGATACTCTCCACTACCAGGGCCTGCCTTTCCAAATTGTGACCGCCAGCCCCTTTCCTGGCTGGTGCACAGTGCCACCCGGTAGCCACGAGACACCTGCATTCCCGCGCAAACCGCTGCACGTGCGACGAGGACGCTGCGTTACACTGTCCTTCCCCGATCCGTTTTTCTCCAGCGATCGCTGCCTACTCACCCTTGCTCTCATTTGTGGATCTCTCCACAGAAACCTTTGATGGCTGGCAGTGCAAACGGATCAATAAAAGGGCAGTGAGACGTCACCTGAGGGCGAGACGTCACCGCCGGCTCCTCAGAGCAGGGAACGCGCCAAGGATCGCAGCGCGAGGAGGGAAAGAGGGAAGCAAAGACTCCTCACGAGTCTTGGGAGACCACAACTTCTCACTCCTCTTCTTGAGCTGTTCCTCTTCCCACCTGGTTGCGACAACTTTGTAATTTCCGCACCCAGAGTCCGATTGTCTTTTCTCCTGCTCTCCCCGCATCCTCTCACCTTTGCGTTACATCTTTCCGAAATAGTAAGCTGAAGGAGGGAGACCGCTTTGCTTTTATTGACGCATAATTCACCACAGCAGCTTTTTGGGGCTGAAGAGGGACTTAAACCATCTGTACATTGAAGCAATGCTATATCATACCTCTCTCAAAGACTTTGGAGCTACCCCAGTTCCTTGGAGGGGTAAGAAAGGCAGGTTATGAAGAGATGCTGTTTGAAATGCAATGTTTTTAACATGGTTATAGGTTGAAATACTCAGCCAAGGATGGTCCTTCGAAGATTCAAAGTCATTAAGGGCAGTCACTGGGCAAAACTGGTTACTAGAACACAATCTCTGATTGCTTGCTTATTTCTTGCATTGTAATTCACGTCTCTGCCAGTCCACGCCACTCGAGGCAGCTTAGAGTCCAGAAACGTACGATACGCGTTATGCTAAGACGCCCACACATGGGTTCGTTGTCATGCAAGCAAACAGAATGACCGGCTGAAAGTGGATTGTCAGCCTGGCCCTCCGTCCTCAGGGATCCCTGGGGACCACGTGGGAGGGACGACTCGTCCCGCCAACCGCTGGCTTCTGCAGTCTGAAGACATTGCACCGTAAAAGGAGAAAAGGGCCAAGGGGACTCGGAGGAGGCGAGAGCCGGCAGCTAACGTGCCGCTGGCTCCCACTTCAGGTAATGTCCCAGCCGTTGGGCAATCTGGTGTCTGCCCGTTCTTTGGGACTATGAGTCCCAGTGTCCCCACCAGCACAGCCAGTGGTTGGGGATGCCTGGATCAGCACACCCTTCCTGCAGGAGATGTTTATGGTCCATGTGTGATTCCATCTACAAAGTAGTTGACCGGCTCTTCACACAACACCCTCTGCTCTGGGGTTTTACAACGGTTCCAGCCAGTGTTTTGGGAGCAGGGAAAGCTGGCTGCTATTTTCACGTGGCGGCACAGAACCGCCTGTTGCATTTGAGCCATCCTGCCAAACCGGACACTGGCTGAGCACCAAACGGGACCTGTGCGACGGCACACGGCCCCGCACTGCAACAAACATTAACCGCAGCTCATCAAAGCCCTGACCGCTCTGCAGACTCGGTTTTAGAGAAGCGGCTACAGCAGGAAAGGGGATGTGATACAGTAAGAAGGTTCTTATATTGTGATCTTGAGGCCTGGCCGGTCCTTTTCAAGCATCTTCAGCTGCCCTTCTATTTCTGGAATGATATCACAGAAGCATAGCCTAAAAGAACCAGAAAAGTTAATAATGAGATGTTAAAAATGACCCCAATGAATCCCGCCTTCTCACTTGGCTTCTGCAGTCCAGCCCCAAGCTGGCAAGCCGTCAGGTTTGCCAGGACCCCCCCCCCCCCCCCCATTTCAATTCTTCCTCTATGCAAAGACTGAACCAATTAAGCTGGGATGCACCATTAGGCATCACCACCACGTATGCATCCCTCACACCCAGAACATCTGGAAATGGGCCTCAGTGTCCCAAGAGCTGCCCCATATTCAGCCCTGAGGGCTCTGCAGTTTAAAAGCGGAGAATGTCTGAACTTAATCCCGGGAGCAGAACTGGAGTACAGAGTGCCGCCTTTTCCAGCCTGTTTTGACTTTCTAGTGCTCTAGAGAAAACATCTGCCTTGCTTGACACCAAATGCAAATAGTAATTTGACCAAATGGAACCAAAACACTCCCGGATTGCTTTTTATGCTGTGGATCAAGACCATCATGCACAGCTAGGACAGGTTAAGCCCCTTGTCTCCAGACACTTCCACGGCCTCCTCGCACAGGGGCTTAAAGGAAGGGGAAGAACTCAGTCAGAACCAAAGCGTCTTTCTTTTCTTTCCTTAGGCCTGGAAAGAACTGGCTAGTTTCTCTCCTGAACTTCCACGTTGGAAAGTTTAAGCCCAAGTGCTTAAAGCCAAGTGAAAACCATAAGCAGTAGCTCCGTCTCGCACATTTCATCCCACAGTTCCAGAAGTCTGGGATTCCCTGCCGGGAATGCAAAGCCACGTTCACCACCGTACCGGATTTCTGTAAGGCCATGACAGGTCAGAATCAGCTTGCGCATCTCCTGGATGCAGCGGTCAGTGAACAGGTTCCCGCTCAGGTTCAGGTGCTGGAGGACGGTGTTTCCCATGAGAGCTGAACAGAGCATTTGGCAGGATGCGTCCGTCAAGGCATTTTCCTGGATCCTGCAGCAGAAACGAGGTTAACGGGTGTCCTTGTAGCTTCACCAGAGCCACCCTCAAAGCCACAGTGAGAGAGATCACCTTCATATCCCGAAGAATTAGGATATTCTCAACATGCATGGCTTTACGTTCTATAAAAGGCTTTCCTTATCACATTCCAAGTCCCCTGCCGGGTTCCCAAAATGCGCCACTCCAAAGCACTCGGAGGCACAATATCCCCACTTACCCGAGCTTCTGTATCTTGCACTGTGGGTTTCTGAACACCTCCAGTAAGATGGCGAGCCCCTTATCATGCAGCTTGTTTTTGGTCAGGTCGAGACTTATGAGGGACTGGTTTGCTGAGAGAGCCACGCACAGCTCTTTGCAGCCCTTTTCCGTAAGGCCATTGTTTGCCAAACTAGAAAGGTCACAGGATTCAAAGAGGAGGGAAAAGACGGGTGGAAAAGAGAAAGGAATTAGGTATATGGCACAAAATGTATACCCCCCCCCCACCGTGCCTCTCAACTATCTTTCCTTTTTAAAAAATCAAGTTTCTAGTCCTCACATTCCAAACAGCACTGATTTTTAGGACCAGCTGCTTCTCCAAGGCTGTGAGCACAACCTTGGAGAAGGGGTAACGTGGGTATTCCCAGCCTACCAAGGAGGTTACGATGTCTCCGCAGCCATCACCTTCTCTCCCTGGTGGAAGCATCTCACCTGGACCACTTAAATCCCCCGCTGGCTAGTCCTGGTTTGTGTGGGAAGCCGACACTGTTCTGTACACAGAGGTCTGCTGGTACCTCCCAGGACTGCACCGAATCACGGAAGCCCCGATTTAAACTGCAATGGGCAAAACAGTCCACCTCCTGCTTCTCTCCCTGCACTCACAGGTCCACAGCCGTCGGTCCCAGGCTGGGCGAGGAGGCAAACGCTTTGCCCCAAACCCAGTCGTGAGAATTCCCTCCACCAACCGCAAGCAAGCGTACCTCAGGGTCTTCAGCTGGCAGTCCGACTGCCCCAAGGCCAGGGCAAGGCTTTTCACTGCTGAATCCTTCAGGTGATTGCTGGAGAGGCTGCGGGAGGGAGAAACGTGCACAAAACTGGGTTGATTTCGGATCAGTTCTGTGTTAGCAACGCTCTCAAGCGGTGCCCCGTGTGCTGCCAGATGTTCCAACAGGGCCCTCAAAATGCACTAGAGATGTTTGTTCGACACGCCAAGAAGCTTTCTGGACGTGGAGGTCGGGGCCCAGCTTCCTCGCTTTGTGTGTGGAGAACAACAGAATTCCCAGCCCAACCTTTCCAAATTTGGAAGGAAAGACCAATGGGATTAGGAGAGGAGCTGGTCTTGGGCACAAGAGGAAATCCTGGGAGGAGGAGGAGGAGGAGGAGGGGAGGGAATTCCTACAGTCGGGAAGTGACCTTGGAGCCCATGGCAATCCGGCTCTCCATCGCGCTCGTTCGACTCGGCTTCTCAGAGTCCCTCCTTCTGCCCCATTGACTTCGCATTCTGAATCGGAAGCGTTTGGCTGGGAACGTTGCACTGAGAGAAAGCTGGGCCCCTTCTCCACAGGGCAGAACTATTTGTATTCATACTATTTGTATTCACTTGTATTCACAATTAGTATTGACCAATGGCAGCATTCTGTTTTGCTGGCGTGTTATTACATTTATGTGCCCACCTTTATCTGCTGGCAGGGGCCCAAGCAGCTTACATGGCCTTCTGTTTTATCCTCCTGGGGGGGGGGGCACAGGAGGGACGCTCGGCTGAGAAGCAATGACTGGCTTCAAAGCATCCCAACCAAATTCCACCATAATGGCAGAACCGCTCCCCCAGGCCGGTTCGTTGTGGTTTCTCTGTCATTTACAACCCACTTAACTAAACTTTAAAGCTGGCCATAAATGGGAAACACACGGCATGAGGAAGAGGGAGGGTTTAGGACTTAAATTTACCCCTCTTAGTTATCCAAGATGATGCATGCATCGGATTCCAGAGTCCCCCAAGTGCGGAAGGAACCAGGGGCTGTAACATCAGGCTTCTGACTGGGAGGCAATACAAAGCTTCTAGATTGGCCAAATCTGATTCAAGGATTAGGGGGTGGGTTTAGCCGCTCATCTGCACCGTCGGACAACGCAGCCGTCTCTCAACCCAGGCTGAGCCGTCCACAGCAAAGGACAAAGCCACACAAGGGGCAAAACACGCAGCGCCCCTCACATCCTCTTAAAGAAGGCCGAATGTAAGACCCACAACTCTTGCTGGGACTTTCTCATCTGCCCAGATCATTGGGAATGTTTGCTCGGCCATCCATCTTGTTTGCAATGCTTCCCAGTTTCACATCATCCAAGGACTACGCACTTACCACAATTCGCCGACCTTGTGCAGTTGTGGGCTGAGCTTCTGCAGCCCCTCGGCTTGGACATAGCAGGAATCAAGGTTTAGGAACGCGACCTTCCTGCAGCAGCTCAGGACATAAGCCAGGATGACACAATCGACCGGCAGGAGGATGAGTTTGGAGAAGTCTATGTGAGAAGCATCTCCCATCACCTGACGCACAAGCTGGCTGTTCTGAGCCTCGAAAAGCAGATTGAGGAAGTTCAGGGCCCTCCTTTTCCCATTCTCACTCATCGCGCTGAAGAGGGCTTCACGGTTTGTCCTCACCATGTTCTCAATGACCCTCTTCGTGGTTTTGGCGGAAAACTCTCCCAGATGTTCCTTCAAGGGAGCCCTGGTAGCGGAATGCGACAAGCCAGCCAAGAAGCGGAGAAAAATGTCGTACTCTCCATTCAAGTTTTTTTGTGCTGCCAACATCGTAGAGTCAAAATTCTCCTCCCGGAAGTCCAAGTAATGGGTGAGGGCAGCGAAAAACTCTTGGACGGTGAGGTGGACGAAGGAATAGGTGGCCCGGACGTTCTCCACAAGGAAGGCCGTGCGGAGAGGCGACAGCGTCACCTGGAAGGCGTCCAAGGGCTCCTTTCCGAAGATGAGCATGTGGTTGGTCAGGCCATAATCTGCCAAGCGGCCGAGATTTTTCAGGACCTCCCGGACATCCGCGTTCTCGGGCAGCCCCTTGGTGTGGTTGGCCAACATGTGGAGGACGTAGCTGATGAAGAGCTGAGTCACCGTCCGGGGCAGAGCGGGCGCTTGCCCCGCGCCGGAGGTGAAGCAGGGCCGCAGGGCCGTGCAGGTGATCCAGCAGTAGGAGGGGTTGTAACACAGGGTGTAGAGCACCTGGCTCTCCCTCACGTGGGCCAAGGCCTGTTCTGCCACGGCGTCCTCGCAAAAGAAGTTGTGGAAGAACCGCTGCCTCTCCTGGGAGAGGAACCCCGCGATCACCACCACTCTGTGCAGGGCCTCCGTCTGCAGGTGGGCGAGTCTGCTCGGGCGGCTCGTGAGGAGGACGGAGCAACCCTCCAGCAGCGTCTGCTTCAGCAAGCTGGCCACGATCACCTCGACGCCTTTCACGTCGTCGGGCCGGGTGCAGAGCCCGGTGGATCGCAAGTCCATGACTCTGTTGCTCTCGTCCAAGCCGTCGAAGATGAAGAGCAGCTTCTCCGGCTGTCTGAGAATCTCCCCCAGTTTGTCCTGCAACTCGGGGTACTGTTCCCAGAGCAGCCTCTCCAGGGTGGTCTCTGCGCCCACCGTGTTGAGGTCTCGGAATTTGAAGGCGAAAACGAAGGCGAACTTTCGGTAGTGATCCCCCTTCGCCCAGTCCAGGACGAACTTCTGCACGAGCGTCGTCTTGCCCACCCCGGCCACGCCGCTCAGGACCACCGAGAGAGGGGTGCGGCCGGAGCGAGGGCACCAGCGGAACAGCCGGTCCGGCGAGATCCGTTCCAGCTCCACCTGGATCTTCCGGCGGAGTCGATACTCGTTCAGCTCTCCTGCGGCGGCCAGGACTTCGTGCTCCTGGCTGATCTGTCTGCCGAACTTGTTATCCGTGACCACTTTCAGGTCGACGTAGCGGTTGATGATGGAGAAGCCTGGCTGCCCGAGTTCAGCCGCACCGCTTTCCATCAGAACTCGGCTTTGCTCATACAGAAGCTGCTTGTGTTTCTCTTGGCAAGCTGCTCAGAGCGGGGCGGGAGTCAACGTTAGGCAAAGTTAGCATTACTTCAAAATGTGTCTGGAGACACCCCTGTTCATGAGGCTCTGCCTTTCTGCCCCAGACACTTGCCCTAAACAACAATGCTGATCATTAGGAAGGTTTTGTGAGCTCTCTAGGATCCCTGAGAGGGGCTGCTCTTTTGCAGCCTCTGCATTCCCATCTGCGAAATGGGGAGGAGAATATGACTTGTGCCGCAGAGGTGCATTAAAGATCACAACAAGGCTATATGTTAAGGGCCCTGGGGTGTTGCAGACTAAAGCAAATGTCTAAGCAAACTTACCAGGGAAGAAATCCCATTGGAGTCATGTGACTGCACCGTAAGTCTTGTATTTGGACTAGGGGAATTGGTCTGGGTTCAGACACACCATTTGGCTATGAAGCTTTACTGTGGATGCCTCAGCCCAGCGACCATCTCCCCAGCTCACCTCCCGCACAGGATTGTTGTGAAGAGCGAAGAGGGAAGGAATAAAGAAGGGCCGTAGAAACATGAAAAGTGTGCGTTTTTGAAATAAATACGAATTACCCTAAGGGAATGTTTCTCTGCGTTAAGGCAAGGCTTCTGTACCACCTCGTCCCTCACACAAGAACTTTTTCTACGAGGCATTGACTGAGCGCAGGATTCCTCACTTGTGGTAGTTTGAGGGAGCTTTGTCTGACATCACCCATCCTCCACGGCCTCCCCCATGATTTGGCAGCCTTTTTTAAGATTAAGCAAAGCCTGGCATGGGACTGGCACCGTGAAAAGCACATGAATTTACACAATTCTACCTAACACGGTGCCATGCCTTGCGGTTCTGTAATGGAACCCTTGGAAACCCCGGGAAGGGAAAACTCCGGAAATAAACCCATGAGGAGTGGATGTCAGTCCCGCAAAAAGCATAGCAGCAGAGGCTTGACAATAAGTCATGCTGATGGAGAAGCTGGGCAGACCAGCCTTCCAGAAACATTTGGACTGCAGCACCCAGAATTCCCGGTCAATGGCCCTGCTGGAGGGGCATTCTGGATACTGCAGTCCAAATGCTCCCGAAGACCACCAGGTGGGGGAAGGCTGGAGCAGACCGTGAGCCGAAGGAGCACACCGAAGCTGCCCCTCTTCGCTCCTCGGCCGTGTTCGCATGGAAGCGCCACGGCAGAATTTGCGAGGCTGAGCTCTCTCCACCCCATTCACCGCTTACAATACCTTTCAGTTCCGGTTCTAAGGGATATCCAGTCTCATTTAGCATAATCTCCTTCTCCAAATTACGACCTTCAGAAAGAAAGAAGAACGAGTTGAAAATATTTGGCAGATCACCAGACAAACCATGGGAGCCCCAAGATCCAACCTTTTCTCTCCCTCCAACACAGTGGCTTTTTAATTATTATTAAGGGTTTTATTTTCTGTCTTGCCAACATGCATCAAGGGTGATGTGCAAAGGGCTAAGCATGCCATCAGCTCCACCTATAAACCAACAGACCATAATATGAAGTCCCTAGTTCTTTCTTCCATAAGGGAGCTTCTCTGCAGAGGTCATTCCGAAATATTTTGTGGTGAAAAAGCAACCAGGGTCATGCCAGAAATATGAGCGCAATGGACTCTTCATATGTCTTCTGGCCAGGGCGGCTTACTTTATATTGTATAGCTGTATTTTATTTTAATGTATCTATTTTAAAATTTTATTTATGATGATCTAACTTATTGTTGTAAGCCGCCCCGAGGCTTCGGCGAATGGGGCGGCATAAAAATGTTTAAATAAATAAATAAATAAATAAATAAATAAGTTACATAAGGACGCAGATAAACAAGGCATTTGTCGACTGTTTGCTCATCCCAGGCCTGTTCTTTTAGCAGTAGTGGCCCCAGCAGGCTGGAGGGAGTGGGGAAGAGGGGCGTTACCGTTCCTCAGTATCTCCTCCACCATCGTGTCAAGGTTGGGATGGGACCACCGGCTCCGCAGCACGAAGAGACTCTTCCAGAGCCCGATGCCTGCCTCGCAGTCCTTCGAAAGGAAGTACTCCACCAGCTTCTCTGCCGCTTTGGTTGAATCCTGTCCCTTCTCTATGTCTGCAAATTCCTAAAACAGGCCAGAACAGATTGCAAGCTGATCAGCCCTTGGAGGACAGGAGTGGGAGACTCCTCCTGTCTCGTGCAGCACACGGTTTCCAACAGCGACAAGCCAGACGTGTTGCCCACAGTCGCAGATACACTGCGACTGAACCAGGAGGTTCTACTCATCAGGGAGGTTTCAGACCCTTTCAGAGATCCCCTGCAGAGATTCCTCCACAGCTCCTAGTGAGGAGGTGGCTATCAAGTTGGGAGCAGGAGGCAAAGTGAGACCCTAAGCTGCCCAGAGGCGCTTCCAAAAGGAGCTTCTCAGCTGCGATTGTAAGGCACCAAGCTCGGGATGTTACAGGAGGCACAGAAATCTTCCACCTGTACCCGTTCAGAAGAGCCAAACTGGGCAGGCAAAGACAGCGCCTTGGCCGGAGACCGTAGCGCTTCGGGGCTTTTCTGCCTGAGACGGTCAATCCGCCCCACCTACTTTTGGTCTGACTGCAAAACTGAGACCAAAGCCCTTCACCACAAAATCTCCTTTACTGCTTTTCTGCTCCATAACCTCCAAGTGGCTCGGAAGCAGAGTGGAAGAGCAGCAATCCTCCGGAGGAAATGGCACCAGGACGACCCATTTCCTCACGCCAGCAACCCCGGCAGAAAGTTTGCTTCTGCTAAACCGGAAGATTGCGATGTCAGCTCAAGGGATGCACAGGCCGCGCCTGGGGCAGGACGGCTGCCTGGGTCGCGACTCTTTCTCCGGGCCGGGAGGCCATCTTCCCGGGGAGCCTGCCGAGCGCTCGCGGGGGTGCCCGCGGGAAAGGGGGGCTGCGTGGAGGGGGCTGCACAACGAGGGATCCGGGAGCATCTGCAGACGGCTTCCCCACAGCTCGGCTCGCTTCCTAAGGCAGGGCCAAGCACCGGGGAAGACGGTGACCGGGCTGCCTCCCAGGGAGCAGCTTTGCACACGTCGTGGCAGCGGCAGCTCTGAGCAAGGGGACACGGGGGCGGCCTTTGGCCCTGGGAACCTCCTGGCTGGGGGAGCTGCTGCCCGTCTGCCACAGAGCCCTCCTGGCTCAGCCGCACAGCCAAGCCGAAACAGCCGCAATCCCCAGCACAGTTCAGGAGGCGGAATGGGAGAGCTTCGCATTCAGACGTACGTTCTGCCCTCTGCCTGAGGAAGACATTCAGAGCCCAGCTGCGCCCCCCAAGCTCCTTCTCTGACCCAGAGCTCAGTGGCGAGGCGAAGGCCAGCTGGGCAAGGACTGCAGACGGCTTCCCACCACTCTGAAGGGATGAACGGAAAGCAAAGCTCCGTTACCTTCATTTGGTCAGGCGGGATGACTTTCCTTTCCGCCAGCTGCTGAAGCACCAGAGTGACGTCGTTTTCAATGACAAATACCAGGTCCTGCCGGAAGTGCTTGGTGATTCTCCTGAGCTGGCCCTGTTCAAAGTGCCGCAGGTGTCGGTCGAAGGCCTGAATGTCCGCTAAGGAAAGAGAACGCAAAGGACCTTTATGGAATCCAGATTTAGAGGCTGGTACCCCATGGGGCGGGAATCCTAAGGGGACCAGCACCCTTGAAGCCTCGATTAGGGTGTCTTTTTCAGCCCTATAACCCCAGTGACCAAACCAAGCCGGAACTTGCGCTGGGAGCATAAAGAAAGAAACTGAGGCCACTAACACGCAAAACTTACTGGAGGGAAAATCGAAAGCAACAGAAGAAAAGGACCACCTGATACAGGGCTCTGAAATATGAGGGGGACTGACCATCAAGGGAACCGTAATCTTGGGTTGACAAGAGCCGAGAAGGGCTGTCAAGACTGGATTTCTGAAGGATTTTCATTCATAGGGTTGAGATAAGTCAGGGATGCATTGACAGGTTGCAAGCAAGAACGGCAATGACGTTGGCTTAGGACCTTTTGTTTTTAGCATAGGACTGGTGCCTGAACAAAGAAAAGCTGGGAATCCTACTTAAACATAGGCTGGGACTATCATTTAAGTATTTGGCATGCCACGGCTGGGAAAGAGAGGTAGCATTTTCGTCAAGCGAATCATTTCAATAATTGCAGCACATATAAAATTCAGGAAAAGGCAGAAAATACCCATCCTAATATCTATTTTGAGTTTGATGCATGCGGAAAGTGTAAACGCACGTGTGCTTTTGTAAAAAACTTTCAAACCAGAGTAGAAATGGGATCAAGCGGAGAAATAATTGAATATATACAGAACTGCAGGGGGTCAGAAAGGACGGGCTGTGGCGTTTTCCTTTCCTTGCTAATGGCGCCGCACCCCCCAGCCACATCCGCAAGAAGAGGCTGACCTTCTGTCACGGCAGCCCTGTCCTGGGAAGTCATTTTTCCGGTCACGTGAACCTGAAACGAGAGAGGAAGAGTCGTTCTGCAAGGGCACCAAGAAGGCTTTCGTTCCACCTCATTCTGCCACTGCTTGATCCATGAATGTGTCGTTTGCCTGCAAGGGAACTGCTTACAGCACGAGTACAAATATTTAAGAACTGGGATGGCGCAGAGATGCTGGTCTGGGACACACGGGTTCGAATCCCCACTCGGCCATGAAGTTCACTCAGTGGCTTTGGGACACTCAATCTGTCATGAGTGGAGCTGGCTGGAGCGGGGGGTCAGACTAGATGGTCCAGGAGGCCCCTTCTGACTCTGTTTCTCATCTCAGCCCAGCCTACCTTACAGGGTTGTTCTGAAGAGACACTGAAGATGACCAAGTACGCTGCTTTGGTTCCCTGCAAGAGGAAAACAAGGGGAGATCAAGGTAATACTCAAAATCAGCAACGCCCATGGCCTCGAATCCAAGGATTGTAATGTGGCCCCATCAGCACTGAACTTTGCCGAGGGCTCTCTACGCTCTGAGGGTCACACCTTTTCCTTCTTTCAAAGAACATCTCTTTATTTTGCATTAAAATTTAGCTTTTCAGGGTAATGTCCCGGGATGGCCAAGTACACTCTGTCACAAAGTAAAGTCCTGTTTGGGGGGTACTGGGAGGGGACAGTCCTCACTGGAAAACCTTCCGGTCCACCTCGGTCTGGAAGCCAGGAAGCCCCAAGAGGGAGAGGGAGAGGGAGAGGGAGAGCCCGGCTGACCGAGTTGCTGCTTCACATCATAGAGGGCCCCGGGTCGCAAGCTACGAGGGACAGAGGTGTTTCCTTGCTCTGTGGGACAATGATGACCCTCACAGGGACTGTGTAGACCAGAAAATGTCCCAGGAGATCCCGCGACACACACGGGCTCCATTGCAGACAAGCATCCTCACAACAGGACCCATGTGCCTGCTTCCCTCTGCAGCCCAGATTACATTCTGCTTCCTCAGTAGGCACCATACGCCCCGGGACACACCAAAAGTCCTTTCCGTCAAGAGGGAAGGAAAACCCTGGCAGAGAACAAGGGTGGAAGGGGGAGGGTCCTTTCCCTGGGGAGGGTCAATTCCAAGATACTTTTCCAGCTGAGAGGAGCGGGGAATGCCGTGGCTTCCAGCCAGTCCAAGTCCGCAGGGCTGCTGAGTTTACTTTGGCCCCAAAGCTAGAAAAGGGCACAGATGTCTCTCCCCAAGCAAAAATACGGCGATCAGTCCAGCCGCAAATTAAAACCTGGCTCTCATGACCCCCGTGCCCACCCAAATCGGCTGCCTGAGGCTTGGGTCTCGGTGTGTTTAACCGTAGGGCCAAGCGCGTCCTGGAAGAAGAAATTCCGCCAGTCGAGCCCCATACATACCTCACAGCAGGCCCTTTATCAGCTGCAGGAGGAGACCGACCCGGGTCTGGAGCACTGCTTCACTGACCTTCGGAAAACTCATCCCACTGACTGCTGCAGAGGCTGTTCCTGGATTGATGGGATGGAGACAAGACCTGCAGAAGGAGTTTGCCAGTTCGGATCACCGGCTCAGGGAAATGTGGCACATCTTCCTTCTTCATTCTTGGCAGAGAGAAACGCCATTTCAGCAAAGCAGCTTCATTTCAGCGAAGCAGCTTCACAGCCGTGCTTTCGCTTTCAAAAGGAGTTCCTTTCCTGCAGAAGGAGGGCTCTCTCTACCGGCAGCCCAAGAGAGCACCGAGTCGGGTTTTTCTAAAGGTATTTGCACATGAGGCTTCTAGTGTTGTGCAATCGCCCCGCCTCGCTTGCCGAACTTCGCTCGGCCGTGCGGAGGCACTGAGGGATGTGCCCACTCTGCGTGCTCAGGGAGTGGCCAGCCCAGCTTCTCGTCTTCAATGGGTCTGCGGCAGAGAAGGGGGGAAAACAAGCCGGGAGAAATAAAGGAGCAAGGGGCCTGCTTTTGCACATTACAGCCCACTCAGGTTGTTGCATCTTATTCCAAGGAGGAAGGCAAAGGTGTGCAGGAAGTTTTGAGTTTTCTGGGTGAAGATTCTCAAGCAGAGAATGAGAAGCAGCTCACCCTGGAGGAAGGAAAAGGCAGCGTTCCAGAAATTCCCCTTCATGCTGTCAGATAACAGAGGAAGCGGGTGCAACAGCTCACTTTGGGGGTGCCTGAAGCGTGGCTTCCAGTGCGCCATCCTTGAGAAGAGTTCCCATCCCTCAGCCGTGTGCTCCAAAGCACCTCTGGATACCGCCTTAGCCGCCTTTCATCTTCTATTTAAGCACTCCATTGCGCTGCAGGACTGGAGACACCAATGTGCATTAGCTGGGTGTCTCTCGTCTTCTTTCCGGGACCCATAAATTAGCAGCGCTCTTAATCCACCCTCAGCGATGCGGAAACCATTCGTTCTATGCACAGTTGCAGGTTTGGCCCGGCAAGGGGCTCAGTGGCTACTGGCCCCTACGAGCTTTTGTAGGAGGAGGAGTTTAACCCATCCCTTCTGCTTCCACTTCCTTCGCGGGATCAGATCTACTCTGCATTGTACCCAACACATGACCTCTAAGCTGTGCTGTGCAAGCTTGCAGAGGCATAAATGAGACTGCAAATTCGGGAGTCCAGCTTTGCTTCAGTTTTGAAGGGGACCACCTTTCCCCCACCCTCAAAAAACCTGGGAAAGTAGTCAGAAAGTATGGGAACAATTCTGGGAACGGAAAACACACCAACGAGACCTCGTATATAGAAGACCCCCCCAACCTGATGTAACAAGCATTGATTTTTCTTATTCCATAACTAATTGGAAACAGTAGAATGCTAATCTCAGTGACCTGGATTGCTTTTTTTACTATAAAGCTGTACTTGCTGTGACTGATATATCAATGCGCTTGCTTTGGTTGTTGGGGACAAACCACAAGTCTTTCTGTTGGGTGGCATAGAAATAAAATCAGTCTCTGAGGCAGTTTGCCGTGGAACATATTAATTAGGATCCTGCCCTCCCTGAGAAATTCCCACTGAGCTTCCGGTAGCCACCACACCAACAGGGTCCTGGAAAGATGGGCCTTTGGTCTGATGCAGATCTCCGCATCTTATGGTGAAAAATGTGGGGGTAATTGCCCAAAGAGGGAAGCAAAACAGACCTTGACAAGAAAATACACGAGTTCGCATTACACTAAAAAGGGGATTTGCATGCCATCAATGCACATTTAGAAATAATAGTACTTACTCATATACCACTGAATAGCTGAGGCTCTCTGGAAGCAGGTTAACCAAAGTTAAAACGACACACGAGCACAATAAAATTAAGAGATCACAACCGTAACCACAATTCCCATTATTCGGCACAGAAGCACGACCGCCGTTCGGAAATAAAATAGGATACTTAAAACCAAAGCTGAAAAGTCAGAGGATTAAAATGCTGGGAAAGCAGAAAGTTCTTCACCAGGCGCCCACAAGAATACAAAGCAAGCACTCTTTGGGGAGTTCATTCCAAAGCTGCGGCGCCACAACTGAAAAGGCCCTCCGGATGCTGTCTGGGGGTGGTTAACGTCAAGGCCGCAGACGTAAAGCAAACAGCCACTCGCCCAGAGAACGCCCTCCGAGGATACACTGCCCTCCACCAGCTTCCCAAAGCAAGCAGGGTGGACTCCGCTGGGATAAGCGAAAGGTGCTTCTCTTAGCCAGCAGCTGAGCTTTCCAGCTTCCGGGCAGCCTCATCCTTGAACACACTCAAGGTTGTTCCAACTCGATGGACTACAACTCCCACCAGCCACAGCAGTAGGGCCGAGGGTAAGGGATAACACATACTGCAGACCAAAATATGCAGAGTGGGCAAATGTTCTTCGCGCTGCTGCAAGTGGAGGATTTTATGTCTCGATTTTATGTTCCCTTCGTTCTGCAACACGAATGCTTAGCTCAGGGCCAAGTTGCTCTTTTCGGTCTTTCCCTGCTTTCTTACAGGTCTTTTCTTATTCCACTGAAGGTAGTTTAGTGTGAAAGGTGCATAAAGTGATGAATATGGTAGTGGAAAGACAGAAAGGTGAAATGTATTCAGACCTGATGAAATTATGGAAGAGAAGCAATATGCCAACAGGAGAGGAATGGAGCTCATCAAGGAAACCCACATTTTCAAGAGCTGAGCAGGGTTTTGATGGACAGGAAATTCATGGGGTTGCTTGAGGGAGGGAGGACTTCACAAGAAACACAACACAAACTTTAGTGCAAGTTTATTTGCCATATATATACAATTCAAGCTATTAAAAATTATACAGTATTTACAAAACATTATTCCAAACCTTCTCCACCTCCGTGAAACATGCAGCCAAACAGCTGTAAGAAAAAGAGGCCGTAAACAGTTCTGTTGCACTGCCTCATGTTTTGCAATCAACTTAGGAAGGAGCCAAGTCTGAGAACAAAAAAACTGGGGGAGCGTTCAGTGAACCCTGAGCCAAACACAGCCGATGTGATAAGAAATCAGAACCACCCACTGACGAGAAGTCAAAACAAAGTTTAAGTCTGTTTTGTTTTTAAGAGGGCAAATTACAGGTTTGGCAAGTAACCTGACGCAGCGTTTCCATGTGCAATTATCGCTTTTACAAAATATAAATTTCTTCTTTTACACCAGAGATTGAAATTAGATGCGGAACCCCAGAAATGCGGAACTTGTGAGGGGAGCGGCTGGGTGGGGGCTCACCCTTGACTTTCCTGGCCAGCTCTTCTTTCCCTAAGAAACCAGAACTTTAAAAAAATAGAATTTTTGGCTGTACAGAATTGCGTGGCAGGTGGTGGAGCACTGCAGGTGAAGGCGAGACGGATCCCCCATCTGAACGAGTCACATTCAAAGGCGTCGCTTTGGAGGAGTGAACAGAAAGGCCACTTGGAGCAAGACAGCAAGTGTGCATGAAATCAAAACCCTTAAAAAAAAAAAAAAAAAAAAGAGGGCCGGCACAAGGGGATTGTAGAATAAGCGGTTGTGAACTGATAATAGATCTGAGTCTCTGTCTGCCTCCTGGGAGTCGCCTGGCGGGCCTCTCCATTTTGAACTGCGGCCTCAGCGGCGGATTCTGTGCCGATGGGAAGGCGAAGGCCCGGGCAGGGCCCGGGAATCACGCGGAGAAAACCCGCCTTTGCGTTTTCTTCCGATTTCAGCTCTTGCTGCTCACGCTCCTTCTCCTTCTCTCCGCTCCAAGAAGTATTCATTCCTACAACTCGGGCCAGGCATCAGCCACCGTGCCATTTGCGTGTCCAAGGTCAAGCAAGTCGGCTACCGAGCGTCTGAGGGGGCAAGCTGGTGCGGCTGCCAAGGGTCACCAAGGGGTCCGGGCCCTCCTGGCCTTCGGCATCCCGCTCCCAGGCTGCAATTCAGTCCGGCTGGACCGGAAGAGGCCCAGTTTCGAGGACATGCCTCTCCAGCGCTTTGCTAAATGCCATCCTTGAGTGCCGAAATTAACAGAGACAGAGCCCAGAACGGAACGAGCAGAGGATCGGTGGGGTAAGAACCGCAGAGCGAGGGAGGGAGCGCGCCATTTGGAGGGAACGGGCTGCACCGGTCAAAAACGCCAGTCCGCATCACCCTGTTAGGACGTCGCTGGCTGTCAAATGATGTTTTGCAAGGAAGCGGGGCAGACTCAGCCTGGGAGGCTCCTTTCTGGCCCCGCACTGCAGGAACCCAACCTGGTTCCATCCCGATGCGTTGGACGGCATCCCACAGCAAGCCCCGGGGATGTTGGGAATTGTAATCCCACCCATCGGGAGGGCACCAGATTGAGGGGGGGTGTCTGCAGTGGGGAGTCTCTACATGGCATTACTGGAGAACTGCTTTCCTTCCCAACCAATGCACTGGCTTTTCCTTCACTTGCTCAGAAGAGAGCACCAGGGTCTCCGTTTAAAAATAAAATTTAGATCATCACGTACGGACAAGGCAAGAGTTGCACCAAGAAGTCACCCCTCATTTGTCTTCTTCCAAGCAAATCCTGCTTTGCAGAAACAGGCCCTTCCTGCATGGTCAGATCCGCCACATCCATGACAGTCGTGCGAACGCTTCAGTCCTTCCAACTTGCAGGAGAGCGGCAAGAGCGAGCGGCACGCCGAGGCCTCCTTGCAGGCAGAAAGAGGAATTTAACAGGAGCCTGGATCAAAGTCTTTTATTGAAAGCAATACTTGAAACCGCCTCTGCTGCACCTCTTCTCTCCCCCCTGCCCCATTCCTTGCTCCTCTACCAAAAAGCCAACGATAATACTGTGTTTCACCAATCCATCCGAGAACGATACACCTTAATAAGTGCAAACGAACTAACAAGCCCGAACTTCGGCCTAGGCAGCTGGTCTGTCTAAACCATCCGATGCAGCCTTGCCTTTTAGAAACCCAGCAAAAACTTAGTCCCCACGAGCTGCTGTGCTAGGAGTAATCGCCGGGCGGTCAGAGGCAACCTGGGGGCACGTTACAGGGTATCGGTGTGGGGGGGGACCAGGCGCGGCCCGCGAGCGTGGCCGTCAGCTCTACGGGCGACACACGAGACTCGACACCCACGCTTCACGTCTCCACCTGGAGCGCCCTGGTGTTGGCACGAAGGGTGCAGCCAGCACGTCGCCACTGGCTGTTTGCACAGGGAAGCCGCTTTTCGGAAGCCCCGCCTTCGTGGACAGAACCTCCGCCTGCCACCCTGCGGAAACCGGGCCACGCCTGACGCTGATCTGATGGAAACGCCAGCTTCCGGCAAAGCACACCAGAGGGGGACGGAATGCGACGGGCCCAGGCAGTCAGGTTTCCGACGGCAGCGCCTTTGGGCCCCGAGAACGGACAGCCCTGTGCCTCGGCAAGAACTTCCAAACCAAGAGCGCCGGGGCCGAGCGTTGTGGGGACAGGCCAAAGAGACGCTGCAAGGAGCTGCAGGACTGGCTAGACAGCACCAACTCTAGCGGGCTCTAAGGATACCAGGATCGGGACCGCCACAAACTAGCAGAACTGGCTACAAACCAAACCGGAACTCCACGATTCGGCATTTGCACGGTAACCTCTCCCTCCTTGGTCCCCAGCTCTTCTGCAGCCAAGAGGAGGAGAACGAGCCAAACCTTCTCCGAGCGACACACTTCTCAATCTACAGGTGCCTGCTTGCCCCGTAACTGCTGGAACCCATTTTTAAGGAGCCAAATGAGGAAGTGCAAGAGAGCTGGGTCACCGACGGGCCGTGTGGAAAAATGGGCCATCTTGACAGGGAGCGGAGAAGAACACAGGGCTCGCAATCTGGCAACGGAACGCCTCCAACCCAAGCTGAGGAAGAGCCCGCAAAACTTCATTCGCAGCCCCACGGCCCCGTTTCCCATCCCGCCTGACTGGGAGAGGGGGGAATTGAGGGTGGAAAAGGGATGGAGGCCTGTCCATTCGGAGACCCCTGTGCGACGGAAATGGGGAGGAACAAACCTGAGCGTCGCACCCACAAGAAAAGCAGGCAGGCACGCGCCAAGCTGTTCCCTAGATTGACACTGCAGTCTTGCCCGCTTGGGATGGGTCCTCACAACCTCCACACACACACGCACACGAAAGCCCACCACCAGGGAACCGAGGCAGGAGAAAACCAAACCAAAGACGTGTCAGCAGAACCGCCCCCTTCCCAAATGCATGGCGGAGAATCAGTGACCTTGTCGGTTAGAAAGGGGAGGGAGGGAGGGAAAGCCCTCCCAGCTCGAAAGCGCTACTTCTGTGCTGCGTGAGTCCATCCGGCTGAGATCCAGAGCCGAGACGCACAGCCACCCTTGCGAGGCAGGACTGATCCGTATCGCAAAAGCGAGCAACTGTTTCCTCTGCAAAGGTATAAATCAAGGCGAAGGCAGTTCTGCACCCCCGGTCTCCTCCCCACGCAGCTTCCTGTTGTGCTGGCCCTCGACCGCACCAGTTCCGCGGGGTCCCGGCCTCGCTTCTCCTGCCCCTTCGCACTCGTGGCGTGTGGCCCCACGTGTCAAAGGCAAAGGGGGAAGCAGCCCAGGCACGCAGCGAGGCCTGCCAGGAGGGGGCGCCCGGGAGCATCAATGTGAGGCGGAGGAGGGCAGTTCCAGTTTTTGGAGTCGGCGCCTGCGCAGCTCCGCTGTGTCGGGTTCCTCGGGGGACGAGTGCTCGGTGTCCTCGGGGAGGCCGGGCGGCTCCGTGTAGCCCTCCGCGCCAGCCGCCAAGGACGGGCCTAGGAGAAGGGGAAGGCGGTCAGCGGACCAGGTGACCGAGCCGCAGATGCAGGCCGCGTGGCCCCAACAGGGAGGCGCCCAGCAAGCCGAGAAGCCTGCTGGGCGAAGAGACTCCGTTACCTGCTTGCGCTGACGGGTCTGTCTCTGCTGCCGGGGACACGGAGCTGCTGGCGGGTTGCGAAGGGCTGGAGGCGTCACCAGAGAGAGGCTCGGAGCCGAGGGTCTCGGGCGGAGAGGGCGAAGTGGCGGGAGCACTCGATGGCGCTGCGGAAGTCCGGGGCGCCCTGCCGGAGAGAGAGTGGGACAGTGGGCAGAAAGCCCAGAGAGGGCCCAGGCCTCGGCCGCCCTCAGGACGAGCTGGCTGGCCTTGGAGCCTGGACCGTGTCCTGTGTAAGACCCGCAAAGTCTCCTTCGCAAAGGAGGAGTCACAGAAGCAAAACTTGGAACAAGGAGGCTGGTCGCTGCGCACTGAGACGGACCCTCTGTGGCTGGAAGAGAAACGCAGGCAAGGAGCTGCCACTTTGGCAAGGCCAGGCTTAGATCTATGCCGAACATCAATCAATTCTTAGAATGGCAAATCCTAGGGCCTGGGAAGGTAATCACGTTCAGTAAATGTGTATCGTTCCTTCTACTCCGGGCCTGAGTGCCAGAGTTCAGGAAGCCGAAACAGCATCGGGTGCAAGGCTTGCAGGAAGCCCAAAGTTTTGCACAAGAACAGCAAACGCTGCGTCAAAAACCGCGACCCAACGAGGACCAGACGGTCTCAGCCGCCGCGGAGCGCTGGCCGAGCGGACCCTGGGCGAGGGCGCAGCCGACTGACCGAGACAGCGAGGGCAGGAGTGCTCCACACCGCAGAGTTCTGCTACAGTGCGCGAGCACGACCTCGAGTGGAGCTTCGAAGCTGTGCTGCTCTGCCCTTTCACGTTTTATTCTGCGCCTGCTCCCGGGGAGAGCACCGAGTTGCAGCGCCCTGAAACCTTACGAGAGCGGAGGACGGAGACCGTCCAAGCCACCTTGGGCTCCCCGTGTGTGTGAGACGGGCCGGCGGCTTCAACACGTCCGACTGCTTTCGCACTTTCATTTGAGTGGAAGCCTTGGCCGCGGGGCGCCCCCTTTGGCAGAAGGCGGCCCATTCTCCTAGGAGGGGGAAGGCAAGAGAAACGCGGCGTTCTCGGAGGAACACGATGCTCTACCCGATGGTGGCCAGGACGGTGAGGTACTGGTTGATCTGCAGCATGGCCGCGTCCAGGAGCGTGTGGATGTTCTGCAGGCACTGGAGCCGGGCTTCCAGGTGCTGCCGCTCGTGGCCCTCCATGGCCCGCAGCTCGTCTTCCGTCAGCCCCGCAAAGCCCGAGGGCGGAACTGGCATGGGAGGAAAACCTTTGGGACGAAGCGGGACAGAGATGGAGGAGCGTGAGCAGAAGCGGATGGCTAAATCCGAGAGTTCCTCAGGCAGCCTTGGAAAGGGATGAATTAGTCGGCAGACTCTCCGCCCGGATCGTCCAAGCCTCCCGGGAAGGACCCGATGTCACGCCAAGGGGGAAGGCTGGTTCCCTGGTGCCATGCCGGCTTGGCCTGCCAGCTCTTTCCCGCCAAAACACCTCTCAGCCAGCCATCCAACCACACGAAGACGGACCGGTTCCCTTTCCACCCCGAAACTTACCAAAGAACGGCGGGAACGGCATCCCCATCCAAGGAGGAGGGAAGGGGAAGCCGGGCACTGTCCCCGAAGGGGCCGCACCGTCCGCTGGAGAGGTCGAGTCCCCGCTGGGCCTTGCGGTGCCTGGTGGAGAACACGGCGGCATGAACTCGTGGTGGTCTAAAAGTGGAGGCCAACGGCGGCCGTCCAGCATGCATATGGCCGGGTGGCAGCCCCGGAACCTGCGCTCGCCCTGCGCCCGCTGCCAGAGCCACGGAGCGGCTCACCTGAGGCGTGTGTTCCTGATGCAGAAGGAGCGGCAGCGGCGGCCCCGGGAGCAGCGTTGTCCATGTTGTGGGGCGGCTGGACCCCGGGCACCGGAGGGAACGGAGCCATGGGGGGCCAGAGGGGGAGCATTCCCGGAGGAAAAGGCGGCAGGATGCCCTGGGGAACTGTGGGGAAAGAAGGTACAACAGGTGGCCGCAAGTTCCCTGGAGCCCTCGGCCTCAGGTGCCACAGCAGCTGGGAGCCTGGCGTGGAGTGGACCGAACCGCCCTGCCACCAAAGTCATCCTGGAATTCAAGGAAGACACGGGGGGCGGGGATCGCCTTTGGGGGGTGCAAGCGGCCCCCGTTCTGAGTTCAGGCACTTGGCTTTTTGGAACTGTTGCCACAGTTCAAGACCGCAGTAAGTGCTCTCCCGTGTTTGCCTCCGGCAGTTCTGCCAATGGCCTTCGTGTACTGCAGCAAAGGAACGTGTGCCAGTGAACCGATCAAGGCCTTGCCAGAAAGCTGAAGCGCAAAACCCGCAATGGGGCAGGACGCCGGGTCGGAGAAGGCCGCTGGGGCTGGTCTGCAGCCAGCACGCTCAGGGCGCTCTGATGACCCCGGCGTGGGAAGAGAGCCGAGAGCAGTCGCACGCACAACGGGGACTCACAGTTTGGGGGCTGGGGCCCCGGGTGCGGGGGCTGCTGCCCCCTCTCCGGCTGCTCGGGGGGCGTCGGCGACTGCGTGGGGAGGGAGGCCCGCAGGACGTCCATCCGGCACGTGGGGCAGGTCTGTTGCCGCTGGAACCAGGATCGCAGGCAGCTGGGGGACGGGACACATCCATCAGAGCCAGCCGGCCAACCACAGCTGCGGCCCGAGCCCACCACCCAGGCAGCACGCACCCACACCCCCCGTCCGGCTCCCTCCCTCGTTTCTCCCCGCCCACAAAGCCCATGGTCCTAACGGGGATGCTCGAGGAACGGCGCCCAACACGCATCGTGCAGGAACGGAGCGCAGGCGCTTGGCCCTGACGCTCCTCTCACTAAGCGGCCTCAGGGGAGCACCCTGATCCCCAGAGAGCCCCCGCCTTCCTTTAGGGTCCAGAGAAAAGCAAGGGATGTTCTGTGGCTCCATGCAAGGGGGCAGAGGGACAGCAGGGGGCGGGGGGGGGGGAGACCTGGAAGCTCTGGCTTTCGCTGAGCAGCGCCTAACGGGAACGGCGCTCCGTCTCCCAACTGACGTCAAGCGGGTTTGCCCAACGAGGGGCTGCCCCACCGGCCGTCCTTCTCACCCAGACGAAGCCTGCACTGCTCCAGGCCTGCTCGGCCACGCCGGGAGCTGGATCCCGAGGGTCAGCGAGCGGCGGACTCCCCTCACCTGGTGTGGAAAATGTGGTTGCACGGCAGGCGCTTGGCGCCCGTCACCATCTCCTCCCGGCAGATGATGCAGACGTTGTCCATGGCCTGCAGCTCCTCCGGGGTGGCGTCGGGGTACCTGGCGGGAAAGGGTTGCAGGCGGACGTGAGCTCAGCACATCGCACCAACCCAGCGGCGCCGATCGGGGAGCCGGTGCTTCTGCAAGCATACGCGAGCCACGCTACTCACAGGGTGTTCATGTTGCGGATCGCTCGGCGCGACATGATCGCGTCTGTCACGGCCTTTTTGAACTGCCTGGACACACAGAGGAGAGAATCAGGACGGGCCTATTGCCGAATGTAAAGCTTCAGCGAAAACATTATATAGAGGGGGCATCCTTGAGAACAGGGAAAATCCGGGTGGAAAAGATGTTTAACTAGAGGTACTTTGGGAACAGGCAGGTAGTAAAGGTGCCTCGGGCGCAAGGAATGGTTAAGCTGAGCTACTCAAAAAGCAGAAAACGTGCTCGGGAAGAGCAGACCAGCCACCTTCCCCCCCACCCACTAAAAAAGGCTGATCCATGGATAGTTACAGCCGCTGGTTAACTGTAACTATTCTAAAGTGTTTGTTTTAAAAACACAACAGGTCAAGTAAAGCTGCTCTCTCTCCACACACATGGCATTAACCAGCACAGCTGCTTTCTCCAATCTGCTTGACTCCGTATCTTTCTGGCTGCAGCTCCAACCATCGCCAGCCAACTTGCCATATGCTGGGCTGTGGATACTGGGACTTGGATAGTCCAGTCGTTCCGGAAGACCCTAGCTTGGGGAAGGCTGCCATGAAGCACTGCAAAGTCTCCTTGAAGCTACTCTGAAGTCCGAGGGATCGTCCGCTGCCACATGGAGACAGATGTACAGACAGACACCGCCCCCCCCCCATGGGCCTCACCTCATGGCCAGGTACATGGGCCGGATGGCGAAGAGCGGGAAGGTGTGGACTTTGATCATGATGGTCATGAAGGCCATGTACAGGAGGACCTTGATGAAGCCTGTGCAGAGGATGAGGAAGTGGGATCCGATTAGGACAGGCTGAAGAGGCAGGTGGATGTCAGAAAGCAGGACCAATGTGGGGGGGGGGGGGCGGGGGATACAAAGGGGCCTGTGAGAAGCTCCTGAAGCTGGCCAGCACATTTAAAAATAAACTACTTCCCTTCATTGGGGTGGCAGTGAAAATGCAGGCATGCCTGTATCGTGCTAATTCAATGTTACTCCAAAACATCTGAAAGCAAAGCACTCTGCCGTTATGCAAATTCCAGTTTCTCCATTTACAGCAAGCATTTCTTAAAATACCTACGTAGAGCTTATAAGCAGAAAGTTAGCACTTGAATTTAGGTTTCATTAAGACTGTTCGTTATTGAAACCAACGCGGAAGGAGGGAAAATAAGGCAAGAGCTTGAACATTCAAAAAGCATCTTAGGTTAAAAATACGGAGTGGAAATGTGTCTGCTAATTTGACCACCGTTCAGTTATGCTCAATGGACAGGGCAGCCCTGCTGAGCTGCGGGGAGGCAGCTGTCCTTTTACACATTTGAGTGCAGCTAGCACATAATGCAGAGCAGATGGAGTGGCCTGGGTGAAGGTAAAACCAGGACAATACAAACACCCTAAAATGATTGTGTGCAGCATGTAATATCGGGAAGGAGTCCCCAAATATTCACATCCACACTGAATTTTCAAGCTGGGAAGGGCAGCATTCAATAGCCCAGGACAAAATCCCGACAAGAACAAGATGAAATGGCTCTCAGCTAATCTAGGGTGTGTGAGAGAATATTTTTGTTCAAATTGTGACCATGGTAATTATGGAAGCTGTGCTCTGCCGCCTCCAGAGGGGACCGGGCGGGAAAAAGGCCGTGTGATTAATCCCACTGCTTTCATAAGCACGCCGGGCCGGACGAGGCTGCTGGCCCAAACGAGATGTTTTCAGGGCTGCAACTGCATGTGGCCAGTGGAAAAACTTACAGGAGGGCTTCAGAGGAGGACGGCTGCCATTCAGCAAATCAGCATCGTCCTTTCGGGCAAGAGGGCAAAGCACGCGCTCCTTCCAGGTGTTTCGGCCGGGGCTTCCCGTAAACTGGCTGCCACAGGCCACCCCGCTTTATACAGCCCCGCCCCCTTATCATTCCTTCTCTTGCCCAGGGACTTCTGGATTGGAGGTCTTCGTGCGCCTGGCACTCCTAGGGCGACAGGCACTCTCGCAATACTTCAAATAAATGAAGAGGCAGCCGCGGAGCGCAGGGGGCTCCAGCTGCCCCCGGAGTGTTGACTCCCAGGGCTCCAGGGAGGCTTTCTTGCAATATCCAGAGATGCTGGAGAACGAAACGCAGGCTTCCTGCGTGCAAAGAAGCCGAGCTTGGTGTGCAGGCCCGCCTCTCAGTAAGGCTCGAGGCCCTTCCGGTTCTGAATCAGGGCTGATTTCAGCCGGGCCCGGGATGTGGCTCACACGAAAGGCCAGGTGGCTGGCGAAGCCCAGCGGCGGCTCGCCGGATTCTGGGCAGGGGCCTTGCGCGGCCCTTCTTGCGACACGCGGAGCAAGCGCTGGGCCGCCGCATCCTTCACCTGTGAAGAGCTCTGTGTAGAGCATGTAGACGGCCTTGTTGTCCCAGGGGTTCTCGCTCTGGAGGTCGACGGAGTGCAGGACGTATTTGATGAAGATGGTGAGCACCATGGTCAGGAGGATGGCGTACTGCGGAAAGCGAGGGAGAGCGGGAGGGGGAGAGCCCCCTGAGCTGGTGCAGGGAGACCTCCGCTGGCTTCCTTCGCCCTCACTTCAGTGGCTGCAATGGGAAAAGCAAGAGGGGGCCGAAATCCCCCTCCGGCAGCAGCTCGGTCTGCACAGATGGGGAGCCACAGGCAAGGGCAGGCATCTAGCCGATGCATCGGAGCAGGGATGGAGAAAGGAAGCGGGGGTCTCGCATCACGCCCCTGGACAGGCCTCGGGGCTCCGCTCCCTCCTGGCGGCATCACAGCACCCAAGCGGTTTGCATCCCCGCTGGCGGCTAGAGGAGAGACTAGGGAGCCCCAAATTTTCTCCTCCGCTTCCCCCTCCACCCGCTCTTTCGAGGCGTGGCTTTCACAGGAGCCTGCGGGCTCCGACTGTCTTGCTTCACACTGGGCTGACAAACTATTCTGGGAGCAGTTTCAGCCCAAGAGTGGGGCTTAAAGGCACTTTCAGTCAGGTTAGGAGGGGGAAGCCATGTAGCCCCCACCCCTCCAGCCTGCTCACGTGCCTAGAGGGAGCCTCACGCCATGACTCGGGGGGTGGGGGGGGAATTCAGAGTACTGCAGGGCCAAGCTCCCAGGCTCCAACAGCAAAAGGGCAGAGGCAAAATGCAGAACAAAAACCGCCTTATGTCGCACTTAATCTTAGTTGCTGGTGGAAAGGCCTTTAAGTGACAAAGCGGAACCACTTAGAAAAGGGCGAGGGGGTGGACGACGCCAGGACAGCCAGACTGGGAGAAGGGAGCCCCAGGAGGGGCCGTTTGGCCCCCGGCCCTGCAGTCTGCCACCCCTGCCTTGCGCAGAACACACTGACGGCTTAAGTGGGGACACAGACTAACGCGGCCTGAGCCTTCACCCCACACTCGGCTGCCCCAGGGATCACCCTCCAGGGCCTGCACCCCCCTCCTGCTCTCTGCAGCCGGGACCCTCGCCTGCCCGCCGAGGGCGCCTGCTCACCTCAAAGCCGAAGACCAGCTGCACCGAGGCCCCCCGCGTGAGGATGCTCTGGTAGGCGTGGCTGACGAAGAGGAAGTCCATGACGCCCAGGAGCAGCATCAGAGCTGAAAAGCAAGCCGAGGCCAGTGAGGGGGCGCCACGCCTGCCTCCCCAAGGCCACTCCACTCAGCCGCTGCATCTTCAGGGAGCCCCGCGCAGCTGAGAGCAAAGACGCAGGGAACAGCGGCGCTCCGGACCAAGCGACAAATGGCGGCTCTAAGAGACAGGCTCTCTCCGGGCTGCATCCCTCTCAGTGGCTTCCTCTACCCATGCAGTTTTAAAACGCCCCCTTGATTCAGTGTCCTGAGCGATGTGAGGGGCAGTAAAGCTTCCTGGGTGAAAGACCAAAGCGTCCATTTGCTCTGCCTGCTGCTTCATTTAGCTCGTGCCTCCTTCGTTCTTAAGACTGCAGGTCTCCAGACAGGCACTTTCTGAATGCTGAAAAATGGCACCGTGTTCCTATCGCTACAGAATTCTGCTCTTAGCAATGCTATTAGTTTTTTGGGCCAGTGCATCCCACTGGCAGGCAAACCACCCAGAAGAATCATTTCAGGGGGCCGCTGCTTCCCCGGGTGTGCGAGCTGCTGCCAGAATCCATCTTCCACCTCCTGCCTCCTTTGCAGAACCCACGGGAAGTGTTTAAAAGGGGGCACGAGCATCCGATGAGGACCAGGGTCTGCTCACACTCGCTCCCCCCGGCATTTCACCTGTCCTCTCACAAAGCTGCAGACGTCCTCTGGTGCACTGCCAGCGGAGCATGTGATCTGCCCCAGGCAGCAAATGATCCAAATGTATGCAGGATACTTTGGCCCTGGCGGAGGACACCACCCTGGGCAAGCACCTGAGTAAGACCCCCGGGGACTCCCGAGCCCCACTGCCAGGGGAGGGGGGAATCAAAGCACCTGCGTGGCAGAAAGGGGACAACAGGTACTCACAGACGATGCGGAAATGAAAGAGCCAGGATATGTTCGGGCTCCTCTCCATCTGGAAAAAGGGGGGGAAGGAGTCAGCCAGCTACCACGAAACCCTCGCTGAGCCTCATTACGGTTGCGAGACAAGCGGCAACTGATGCCTTTATGGACAGGCCGAGCTTGCTTCTCCCGCAAATTCTATGGCCACGTCACATGTGCAGCCGCTGCATCCTGGCACGCTGCCCCTGGACCAACTCCCTGCGCTCAGAAGGTCCCCGGAGGAATGCACAGAGGCGGCTGCTACAGATGGGAAGAGCCAGGCCTGGTTTTAACCAGCAGCAAGCGCTCCCTTTCCAGGTGGAGGGAGACGGTGCAGGTATCGCAGTCCTGGCAGACTCGGCACTCAACGGGGCGCCTCAGGCCGTCCCTCCGGCCCTCCACTCCAGCAGGTTCAAATGTTATTCAGCAGGCAGAGAGCTCCCGCCTCCCATGGCCCCCGGGGCCGTCCCAGCTTGCGTTCGCATACTCACAAAGTCCACCCGGTCCTCGGCCAGCCAGTGGAAGCACTTGAGGAAGAGGAGCAGGGTGAACAGGGCCACAAAGCGGGGGCTGAAGTCGTCCCTGAAGACTGTGAAGGCAAGGCAGGTCTCGGTCACGGCATACCACGACCGCTCGAGCAGGTGCTGCGGGGGCAAACCTGGGTTAGGGCGCTCTCTCATACCTTGGGTCGCCCCCAGGCACCCGCCAGCCACACCCCGCTCTTCCACCCAGCCAGGTAGGGGTCTGGGGTCTCCGGGAGCCACTGCATGATACAGGTGGAGCTGAGACGGGGGCCGGGCAGAGACTTGAGCACCTCTATCTTCCTGTCTGCAAGAGGGCGCCTGTCGCCCTTCCAGCTCCAAGGTACTCAAGTGACCCAGAACCGGAAGCCACGCACCTGAACTGCTGGGGGACAAGGCAACCAAGCGTCTTCCCTCTCCCCTGGATGCTCCTCAGAACACTGCTCCACTTACCCTCCAAGTTCCCAAGCTATGAAAAACGGGCCATTCCGGCCTGGACTGGTTTGATGAAGTGCTATTAATAATCGAACCCTTCAAGAATGAAAAGCCCTCTGCCTTTCCGAGCTGCTAGAGAGATCTCCAGGAGGAGAGTGGAACATCCCGAGCAGAGCCAGGTCCCCTCCAGGATGACAGGATGCTGTCCCCCTTGCTGAAGCCCCGAAGGCCCACACCCCTCCGGGCCCAAGACCTCCAGCTTCCCATCAAGACCCCGATCCAATGTCGACCCGGAGCCACATTTCCCTGGCCACGCTCACCTCCATTTCCGCTGCCCGGAGCTGTCCGAAAAACACTTTGCCCATGAACTTGCCTAAAAGGAACACCAAGACGAAGGCCTGAATGTACAGCACCTGGAAATGGCAGCAAGATGGGGGTGGGGGGAGAGAGCGAGATGAGAAACTGCCTTCGCACGCAGCTCTGCTAGTGGGAAATCCCGATTAGAGCCCTCGCTGCACTCGACGCAGAGAATTTGAGCTACTTCCATCACTGTGCAATCCACTAATCAGACACTAACAGGATAACTCGGCCTGGCACCCATGGGGGCAGAAGGTGATCCTTTAATCTGTTTGCAGCTTGACAGTGCCTCTTCCCAGCGCCCCGAACGAAGGGTGCGCACACAGATCGCCACTGCCGAACCTGCCAGCAGGAACGAAGGTGTTCCTCCAACTTCGAGTGCTGACAGATCTGACAGTGGCTGAGAGACTCGGTGCACGGAATCACTCCTTTGAGGTGATGTGGCAATAGTTTTTTTTATTGCTTTGTTGGTGTGGTGGAAGGGAAGCGTTAGAACTTCTCCACCCCATCACACACGATCCCAAAGCTGTGCAGGATTCTGAGGCTGCTGTTCATCCAACAAGGAACATGCTTGTTCGCACGTCTGCACGATACACATTCCGCCTGGCCTGGCCCCGACACGCGCCTGCACTCAGTGGCCAAGCAAGTCGGGAAGGATGTGTGTTTTCTTCACTCAGTTTCGGAAAATGAAGCGCCCCCAGGGCTCCACCCGGCAGGAGAGAGATGGCGGCTTCTGGCCCTCTCGATTCATCCCAGCCAGAGGCAGCAATACCACAGCAGGGGCTCAGGTGGGACCCGGCAGATCTCTGGCCGGGGCAACAACCAAACGTCGCCTTTTTGCTCAAAAGAGCCTCTCCTGAGCAGTACCCAGGACGGAAGCGTTAGTCGACCGTTCTTCGCCACAAGCAGCAATGCTTCAGTCGTGAGGGCAAGCCAGGGGCCTGTTCCCCCTCAGGCTCGGTGGTTCCCACAAACATGGGGAGCGCTTTGTCGCGTCTGCCAGCGGCAAGAGAGCGCGCCAAAGAACTGGGAGGCACTGGGCTGGCTGCAGGAAGAGTGTTGCTGCACGGCTCGGAGGGTGGAGTTCAGCCGACTGTGACCGGGCCTGCATGAGCGGCGAAGGGGAGAAGCCGCCGCAGCACTGCTTCCCACCCTGGCTGCACACCGCCGAGAGCTGGAGGCAACCGCCCCGGAGGCCACAGGTTGTTCGGGGGTTGCGGGGTGGTTTGCAAACTGCCTTTGGTGCCAGGTTGGGACGACAAGAAATGTGCCCCGGGAATTAGTCCGTCGCCCACACCGGGCAGGAAAATCAGCTACGCTGGAAGCTCAGCTAGCGGAACAAACCCCATTTATAGTTCGGGGTTGAGTTAACTGTGAAACCAGTGACACAAAAGGCTACCCACAGACCTATAGAACTAGTCTTTCCTTTGCCCCGCTCTCCTCCTTGGGCCCGCAATAATCTCCCTCCCTCTAGCTGCACAAGTGCTACCCTGCACAGGAAAGCAGGGGCTGTTCCTGGTAAACTAACAAACCGGGAGAGGAGCAGCTGCAGAAAATGCTAGAAAAGGCGTTTGTACACTGTGACGGAAGATGAACATTGGTGGGGGGGGGGGGGACCAGACCTGATCCAATAAGCAGAGCAAAGCCATCTTATGACTGCTATTATAATACACCTGCACCCCACCTTCCTTCCTTCCTCTGGCCAGGAACTCAGGGCAGTCCACAAGGGTCCTCGCCACAACAACCCTGTGGGGAGGCCAGAGACTGGCTGAGTCACCCAGTGGGCCTTGTGGCCAAGTAGGGGACTAGAAGGAGGTGGCAGCCCCAGGCCAAACTCCTTTATAGGGTTGCTAGGAGGACGCCTTGGAGCCACGCAAGCCCCCCTTCCTCAGGAGGTGAAAGGCAGGTTACAGAGGCAACGTTGAGATAGAAGAGTAACAAGAACAGAACTCGGATCCTCCTGCTCCTCATCCAAGGCCCTGAACGCCACGCAACCCAACGGACCTCAGTGACACCAAACTGGGAGCGATTAGGTGCTCCGACAGAGGCGGGCCTGCCGTCCCTCGGGAAGAGAGCAGCTTCTGGTTTCCCCCTGCTGAGCACAAGCGTGAGCCCAATGCTGCCCGAAGACCCTTTGAACGCCATCGCTCCGTTTCCAAAGCTCTGCTTGTGCAAAGTGCACCCCCGGCCCGCAGATGCTTCCAGAGTCACCTGGTCCCATGAAGTCCACCGGCTCATGTGTAGAGACCGCTTCTTAAAATATTTTCAGGGAGAAGAGTAGGGAGAGCTTGCTGGGTAGGGCCGGGGGGTGTTGCACTGGGGACCCCTGCTCCAGGCAGTCAGGTTGGACAATCCCGAACTACAAAAGGCTTGCTCTCTTCCGACGGAAGCTAGACGTGTATTATTTTATTCAAACAATAGTTTAACAATGTTTAATATTTATAGGTTTCAATTGCGCAGCCAGGGTGTTTCCGGGTTTTAATTGTAATTGTTATTTGTATTGTGTTTATTTCTGTGAGCCATCCCAAGGCTATACAGCAAGGGGACGGCATATAAAAACTTCACACACATACATAATATTCGCAACCACACGCCCCAACAGCCAAGAAAGTCCCCCGCCCTGCTCAACGGGGGATGCAGACTTACTGCCATGCTGGGGCTGGACTTCGTCAGGTACACCACAGTCGGGTAGAACTGATGCTTCAGGTAATACGCGTGGGCCACCACGGCGGACGTCAAGGCCAGGCTGGCAGCCATCATGATGGCGGTTCGGAACATCGCCCCGGCCGGGCGGCCAGCAACCTGGGAGAGAGGGAGGGCAGGGGGAGGCTGGGTGAGCAGGCAGGCTCAGAAGCCCCGGTCTCCGCTTAAGCGAGGGGAAAACACACAGAAATGGCTGCGCAGGCCACAAGATTTGCATCGTAACGTTCCGGTACACCCACATTGCTGTTCTCATCTATTCTGAGCGGCAGAGTGCCTGGACATGTTTACTTTACCAGCGTGGCATAGCTCGCTTAGGCTAAGCGTGAGCTGGCACACGGCAACCCAATGCAGAAATGTCCACCCAGAAGCAGGCCGGGGCAGGGGTGCGGAGGGGATTTTTAACCATTTCCCAAACTAGCCACAGCTCTGGACAGATTTACCAAAAAAAAAAAAAAAAGGTTAAAGACTTCAACAAGACAAGCCAAATTCTGTCTTCCCAGGTAGATTTCAAGAAGCGTCATCCGCACATTTTTAAAGCTTAGCTTAAGGAGCAAGGAGAGCGAAAGATGTGGTTTTGTTCAAGAAAGACTAGTGAGCTTTTCACGGCTGAAAGCTGGGTCTCCTCACACCGTTTTCACTAGCATGAGGCAACTGGCTCGGCCACGCTTACGGGGAGCGACTGAATGTGAACGCAGCGATGTGGAGGCCACACATAAGCTTGGAGGGATCAACACAACACGAAAACCGCTTCAGTAGCCTGCTTCTGGCAGCTTGGCTGCAAGAGACCTGGCATGCCCAGAGCTCAGATCGGCTGGTGTAAAGGCTTCGCCAAGCTGCTTCCCAAGAAGCCCCATGGCACACGTCCCGCCGACGTTCCCAGAACGGGCAACTAAAAACATTTACAGCAACTGAGGGGGAATTTTGAGAAGGCTGCAGGCCTCTTAAGGCAAGTTGGCCAACCTGGGCTCTGCAGAACGGGCCCGGCCCCTTTCGCTGCCTGATGCCAAATCCCAGACAGCAGTAACAAGCGGCACCATCCACCACTGCCCAAGGCCGGCACTGCATAAGGAGAGAGCTATGCATTCCACTGGGAATTTGCTGCCTGCGACCAGCAAGGCGAAGCCTGTGGAAGGGGTGGCTGTTTGCTTTGTTTCGAGAAGTGCGAACTACTCCGCCTGGACGGAGCAACCGTGCGCCTCGGGCTCCAGGAGCACCTGCCCTTGCCACCTCCAAGGCCTGACCAGCGCCGAGTGCTCAAACCGTTACGGGTCAACACCTCAACCCCCCACCGCCTCGCTCAAGGCGCGTCCTACTCAGGACCATGTGCTGAATTATGCTGCACCAGAATCCTAGGACTTCCCCTTGCAAGCGCTTCTTGCATCTCCGTTGCAACCTTACTATGGGCTGCTCCACTCGAGTCCCTCCTTCAAAATCCTCCCTTGCCGCAAAGCCTCTGGAGCAACTCGCTCCTTCCCACACTCGGCTGAGCCCGAGCAGAAAACCATGCGCAGCTGAAGGCACTGCCATCTGCATCCATTTCTTCCCCCTTCCCTGAAAACTCACTTCTGCCTATTCTTAGATGGCAAACCCCGGGGCCAGGGAGCAGTCCTTTCCCTACCTGCAGGGTACCATGCGCACAAAGGGCATTAAATGAATTCCCTTATAAATAAATAAATTAGAAGCAAAGGATGCAGCTCGGTAAATACCGCAGCTATAGATTCTGCAAGCCAGTTGCTCTGGGGAAGGAACACCAAGCAACATTGCCCAGCTGCTAATATATCTATTACATGATTCTATCCCGATACAATTTGATTATGGGCTGTCAGCTGCCACAGGCATTAAAAAGCCCAGGCGGGATACAAGCTGAAAAAAAATCAAGTCTTTGGTGCCTTCTGGGGCAACAGCCTGTGGCCATTTTAACTTGGTATTTTTGCCGCTTTGTTGCCTTCATTTTTATCGACACTATTTTCTCTTGATATATTGTATTTATTGAACCCATGTACCCATCAGCCTATAACCAAAACTTTCTGGGCAGTATATATAATAAAAGCAACAAGCTAGCACAGCCGGGATTGTCAAGGGGAACAGTAACAATACAGGCTTGAGTGTGTAAACATAAGCGTCCCTCACACAACCTCAAGCTTTTTAAATCTGTTCTTTCAACCATTGTTATTGGTATTACTCAGCAGCCTCGCTTGAGAGCTGGTGAAGTGTGGCGACCATAAGACCACACTGAGAGCCACGGAGGTTAAGCGGGCAGCGACTGTGTTGGCACAGAATGGGTCACGAGTAAAACCGGGCTGTGAACAAGCAGCCGGCCGGTGTTGCTGGCCCATTTCCACTCCCTGTGCACAAGAGCGTACACTAACGAGTGAAGGGATAGTTTCTCATGACTTCCAACCCCAAGATGATGGGGTTCCAGAAATCCAAACAAGCCAGGGGAGCGAACCAACTTTAAAACAGAGTCTGTAGGCAGCTTATAGATCCTAACTTAACTAGGGGCGTCGGCCCAACAGTCATCTTGTTCAGCTGTGACCAGAAGCCATCCCTTCCTCGTTTTACCTGCAAGTACCATGGGAAGACGGAACAGGGCTGCTCAAATCCTGGTTTATCAGGCCATAACTGTGAGTTCAAAGTGTTGTGATAAAACAGCCATGCTCTCTAGCCTCAGGCCTTCCCCAGTCTGCAGTGTCTGGCTAATAACCACAGAGCCATTTGAAAGATTATGAGCAGACATTATACTTGTAATTGTACAGTAATTGTACTGCAGCATTTTCATGTTACACATAAGCTGCCTTGAATATGTGAGAACAGATCTAAAGCCACGAGCCATTCAGAGGCTTTCGCGAGAGGACGGTATATAAACACTTTAAATGAAGTATTGTGAAATACAGTCTCCCTCTTAGTCTTTCTACACAATAAAAGGCACTTAAAATACATGCTCCAATCATACTAGGAGGCAAAAGATCCATCTTCATGGCAAACCAAAATAGGGTCCCCCCCTAAAAGAGGAAAAGGTCAGCATGTTCAGAGCAATGTTTAAGTGTGGAGAAATGCCCCATTCACATACCTTTGGGACAAGAAGCTAGTGGGCAACAAGCAAAACACCTAACCACACAAGAACACCTCCATGGTACTTAGCCAGAAACTGCTGCATGCCAGCTGGAAGCGGCTAGAAAGCAGGAGAATGAAATACCAGGACAAGGACACCAGCCAAACTTATAGGAACAGGGGAAGCTCCCTGGCTCTCCAGGGTTTCGTGCAGGATCCTTTCCTAGTCCAATATGGAGCACCTAGGGTTTGAAGCTGGGAGTTTCTGCATGCAGAAGAGGCATTCTAGAAGCAAGCTGGGGGCCCTTTACCGTCTGTTAGAAAAAGAAAATACACCAGGTGCAGATCCCACTTGTGAAACTGCAGTCACGGCTGGTGTTGTTGTTGTTGTTATCAACACTACCCAAGGGAAGCAGCAAAGAAACGAAAGCTGCCATCTAATGCTTCCACAAGATGTGGAAGTGGCTTGCCCTTATGTGCAGCTATTCTAAGGAAGCTGCTAAGCCACGGGTGCACAAAACCCTTGGGCATGTGTGTCCCACACCCTCAGTCCTTGCACAATCACCTTCCACCTGGAAAGCAGCACAAGGGGAATGGAAAGAAACAGAACCAAAGAGCCCTGCCGGATCAGGGCCCATTTTGTTCAGCGTTCTGTATAAGCATTGTTTATACAGTGGGCTAACGAGGTGTTCCAGTGCAATGCCCATGTTGCCCAGCCATTGGTGATATTAATCTGAGTGACACAACTGCAGAACTACAGAGAGCATTTAAAAACATAAGAGAAGTCTTATTGGAAAGCAGACCTCGAGTCCACCCAGTCCGGCATCCCCTCCGCACAGCCGCCAAGCAGCTGCCCCAGCGAAAAGCCCAGAAGGAGGTCATGCATGCATGCGTGCAAGAGCACCCTCCCACCCATGTTCCCCAGCAGCAAGCAACCATAAGCAGATAGCCTCCAAACGGAAAAGGGCAGTGCCTAATTACTGCGACTAGCGAAAGCATCCCGGATCAGAGCCTGGGCCCATTGAGTCCACCTTTCTGTCCAGCGAGGAACAGGAAAGGCACAAAGGGAACACGGGTGCAAGATTACCCTCCCACCCATGTTCCCCAGCGAGCCGGACTGCCCTGACACAGGAGATAACAAGACCAGCGTCCCCACCCACTACAGCTTGAGGAGGGGCAAGCCGCCTGCCCTGCTAACGTCCCGGACCACCAGCCCCATCAGCCCCAGCCTGCGCGACCGTGGCAGGGGCGTGCGGGATGGGGCGGGCTGCCTGCCCGGGGACGCCGCTTCGCCCCGCGACCGCGACGGCGGCCCTGCCCGGCCCGGCCCCGCGGCTCCCCACCGGCGGCGGCCCGGCCC